TCCGTCTATTCCCCAAGAGGTGGAATTCTAGCGTACCCAAGTAGGTGACGCCCCTTTAGTTAATTTAAATAATTACTAACCTCAGCACGAAGTAATGTATGTGCTGCCCCATTTTGTCCCGCTAACGCCCCATAGATGCTCGCTTCTAGAGAGGATGTTCGTTCAGCCGCGCTTAACGAGCTAGTCATCCTTCACGGGCGCGTCTGAACTGCGCATTGTATACTGGAACCCAGGATGCGTTGGCAGTAAGGTCAACGACCTACACCTCCTCGCCCAGCAGCAGGACTTACATGTCATGCGAGACGAAACTAGTCCCACATATGAACTTCAACTATCATGTTTATAGATATGGCGCGACACTTCGACTGGGACGCCGTACCGTGGTATGACCGTCTTCGTTATTCTAAATTACAGATTTCTAGATTTATTAGTATTGGTGATGCATTGATAGTTAGTCAGGACAAACGGATCTGTAAGTATAGATACGTAATTTTAAATAAATTTTATATAAAAATATAAAAAACAAAATCTAATAAACAAACAGGACTTTGGTGCCTTGGAAGAGAGGGCGCTGTTTGATATGGGATGCAAGTTGCATGAGCACGTTTGCTGTGTCTCATCTGCGAGATACGATTCGTGTGGTTAGTTCGGCCGCGGAAACTGCGTCTAGAATCAAACATTCAAAATATAAAATTCTCGAAACAGCTTACATCTTCGTTCCCATTGCTTTTGAAACTATAGGCATGTGGAAACGAAATGCCGTAAGTGTCATGGGTCACCTTTGGGTCGGGTACGGATCATAAATAAATAAATAAACAAAAAAGAAGATTTTCTGGATAATGAAACGAATTTAGATATACATATGTTTAATATGGAAATAAAATTATTACGGATCTAGAGTGGAGCGTGTCTATTCTTATTCTTACGTTTTTCTGTCATCAAACCATATTTATTCTAAACTACTGGATAACAAATTTGACCAAAATACTCGTAAATGTGTTATAAGGCAAGTTAAGTAAAAAGTTACAGAAAATAGAAGCAGTGATTTAGAGCCTCATGAACATAGAACTTATTTTCTGGTAATGAAATAGCAGCATATTCGTATACACATACTTGTATATATATTTGTATGTAGCTATCAATTATATTAGTAAAACATTCAAACTTTTGGTGTAATAATACTCTTAAGTCAACCACAACCATCTAGAATAAAAAATAAGCACGTTTTTACAGACGCGTATTTCAATGTTGTGATATAATAAAATATATAGACTTATTTAATAACAACATATTGATTGATTGCGTAAGTGCTTTGTGGCAGTTATTATTGGGATACATAACAATATGGGGCGGAACAGCCAAATCGCACATTTTTGAGGTTAAAAGGCCGCAACAACCCATACTTAAAGTAAGTGGAACTCTTCCGTTTTATTATTCCATTACTGACCTCTACCGAAACTGTTGAGAAATACGGTGAGATAGCTTTTCATTTGATAAGTATCTAAGAAAATCATCAAAAAAATGGCTATGACTATAATTTGGTTAATGACAAACACAGGAAGAGCACAGTTTTTACATAGATAATACATAAAACTAGTTATTTTTATTAATTGTACCGTTTCCTGGGCAGCTTCCTCTATAAGAGAACTTTCCCTCTACCAAATGCCTGAATATAAGTGTAAAAATAACTAATTCAGTGGTTAATGTTATTAAACTGTAATTTTACTAAAAAAAGTATTAAAATCTCCAAGTAATTTATAATTGTCTAAAATAATATATTATATTAATTATTTATTATCCACATACAGTTGCTTCATTTTACAAAACATGACCCATTTAACATTCAATTTTTAACTGTACTCACCTATGTCATTTGTCTGTGTTAGTACATACATATATTATGGTGTATTTATTTCTTAAGTGTCAAATTTTGCTTTATTTTTAAATCAAAATGTTATTTCTCTTAACAAAAATGGGTTTCAAAATTAAAACTGATAATATTATTATTTTTTATCAAGCTCATCTTTTTTTATTTTTTCTTCAATTATATCCGTATTATTCTATGATTTAGTTCTACTAATGAATCCGTTTTGTTCTACTAGTAGAAAAAAAACGGACTAAAAAAGTTTGTTCTATTAGTAAGAAAGAACGGAAAGAGAAATTATATTAATTTGCGACAGATTGGTTGATTAATTTATTCCTACCTAGCACAGGCACCAATTTTTATCATTAAAACTGTAAGTATGCATTAATTATTAAAACAAATTGGAAGGAAATAAGTTACCATTTACTATATTGACCACGTACTTTATTCCTCTTACAATAAAAATGTTTTATATTCTTTAATATGGATATTTATATTGGGTTGTGTATTTTCTATGTATAATATGTATGTATATACAAAATTATTTAAGTATTTCTATCAGTTGTCTAGTACCGATAGTAAAAACTTTACTTACTTTGGAACTAAACGGCGATGTATGTTAAAAAAGTTAAAGAACTTTGTATTTTTTGTATATATTGCTCCACGTAAATATTACCACAAGTGACCTTCCAAACACAGGAAACTCTCTGTTTCAACTTGAATAGCTCAGACGTTATGCATCACTGAACGGATGTCGGTCGCGGTCGATATCTCCATCTATTAAATTAAAATATTGACTGTAAGTTACACAAGAAAAAACTTGACTTCACTTTACATTTTTTAAGTGACTTCAAATAGAAGGAAGCCCTCTATTTGACATTAATATGTATCTGTATTGTACGATATCTTTTAAGTTTATGTCATATTATTTTTCCAAATTTCTGTATAATATATAACTTATTTTTATACTATCCTTATAATGAATAGGATCATCTAGTATGTACATATTGTTATAATATAAATATTGTGATGATTAACGAACTTTGGAAGCTATTTATTAAATTGAAATAAGAGGTCTTAATAAGTGTAACAGAAGTCAGAACAATATTTTTTAGAGTTTTTGTCTGCCTATCTATATATTTGACCTAATATCACGCAAAAAGTACAGCATCAAATTTATTCGAGTTCTTAAAGGTCTAACTTAAAATGTAGTACACACAACTTGATACATCATATAGAAGTGGGTACCTACTTCTAAAGTCTGGTGGTTGCAAACAATGCTAAATATACCTGGAGCATATGCAATTGTTATTCACGATTAATTTTTTTGTCATAGTTAACTTAGTTTCTGATTTTAAAATTTCTACATTCTAATAATGTTATAAATGTCTACGTGTGTAATAAATATGTATATATTAGTACAGTTCGTAATATTTAGGTATGGCATATACCTACTATTAGCAATTTTTTGATTGAATACAGGTTCAAACTATGTTCATTCCATCTTGCTGAAGTAAGTATATTTAATACGTTAGCTAGAAGATTTATTATTTTATAATGTCTTTAAATTCTTAAAGTATATATTTTCTTTTAATATACATTTGAAACTGAAACTTTTTTTGTAGTCGGATTTCTATCAATATACTCGTACAACCTTAGTTTAGATTAGTAATATTAAATGTTTCTATTAGAGAAGATACATAAAAAAAATAAGCGAATACAAATGAGTGTAAGAATAATAATAATATTTTACTTACAATTATTTTTACATCAAAATTATGTGAAAAAGTTTTTCTTAGTCACCTAATTTTGATAGATATATATAAAGATAGCCCATATAACATCCGACAATCCATTTGACTTTACTAAAAGCTCACATTGCACACAAAATTTTCACATACATATTTTTATCAAGTCTTGTATGTCCGTATGTTTGTGTGTGTGTGTTTTTTTTTATACAACTTAGAATGGCAAACAAGCTGACGGCCCAACTGATGGAAAGTGGTAACCGTCACCTATAGACATGGGCAGTACCATGAACATAACAAAGTATACTGTTTCGCCCATGATACCCCCATGCGTTGCCATTCCTGAGGACTCAGATGTTATTCCTCTGTACCCAATAAATTCACGCCATACCCCACCCTTCAAACCGAAACACAGCCATGCAAACACAACTGTTTCACCGTTGAAACACGAATGGGACAGAGGTACCCAATGTACAAAGTCTCCCTCTGGTGATAAGTATGTATGTAAATAGGTATTATTGGTGTGTTTTGTTACTCTATTTTAAATTATTAGTACATTACACGACAGTAGCGAAATTATTTTTATTAAATTAATTATTTTAGTAGACATCTTAAAAATATTATAAAGTTTTTAATATTATATTATCCGTTTAAATTCATTTACCGTGCCCAATAAAATCATTCTAGTTTTGAAATCTATAACTACCTACTTATACGAGTAACATACGATTGTAGCTTCCGTGTAATAAGAACGCGGCCATTATAACTTCAAAACAATGTGCACATCCAAACTAGTTCCTTTCTTTGCTATAATAGTGCTTAAATTGTTTTAATTATCAAAATAAGACATTGAAGATCTAGAGTTTAGTTCCAATTCCGATTATTCAGAATTGTTTTGATGGGTGAAAATGGTATGGTAACCCCGCCTGCGCTAACGGGATACGCTGGCGGAGCACCAGTGAAGGGTGATAGATGAGAATGAAAACAGGCCAGTTAGTCCATCATGATGAATTCATCAGGAATTAACCATGATAGTTTCCAGGGGGAACCGCGAGGAGATCGACCTGGTTGGGTATGTAGGCTACCAACCTCTTTCAAACCTATATAATTACAGAAAAATAAATAGTGACGTTCTTGACAATCTTCTTGTCTTAGCAAATTTTACGGAACTATATATTGTATCGCGACTTATTTTATCTGGATTTATTTACTGTAAATATTATTCATTATACAATCTCGTACCAAGTCTTTCTTTCTCTTACTCCTTCTGAATTTATATATATAAATATCATCAAGCCCACATCTCTACATTTCTACACATCTCTACATCTCTACACTGGTGACTCCCTTTTGAACATTTTCATTCATCGATTTTTGGAAGAAAAAAAATGATGGAGAGCGGCACCGTTTCCACAGTACGAGACGACACGTCATCCGAGGTATTTAAAGTCGCAATTAAAGTTCCACCATTTTGGCCAGAAGAGCCAGAGATATGGTTTGCTCAAGTCGAGGGCCAATTTGCTATTTCAAAAATTACCAGTGATCTAACAAAATTTAATTATGTAATCGGACAACTCGACAATCAGTTTTCTAAAGAAGTTAAAGACATTATTATCAGTCCGCCAGCAGAGGGGAAGTATGAAAAGCTGAAATTGGAGTTGGTTAAGCGCCTCAGTGCATCCAAAGAGAAGAAGGTGAAACAATTGCTAATGCATGAGGAGCTAGGCGACCGCAAGCCTTCGCAATTTTTAAGGCATTTGCAGAGCTTAGCCGGACCAAAGGTACCAGATGAATTTCTTCAAACAATTTGGACCAGCCGTCTTCCTGCTCATATTCAGACCATCCTTGTGGCACAACCTAATGCAGATTTAGATGTGTTAGCGGATCTAGCAGATAGAATTATGGATCTCGCACCACGTTCACCTCAAGTTGAAGCGACAGCTCGTGATGATGCAGCTGCAGGACCAAGTCCTAGCAATCACATGGCGAATGAAATAGCGGAGCTGCGCAAGCAAGTAAAGTCACTTACCATGCAACTAAATCGTCGCCAGCGCTCCAGATCTAGGAAGCCTCAACGTAGCCGATCAGCATCAAAGTCTCATTCTAATTATAAGAAATTTCCCGTTTGTTGGTATCACCATAAGTTTGGCAGTAGAGCAATTGTATCAAGCCATGCGATTACAATCAGGAAAACTAACAAGGCAATCGATAGCGGCGACCAGCGATTGCCCAACCTCCTGTAGTCGCCTTTTCGTTATGGATCGGAATACAAAGACTCAGTTTCTCGTCGACACCGGAAGCGATCTCTGCGTCTTTCCACGATCACTACTACGACAACGTCGGCCCAAGACCAATTATCAACTGCGTGCTGCTAATGGTAGCGTCATCGATACCTACGGTTACGCACATTTAAACCTAGACTTAGGTCTACGTAGACAGTTTCCATGGCGTTTTGTAGTCGCTGATGTAACAAAGTGTATTATAGGTATAGATTTTTTATCCTTTTACAATTTAATGGTTGACTGTCGCAATCAACGTTTAGTAGATAATACCACTACACTCACTGCTACAGCTTCACTTTCACACCCATCCAACACAATACAGTCTGTAAAAGTTTTGATAGGTGATTCTAAATTTCATAATATTTTAATTGATTTTCCTGAAATTACACGACCAGCAGGGGTACATAGGACTATTTCACACAACACAGTTCATCACATACGCACTACACCTGGCCCACCCGTGCATTGCAATCCCCGGCGTCTTGCTCCGGACAAGTTGAAAATTGCCAAACAAGAGTTTGAGTCCATGTTGGCTAATGGCACAGCTAGGCCTTCAGAGAGTCCGTGGGCATCGCCATTACATTTAGCTCCGAAAAAAGATAACGGTTGGCGTCCTTGCGGGGATTACCGTATGCTAAATGCACGGACGATTCCTGATAGGTATCCGATTAGACATATTCATGATTTTACTCATTCCATTTCTGGATGTAAAGTGTTTTCTACTATTGATCTTGTTAAAGCCTATAATCAAATACCCGTAAGTGTTCAGGACATACCGAAGACTGCCATTACAACCCCATTTGGTCTATACGAATTTCCGTATATGACCTTTGGTTTAAGAAATGCAGGTCAAACTTTTCAAAGATTTGTTGATGAGGTGACTAGGGGATTGGATTTCTGTTACTGTTATTTGGACGATTTCCTCATTTTCTCCAAATCTGAAGCTGAACATGAGCAGCATTTACGTATTGTCTTTGCCAGGATGAAAGAATACAACATTGTAATTAATACTGCAAAATCGGTCTTTGGCGTATCGGAAGTAACCTTTTTAGGCTATCGAATTTCCGAAAAAGGTACTAGGCCCCTGGATACTAAAGTGCAGGCGATCAAGGACTTTCCTCCACCAAAAGATGTAAGGCAGCTTAGAAGGTTTTTGGGCATGATAAATTTTTATAGGCGTTTTCTGCCTCATGCTGCCCAAATCCAGGCTCCACTTAATTCTCTTTTGGCAGGTTCAGTTAAAGGCTCTAGTCCTATTAATTTAACTGGAGACACATTAAAAGCCTTTGAAGCCTGTAAAGAAAGTCTCTCGAATGCTGCACTGTTAGCTCATCCAGATTGTGAATTTAAGCTAGCTTTAGTCACAGACGCCTCCGATACAGCTATTGGTGCAGTACTTCAACAATTTAAGAATGGTGCATGGGAACCTTTAGCATTCTTTTCCCAGAAACTCAGCCCTTCTCAACAAAAGTACTCACCATATGACCGAGAGCTATTGGCAATTTATGATGCAATAAAATACTTTCGTCATATGCTTGAGGCTAGACATTTTACAGTCTATACTGACCATAAACCGATCAGTTTCGCTTTCCATGAACGGAAAGCCAACTGTTCGCCTAGGCAGTATAGACATTTAGATTATATTTCCCAGTTTACCACTGACATTCGTCATATTTCGGGTAAAAATAATGTTGTGGCTGATACATTATCACGTGTTGATGAATTGCAAACACCAGTCAGTTTGAAAGCCATAGCTGAAGCACAGGAAACTGATCCTGAAATATCTCATTATCTAGATGAACCAAATTCTTTACGTCTAGAGAAACGAGAATTACCTGGGAGTTGTATCTCATTGTACTGTGATATCAGTACAACAACTCCTAGACCATTTGTTCCCAAAACCCTCAGAAAGGAAGTTTTTGACAGCCTTCATTCTCTGAGCCACCCCGGGTCTAACGCGTCTGCAAAAATGGTAGCTCAACGCTTTGTATGGCCCGGCATCAGAAAGGACTGCAGAGTGTGGGCTAAGTCTTGTCTGGCTTGTCAGCGATCTAAAGTAAGTCGTCACGTGTCTGCTCCGTTGGGCACTTACAACTTACCTCGAGCACGATTTAAGGTAGTACATATTGACCTTGTCGGTCCCATGCCTCTGTCTCAGGGTTATCGGTATTGTCTCACTGCCATCGACCGTTTTACAAGGTGGCCTGAAGCAATACCGATAACCGATATTTCAGCTGAAACTGTCGCCAAGGCTTTACTTTCAGGCTGGATTGCTAGATTTGGCTGTCCTGAGCAAATTGTTACGGACCGTGGCCGCCAATTTGAATCGGCGCTGTTCGAACAATTATCTCAGATTACAGGGTTCGAACACAAACGAACTACAGCCTACCATCCAGCGTCTAACGGCCTTGTTGAAAGATTTCACAGGCAGCTTAAGACATCCATCATGTGTCATGCGAATAGTACTTGGACGGAATCTCTTCCGTGGGTACTATTGGGCATACGAAGTTCTTTTAAAGAAGACTTACAAGCTTCTTCAGCAGAACTTACCTATGGAGAACCTTTAAGACTTCCAGGCGAATTTTTCGACCGCCATTTGGAAGGTTCTACTGATGTCACTGATTTTATGGCTCGTTTACGTTTATTCGCCAATAAAATCAAACCTGTTGCTGCTTCTCGTCATAGAAGTGACAAAATATTTATTTTCAAAGATCTTGCCACTACCAATTACGTTTTCCTTCGCGAAGACGCATTGCGTAGTTCTCTCCAACCAGCATATACAGGACCTTATCTTGTATTGCTCAGAGGTGACAAAACCTTTAAATTGTTAATCAAAGGTAAAGAAGTCACTGTTTCGATAGATAGGTTGAAACCCGCCTACATTTTAAACGATCACACCACACTTAACAACCAAGACACGAACAATTCTGTAGCTAGGACAACCCGTTCTGGACGTCGTGTCCGATTTTCAGATTTTTATCGCCCTTAACCAGGTCTCATGGGGGGGAGTGATGTAGGCTACCAACCTCTTTCAAACCTATATAATTACAGAAAAATAAATAGTGACGTTCTTGACAATCTTCTTGTCTTAGCAAATTTTACGGAACTATATATTGTATCGCGACTTATTTTATCTGGATTTATTTACTGTAAATATTATTCATTATACAATCTCGTACCAAGTCTTTCTTTCTCTTACTCCTTCTGAATTTATATATATAAATATCATCAAGCCCACATCTCTACATTTCTACACATCTCTACATCTCTACAGGTATATTGCTAGCAATGGGATTCTCAGTCTCCATTACTAACAATCCCTTTCCCCCCGATTATTCAGAATTATAACAGTATCTTATTTTTAACAGAATTTAAACTTGGGGACTTTTTTAATTCGACTCCCTATACCTTTTTCAATTTTGTTATAATATTTATAGTATATGTAGTAAAATATATGTTATATTATTATTTAAACCGTCATCGAGTATCTCTGCACATCATAGAGGTTGACTGGTACAAAATGCCTATATTAAAAGTATTCTTTACCAGCCAACATTTCTTTAGAAAAATGGCACGTTGATACGTAAATGTTCGCCATTCCTGACTAACATTAATTCTCTCCTTTGCACTATATTTTATTGGTCAATAAAGTTTAAATAGATAAATAAAATTTAAACAAACATGTAACCTAATTTTACTGCAGAGACAAAAATTCTTCAATCGCAAGTTGTAATTTGTAAATGGCGTAATATCATGATGCATTAGGAAAACGGTAATTCAGATGTTGTATCGGTAGTTATAATCGCATCTGTTTCCCTCTCATCGAGATTATAGTAAAAGTGAGAGCGTCTTCCGTTCGCCTGCACGTCTGCGCCTGCGCAACACTGCAGCCCTGTCTGCGATTGCTGGCCACATTTGCACGCACTGCCCGTTGCAAATAAAGCATACGAGTATTACTTAATTACAAAAATAAGGCAGTTGTAAATATTGTGGGCTTATCTCTAAATTAGATCTCTTCCATCTACTCAATTACTGTGATACAGGATAATTAAAATAATTGGCGAGCAACTGTACTGTGCACAATTAAATTGTTATTAGGACTACAAAAATAGGTTAATATACAAATATGTTACAAATATACCCAATTGGTAAAAAATAAGAGCAATATTTTTGTATATAAATTAGGTCCAAATACTTACATTTAATGCTATATGTACACAATTTTATACATAAGGTGGTCGATGGATTGGCTACTGTCGAAGTGTTATAGGCTACATATTAACAGTATTATTTATCTTATAATCATTTATTTAAAAAATATGAATACAATTTCCAGCCGTAGTATTTCCAAACTATATTTCAAGAAAAGAGCATATATCTTTTTTAAAGGCCGGCAGCACAGGTGCTCATGGGTAGCACTTTTAATTAATATATTAAATTTTAGTAATTAATTTTTAACTATGAACAACAATGATTATTACATATATTAAGAATTGTATATTCTTTTTTAATTGGATTCCATGGTATTATATATTATGTATTATTAACATCATGACTATCTAAATAAAAAAGCACTTTTCAAATATATTAATTAGACTATCAGTTTATTATAAAACATTTCAGAATAGGAATGAGGCCTTAATTGAATCCTAATACTGTACACTACGCAGAGTCCTTTGCCAAGCCCAAAATTCAAAATAGTAGTTTAGTTATAAAGATCTATATAATTTTGCTTTCTTGTAAATGCTACAATTTATTAGGTACTTCATTTCTGACATATTTTTATTAAATACTATTTAATATACCTAAACCCTTAGCCTAAACCTAACTGGAATATTACTTTTTATGTCTTCTGTTCTTGTCACGTATCTTTTTCTTCATACAATGTCAAGTGGTGAAAGTTGTACTAATTATTTTTTCTGTTGATAATTGATTGCGAAATTTAGTTACTACACGTACAATAGCAGGAGGAGTTTTATATAAATACCTATCCATTTTTTTTTTTAATTAAAGATATTTTTACAATATTACATTATGGTCTGAGTGCAAAATATAAATAAATGTAAGGCCGCCACAAAGCTTACTTATGAATAACATACATATACTTCTGAAAGTAGGTATTTTAAAAAGAGGAGGCGCCGTCTATATCGTCTTTAAGTAAACGAGATTAATAATCAATTCTTGTTTAGGTTAAGACTTATAATTTTTTTCAATTTGCGAACAAACAATAATAATATTAAAAACATTAAATGTTTCTTGTATTATTCTGCACAAATTTCGCTAATAACTTACTTCATTATTTTAGCAGTACTTACTTCTCTTTTGATCACTTACCAAAATCTGTTTCTTTGTAAAACAAAATCTTAAATTATCTCTTCCTCGCATATTTTAATGAGGGTCAATGAACTACAAGAGGCCTTCAAATCACGCAACACGCCCAATAATAGTATTCAGTAACGAAACCTAATACATATACCTATATAAATTGTTTTCCCGTTTTTATATCACATATACGTGAAGCAAAAATTTTGTACCTTTTTTTCCGAAAATTGCGCGGACGGAGGAGTATTTAATCTGGCACACTTATAGCTAATATGTTTTTTAATTATGTTTCAAAAATACATTAAATCAATAAAAACAAATTACTCACATTACCAGGTATTTGACACACACACACACGCATATATACTCTTTTGTTTTTTGTTAAAGTCTGTGGTCAAGTTGAAAATAGATTAATATTATTTATCTATAGTCTTACTGAATGTCAAACATAACCATAATAAATTCATTTATTAACAGGACACATCCAGATTTTTTAATTTTCTTGTTTTTCTGTCAGTATGACTTTTTGTATGATGATGCCTTACATTCCCGGTCAAAATTTTTGATACTTTTAAACACAGAAAATGAAAAAGTTCCCGTGGGATAGTTAAAAGTCTATACTAGCTTATACAGCTTAATACACAATCTACTTAAGTAATTTTGACGTAGGGCAAAAAGTGAGAACGACACGTCATCATTTACACGGTTACATCGTACATCGGTACATGCTAAACTTACAAACCTGTGAAAATTTCAACCCTACATTCTGGCAACAAAATTGAAATTTTTCGTCAACCTTCGTCAATTTATTCACATTTCTCTTTTTCTGCTCGATTCCAGGTGACACCCCAGCATCAGTTCAAGGTTATCATATTCTTGCAATATAATTGTAGTAAGTTTCGTATCATAAAATTTTGTATTATAAAATTGTCGTATCAATAAAAGTCGTGAATAAGAACCTTTTTTCTTTTATTTAATGATCGATCCAGTAGAGTTTACCAAACAAGGAGGTTAAAAATGTTAATCGAAGATATAATAAATATCACTCGGACAAATTCGCAGACATCAGCTAGTATGTAATATGTTAATATTTATTTATTTATTTATTTAGGCATTGCAACAGTATTACAATTCACATTAAATTGACTATAATAAACTTTATAACTAATTGTTTTAAAATTGTATACCATTAATTGCTACGCACAGCGTTAACTTATACTAGTTTCAATATTATATACAGTAACAATTGAAAATGAGAACAATTATATATTAAACTCAGACACTTCTTTTGCCATTTTAAGAAAAAAATTTAAATTATAAGCAAAAATGTCCAATTCATTACAATTATTGTACAGTCTGCACATGCGGAAGAGAGGATCATTAAAAGTTACATTGTTATTACAATAAGGTACATGAAATAATTTTAATATTCTCTTATTACCTCCTGTTTTAAACGAAACTTGGCTCAACAGATCGATAGCATCCCACTTTGCGTTTATAACTTTATATAGTATAATATATAACAATAACTTACTCGTAAAAAAGCTTTATCCATCAGTAGGACAGGACTGGGTTTATCTATCTAATCTATCAATATCTATGTGGTTGTAATTACTAACAATTAGTCTTACAATAGTACTAGGGCAGGGTATCGTCTCGACTCATTCGATTGTGGTCTATGGAAATATTTTCATCTTTTAAGTACAACCGAATTTCCACTTTATGACTATAATGTAAACCACATTTTCACTATAATAACAGATTTTTTTAAACTGTTTACACTATAAACTGCAAATTCAAATATAAGCTTTAGGTTGGCGTCGTCTAGTTGAAATTGCAATGAAACTGATTGAACTTGAGGACATTGCATTTGATATTCAACTATGATCTCTAGAATCTTGGTGTAAGGTTTACATTAGCTAGTATGAGAATATCATGGAATAGATTGAAGCCATTGAGAGCCAGTGTCGCGAAACGCGACCACGTTGCGATATAAAAGGAAGTTTTGTTTAAATTTCTTTATCACACACCAGCTGCCTGCACCCGCGTTCAGTCACTCACTGCTCTCACCATACTTACACGATGTCTGCTCGTTTTCTGGTGAGTTACAAAATATTAACAATATTATATAAGAAATTCATCTTCAAATAAAAACAATTGAGAAATGCATGCCAAGGAACAATTACATATGTCAAGCTATTTGTTTCCTTGAATTAGTGCTTGCTATGAAATTTGCTTACTCTTATTTATTATAATTATGTTGAAAAACATACACCTATATGACAACAGATGATCTATTTACGTTAGACAGCTGTTTAGCTCTCCTTAAACTTTCAAATAGTTCCAATGTACATAATATAACAACTATAACATAAATATTAGAAAATAATTAAATTAGAAAATAAGTTTTAGTTCAATGAACAGCCTGAAAACATGGCCTAGAGCTTTCTATTTGTCCGTTGCAAAATTATGTTCGGAAAAATAGAAAAAAAAACCATTACGGTACTGGCTGTCTAAAATTAGTGCACCTATAAAAGTTACTATTTAATATGCGGAAGTAATTAGCGATCTAACATAATATAACTGCCGGATAGTTAAGTAATCATCAAATACAACTTTTTAGACTGGGGCGCTAAAAAACAAAAAAGTCCAGAGTGAATGGCGTCTTAGATGCTGTCATTTCTCAGTTGCAATTTGAAAGTGTAACATTCTATTACAACACTATAAATCAGATACTCCATAAACGAAAACATCTCTGTAGTTTACCTTAATAGGGCAAAATATGTTTCCTTGCAATGATTACTGTGAGCTTTATTCTTGATTATATCAATCTTTGTATTTGTATAATGGACACTCGATTTACTATTGTTTTTCATGAAATTTCTTTATACTTAATGTATATAAAGAAATTTTATGCATAGCAAACTGCTTATTCTCATTGCGAATTGTTACAGCATTTGCATCTGCGAATTATACACATATTTATGTAATTAATATTACAGTAATAATCATAAATAGTACTTTATTATTATTTCACTAATATCCTTTTGAATTTTGATATAAAGAAATGTTAAAACTATTTCTACCTATATTTTTAATAATATACTTTATTTCAAAAAATTTGAATTAGTTTATTAATGACATTACTGTTCTACTTTCCAGGTAGTACTTGTGTGTGCGGTGGAGCTGGCTTCGCTCGTATCAGCGGGAGGTCACGGCGGCGGTCACAAGAAGGTGATCATCCACGTACCACTATTCGTGAAACATCATCATCACAAGCATACGATTGTGAAGCATGTGCACCACAAGAGTGGAGGTGGTGGTGGTGACGACCACTATGAAGTCCTTGGTTACACGTATGGAGAACCAAAGCCAGCGCCACACTTCGGAGGAGGTAAGAGTAATTATAATCATTATTTCTAAAACATCAATGTCTGAGAAAATATTTGCCTTTCAATGATGATCGATTACCTTTTTTATCACTAGGGTCTAAAAGACATATTTATCTGTTTTAAAATATATATTGTTATTTAAAACGTTTGATATGTTAAATTATCAAATAAGCTATCGACTTGTAAATATAAAAAGTGCCTTCGATATCAGTTACACGAAATACTTTTTCATCACCATCCCCATTATTTGTATAGCCAAACATGTACCTAGATACCCCATGAACAACTGTGATCCCTATAAAACACAGTTATTAAACATACTTTTATCTATAAGTAAATTACTAATTCATATAGTAGTACTATTCAATAAATCAGAATTATCCTAATTACCACTTAGTACTGACAGCTTAGTCGGACAACGCTTGCCTGCAGTCCAGGGATCAAAAGAGCGACCGCTCTCTTCTCTCTCCTAGCCTAACCTCTGAAATTTTAAATTAATGTTTGGTTTATTTAAAAGTGATTGTCACTTATTTTATGTTTCGGAGGACAAATAAATAAAAAAGACGTCGTTCGGAAAGCTGCGGTAGAGGCTTTCGTGTATAAAGAAGGCGATCTAAAACCTCTTGATTCCAGAGGGCGACACTCTAACACAAGTAGTATTCACCTTACTGATTTTTTTAAATATGTTATTATAAATTTTAACGTTTATACTGGAAAAATAATCAAAATGTATTCTTAGCGAAAGAGTCCAGAATTTTTTATAGTATTTCAGATTAATATTATATTGATGAATCTTTAATAGATTGGAACCAACACGGAAATAACAGTGTCTATTACAAAATATATATCAAAATCGGTTAAGATTTATTAATACTTATAGAACAGGAACTGTAATTAATTTATTCAAGCAAAAGTAACTATGTTTGTAAGGTTATATTAGGGATTAAATGCTTCTATATAAATACCGATACTTATGATATTTAAGTATTCATATAGGCCGATATTGGTTGTTATCGCATTCTACGAGTTATTCTAGTTTCAATATATATATATATATATATATAGATATTTAGTGCAATATTGCAGTAGGGTATAAAAAAGTAATTAAAAAAAAAAACATATTATATTATTAGAGCTCGTAATTTCATTCACAAAATGTGAAGTTTGATTAACCGAAGTAAAAAATACCATAAGCCCTTTTTTATACTAAACTTATGTTCCGCCCTAGCTTGGCACGGGTAGATAGATAGAAGAATAAATATTAAATGTATTAAAAGTATTTTATATAAGCATTAATAGACAAATTTTGTGATACATTACATTGTTAAATTATTTTAATTATCGTAGAGATATCAATTTTTTTTTGTATATAAAATGTAGCCTATGTTACCTGCTGATAATAAAGCCTTCTATAGGTGAAAACTTTATTATCAGCGTTTCCAATCCAGGTTGAGTAGTTTTTGAATTTATCCATTACAAACATACAAATAGTTAAAATTTTCTTTTTTATAATGTTAGTAACGATACTGTGCTGCCAAAGTAACAAACTCACTCTCATGATATTATTTATTTATTTAACTCTTTATTGCACCATAAACAAAAATATACAATGACAATTGAACAATTCAAGTAAAATACAGTAATATAAATACAGATTAAAATATACACATAAAGGCACAGAAGGTGATCTTATAGCTAGGACAATCTCTTATAGATAACCTAAGTTAAGTTTATACACAAACTAATATCTCTTTCATGACGGATAGGTCACGGTTGGGGTGCAGCAGACGAAGGCCACGATGGTAGTTACGGCGAGTCTCCGGTGAGCTTCGAAAGTGACCACGGTGGCTACGGTCTCTCAGCCGCTGGTGACGACAGCTCGGACTTTGGTCATGGTGGATACTGAGCTTAACAATGCAGTAAACACTATTATCATGTACAGTACAAATCACTAAAATTAGTACAATTAAAGCACTCCAGATGTAAACATAAACATCTATCAGAAATTATTTAGCAGGTATAAATTTGCAAGTATGGAAGTGACGAGTAGTTACAGCTATTTACAACTTGTCCCGCAACATATTTCATATTTTATGTATAAAATTGCATATTATACTTTTTTGTGTATAACTTTATACGTACTTTGAAATTGTACAAGTGAATGATGGCCTCTCCAGTTCTTCACATCTCGTAATGAATTATAGGCACAGGGAATACGAGTACAAACGAGCCCAATAAATATTGGATTGATCATCAATTTTATCTATTTCCTGTATTAGGTTACATTACATACATTAAATCACGTTGTGATAGATAGCTAGCCGTGTAATTCGATTTTTTTCAATAGATACACGATATGTTCTCATTAATTATATTTAATGGTACCTTAGCTTTCTCGGGATATAAAATGCATTTGTGTGCACGGATCTCTCATGGGATCTGTTATCAAGGTTTGTGAGCTTGTGTTGCATTATGTAAATAATAGATTAATACTGTAGTATGTAGTCGCCAAAAACTACCTGCTTTTACAATGTAATAGTTTAAGACTGTTTTTGTGAATGTTATCCCGGTTTAAGCGGGATTTTGTTAATAATGTTATACACACTGTTATTAAGTTAATTATTGTTATTGCCATATTTGTTTTTTATTTCACACCCTTTATTTATTATTTACATATCTCTAGAGTATCATTAGAGAAAATAACAAAAACTATAATCATTAGCGCCATCGAGTGTCGAAGAAATGTAATAAATAGCAAATTAAATAAAAATAAACGAGACATTAACGTAACAATTTAGAAAAAGAATAATGTTAAATAAAAAAAAAAAAACAATAAGATATTGTTATTTTAGTCCAAATCATTGGTAAATGATCTAAGGATCTACTATGATAATAAATTATGTATATACCTTATGTAGTGAATAACAAATCGCGATGAAGCCTAATTACTGGCAATGTGTTTAAGAATTTCCAACCGAAGTCTCATTTGAATGACAATCAACACAATAACAATGTTATGTAAGTTTTCGAGAATACGCAGCCGCAATTGTCGGCTCTTTTCTAGTACACCAATGTTAAATCCGCACGTAACAAAGGAATTGACGCTTTACTTTCTACATATTTTGTATTTTTTTTTTTTGCAATTTTCTTCGACCGAGCGATTCTAACTATCCTATTGAAAGTTCTTTACTTCCACTTTTATTTGTGCGATGGCCACGTACACAAACGAAATGCGTAACAGAGAAAACAAAACAATTAACAGAGATATTATTACTATATAGTAGTAATTCTTAAGTACTATTTACTGCGGAATTATTCATCTATAACAAAGTATTAATATTCCATTGCTGTGTTTGGGTTCCTGCTCTTACGGTGGGGATATTAATGAATGATAATGGAACGGAAACCTTGTCTACGCTAACGATGAACGCTGGCGGAGTATCAGTAAAGGATATAAAGTGACAATAAAAAGGCAGATTAGTTAGCCCTTCGTGATAAATACACCTGGAATTCTGCTTGATGATGATGATATTAGGAATATTATTCTACAATTATACGTCGTGTGTGCCCCGGAATAGAATAGGCCACCTCTTCCTTTCCCGTGGGTATCGTAAGAGGCGACTAAGGAAGGGCGAGGGATGGACAGCAGCGTCCCTCTTAAAACATCTTTAAAAGCCTTACTGCGGTTGCCAACCCGTCTGTCAAGCGTGGCAATTATTGGCAAAACTCCTGTTATGGCGAAGGTTTATGCCCAGTGATGGACAGTTAACGGCTAAAATAATAATAATAATAAAAATTATCACAGTAGCACTATCTAACTTCCAGCATATTACATGATAAATATAGAAAAACGGGTACTAAAGACCAATATTATCTTACTAATATAATCAAATTGTAATTAGACTATGTCTGTATATGGAAATATTAAAAAAAATGTATAAGAGGGGTCTTAATAAGACCAATACAAGCCAAAGCAATAAATTTTCTAAATTTTGTGTTTGTATGTTTATTCCGTGATGCGGAACAATTACTGCTTCAAATTAGGTACGGGTTATACAATTGTATTACTAAAGATCTAACTTAAAATCTGGTGTTTAAAAATTTAATATTTTGATACGTTATCTAGAAGTTTATTTAATTAATTTTTCTATTTCTGAAATCCACGCGCACGCAGTAACGGACAAAAAGCTACTTATACATGTGTGACTTGCTTTCGTTTTCAAATCTTATAATATCTATGTTATCTATGTTACAAATGCTCTACAAACTTGCCTTACCTTTTCCTTTTAGACAATACAAAATCTATACCTTCACAACAAGTCTATCCAGGTCTCCCCCAGCACCAACATATTATTCATATATTTATGAGTAATCATTTAAATAAATTATATATAATTTTTTGCTCAAAGATGAAGTTCCGTAGACATCTATGATAGCACCATAGTGACCTAATGAATTTCTTGAAGATTGAGAGTGAATTTAAATATGATTGACACTGAAATTTTATGTTTCAATTTAGACTTAAATCTTTGCTCTGGTGAACGTATTTAAAAATTTGTTCGATAATGGTAGATATGTTCATACCATCTATCACATTGAGTTTTGATTGTTATATGCTTGGAAAAAGGACTAAGACAAATATCTTAGCTCTTTAGTCCTTAGCTTTGACATACACAAGTGTGAAAATAAACAAATTGATGATCCAACCTTAAGATAGTATATCTGTTGGTTTAAAGATGTGTCATTTAAAAACAGCAGAACTCTTTGAACAAAATCTAATCAAGTAGGTATTAGCCCAGCCTAATTTAAAAAGTGACGTATATTTTTTATAACACAGTCATGCTAATTGTATCTTATTATTATTATTGTTTTTTTTTCTATTCAGGTAGGTACTAGAAATCATCCTTAATAATATGTCTGGGTATATTTATCATACCCTGGTCAATTTTGGGATATTATTTGCCAAAATAATTTAATTCCAGTTACATTATATTTACAATCGATGATATAGATATAAAAATATAAAGAATACCAGGAATGCCAACTTATGAGGAATATGAAGGCCACCGTAGTGTATTCAGAGACATTCATAGAACGTTAAAGTCTATAATCAAATTTTATCATATTTTGTAAGGTCAAATTGTCTTGCTTTTAAATTAAAAAGTTGATACTTTGTATCTACGTAGATAATGTATATGTTAAAAATCGATTTTGAAGTAGCAATAGTCGATAGTGTACCTCTAAATATATTTTTAATAATAATGGCAATTATTTTAATATAGTTTGATACAGTCGCGTACAAAAATATATAATAAACAATTACTACATGGTGAAATTAAATTAGTCTCTGACAATTTGAGATTCTTTTTTCTATGCAATACGTCTCTATTCTTATGGCAATACCTACTTGAACTAATATGACAAGTCGTAAAAGCGTTAACATGTTATTACCCATGATTGTAAATCAATTGGCAGGGCAACAATAAAGAAGATTGTCAATGCATTTAGCGAAACATTTTTTTGCTTTATTTTCTCTACTTACCTTTTCCGTACTATTATTACGTGAGAAACCATTTGTGTTTCCCTTCCATGATTCTGTTTTAATTAGTAATAGTATAATAATCAAAAATTCAACTACACTGCATTTAGCTTGTACGACTGCGTTTCAATCTGAATCAAATATAGCAGTGATATTCAGGGTATAGAAATACAACATCTTAATCCTCAGGATTGGTAACCTTTTTGAATTTTTGAGTCAGGAAATTTCTGTCCTCATGTATTCTATAATATATACAGAGTCTGAGTTTTACGTACTAATATTTAAGATGCTTATGAAATTATAAACTATAACATATTAATTATAACAGTCACTATTAGTGACTGTTAAAGATTTTATGATGAAAGATATCATATTAAATTCTAATTTCCACTAAATTTTTCACTATTGTTGGATAGGATCAAGGTATCCAGAGATTTAATTTTTTACACTATGTGTTAATAGAATGGTGAGGACATTCTCGTAGTTTCTCATTTGTGAACTATTGTTCTGCAGTAGTAGTTCAAATGTCTTTAAAAAATACTTTATAGCAACTTAGTTACTTCACCTAGTGAATGTCTTTGCATTGGATACATCTAACTACGAAATTGTGGACAAAGACTGATTATACTCGCCACTTCATTTGGGTTGTACGGGATCTACTAATTGACCGAAATAAAAGTAATAACAGTTCATCTTTTATTCCTTTACTGTGCAAACATCACAACTCATTCCCCAAAAGCATAAATGCCCTCCCCAATAAATTTACCTACTAACCTATTAAGTCCTCTAAATTAAACCAAATAATACGACTGCCTAAGTTGTATTATTTGGTTTGGTTTATTATGCATGTTTATTGATGTTTGTATATGTGTTATTTACTATATTACAGTAAAATATAAACTAATTTATTGTTTAAATCGCCATCGAGTGTCTTTGAATATCCTAAAGTTTGACTGGTAGGGCCTTTAGCATTAAGTCTGCCTTTTGTACTATATTTTATAGTTCAATAAAACTAATGAATGAAAAACTGAAAAGGCAATTATCATAGATTACACATTAGAAAAAAAGAATTGTTCAAAACTAATACTAAGTAACTTACTACTAAGTATATAGTTAATAATAAATACCTACATCTTTATAAACTTGAATTTTGAAAAAAGGAAAACTAATCAACTATTACCACTTTCCATCAGGTAGGCCGTCAGCTTATTGGATACTCTAAGTTCCATAAATAAAAAAAATACTTAAATATCTTCTAGATACAGACATCGTCCAGTTACACTTGTATTGTTTGTATGTAAACTAGAGTATATAAATTATATTTATTTGTCATCATTTTAATTTAATACCGATTACATTCGAATACAGCCATTTCATAAAAACATTAGAAAAATAATTTTCTAATAAATATTTTTTATTATTTAAAATGACTTCTTCCATTACTGCTCCAAGAATATATTATATTTTCTGTTTCGTTAATGATATATCATTACAATCCCTTCAATAATAAATTCTATAAAACATAGTATGAACTGTAAATAATTATTTTGACATTAGAAATTAAAATTATTCACATCTAAAGTTAGTTTAGGAGTTCTTTATAAATCAGTCACATACACCACAGTGCTGCCATTATTTTTCTTGTCGTGTCTAAAAATCGTATGCTCGTATATATCGCAAATCCGGCCCCACAAGGAGTATTGCTGTCACTTATGGACCTACCTACCAGCTTGAATTCTTCAACTCAGTGCAACGATGAATTATGAGAATTATGGATGCTCCCAGACTTACAAGTGGTATTAAACCCTTAAGTCTTAAGAGAGATTGTACCTCACTCTGCATGTTCTACCGCTTGTATAACGGACTATGCTCAGAAGAATTGCTCAATATGCCCACGGCCACTTTTTATCATCGAACAGTTCGCCATCGACAGAGAGTTAACCGTATACCTTAGAATCTAAATGGTCACGTACAGCGCGATTTCAGAAATGTTTTCTTCCACAAAGGCTCAGGTTACGAAATAAACTCCCTGTAGAGGTTTTTCCAAGAGACTACAGTATGGAGTTCTTCAAAAAAGGGGTAAAGATTCAGGGACGACAACGTGCACGTAATGTCCTTAATATTGTAGGCATTCATAGGCTAACGCAACTGTTTACCATCAAGTGGGTCGTATGCTTGTTTACCACCACAGTGGTATAAAAAATTTATAAGATCTGTTTCATTCTATATAGATTGATCAAAATAATAATATATAGGCGCCACACAATCACACCATTTGCCTATTCTCAAGCTGGGATACATCACGGTATGAGATACCAGACAAGGAATACCTGGAGGCATATCTTATAATACCCTGTTCATTCCCTAAATTAGCCCGACCGAATATCGAGCCCGGGACCTTATTCACTCAAAGCGACATTCTTACAAATGTGTCACGGAGGTCTCTATCCATTGATTCTTTAAGTCGTTTTGCTGTGAAGTAAAACTGCTTCCAGTTGTCTATCTTATATGATATATCTTATATTATAGGATAAAAAATTTACATACTGACGAATATATATATATTCGTATATATATATATATATATATATATATATATATATATATATATATATATATATATATATATATATATATATATACTATCAATATTTTTAAATAAACAATACAGATAATGAGAACAATAGTTTTAAGACTTGATTAAATGTTCCTAAGTTGACTCGGCCGACTAGCAATTAAAACGTTAAGAATCTAATTCATCATGCTGATGAACTGCATTCGCTAATTGACGATCAGTCAACAACCATTTAAATTAGTACGTAATAAGTAAGCGCCATACAGTCAAACTGCCTGCTCCTCAAGCTATTTAGAAACTATGTCAAATCAGAATATTTAGATTACAGGTTCTAAATTTACTCCACCGAGAATCATACCCGGAATCTTGGAAACTTATTTATTTAGAGAAACGTGCTTACCATTCCTGGGAACCGTCAAATATACATTATTGTTTTTTTGCGAAACTTTTCATGATATCCAAATATAAATTAATTTTAATAAGAATTTATAAAGTTTACAAAAAAACGTTTGCATTTTGGCACGTGCGACTGTACATAATTTAAGCCTACTTACCTACCTACAGCACGATCTGCTGTTACATTATAGTCTTATTTCTTGTTGCGCAATATTTAGTTACCGATTCTTTTTTCTTGTTATCAAAATATTCTATTGTAGTTACGTTGTCATTAGAGACGGTTTATTTTTCACAGTTTGAGCAATGCCGGATCTAGGGCGTGTCCAGTTGTCGTATTGTCATTTGCTTTTTGAGGTGCAATAAATTATGACTATGTAGCTTGATGATATAAGTGCTTTCAAACGTGATTACTGGTTATGCCGATTACGGATATTAATGACAACCGAGTGAAAGTACCACAAAATTACATTAAACAAAAAAGTATGTAATATAGCAATTTAAGTAGATTTAAACGTAAAAACATATTAACAACAAACACCAACTAAAACAACAAATGAACAAGATTTATTTAAATAACAACAATGAACTGAGTGCTTAATATAAAAACTGGCATGATTTTATGTTAAATATTTATAAATATAATACTTAGTTAACATTGTAACACTTTGTACTTAATAATACTCACAAGTCTCGGAATTCTTCTATAAATATAGGTACTTAGGTTTACGAATATTTGTAATGAACTTTAACAAAATAAATACTAATTATAACGTAATTTATATTATTTTCTGTTATAAATTAAATTAATCCATTAAGATTTATAGGTATACAGATATCTGTATTTTTCTACCACATAAAATGTTCAGCATTATACTAAAGATTAGGAACCAATCATCTTCTAAATTTATATTTTTATTGAATTAAATATACTGGCGTCATAGTTTTAATACACTGCTAATAAATTAGTACACGAGGGTTTCGACACCACCAGTCTTAATTATTTGTTGTATACCACCTGTCCTTGTAAAAGAGACGGGAGTTTCTTCGTTGATGCTATTTTCGTCATTCGAGAGCAGAGCTGTTTCACCAGTGGAACCGACAAAAGAGTTCTGGGGACTATCAAATCCGGCTTGATCTTCTCCATACGTTGCTGGGTATTGAGCAGATGGTTCTACACTTACAGGTACTGGTATAGCAATGCTCGGAGAAGGAGCTGACGATGCAAAAGGTGACTGCTGTACTACTCCGGTAAAAGATTCTACGTCGCCTAAAGCAGAGGTAGGCTCAGGTGCAGTTGCAAAAGGATCGTGAGTCTGAATAGGAGTTTGAGGACTTATCTGAGTAAAAGGATCATGAGTCGGTGCATCAACACCACGTACAAATGAAAAAGTTCCTGGATATGTCTGTTGTAGACTATTTATAGAATTGAACGATTCGTCTTCGTCATCGTCTGCTTCCGTAACTTCATAGCCGTGAGAAGGATCTAGATTATTGTTACTTGGTATTGCGCCTGGTAATGAATCGAACACTTTTACTTGTTTCACTGTGTGTGTTACTCCATGCACCTGAGGTGTGATACCGTGGTATTGTGGACCTTGAGCAGCAATACCTCCGTACGTTGGTACTGATGGTGTAAATGATGAACCAAAATCTTCTTCGAACGTTGTGCTTGGTACGTCGTAAGTAACCGGATCGTGGTGATGATGCCCATGGTGTCCGTGGTGACCATGATGACCGTGAGAACCGTGATGATGTCCATGATGACCATGATGGCTGTGGGACCCGTGGTGATGGCCATGATGGCCATGATGACCATGATGACTTTGATGTCCATGTCCTTTAGACACTGTTTTCGTAGTAACATGTAGTTTCTTGTGATGATGATGGTAATGTGGAACATGGGCAATATGAGGCTTATGGTGGTGATGGTGATGGTGATGATGATGCTCCTTCTTTGGTTTATGGTGATGGTGATGAATTGTGATCACTTTTGTATGATGATCGTGATGAATAAACTCCGGCATGTGGATTCTGAGGTGTTCACTGTAAAATGATATATATTGTTAATATAAATTGTAATTAATTCAATCAAATACAATATTGCGTGTTTTATATTTATAATACATGCAATTGCTTATGAAAATATCGCTTTGGAAATATATTTATTTGATAAATAATTTGAAACCATAAAAATTAAACCACTAATGTTCGCATATTTTGAATGTAAGCACAGGCATAATTTTTATTTAAATTATATAGACATTAATGACAGGTAAATTCGCAATTGCCTTATCTAGATTTACTTTCATGTTAATATTCTTAAAATAATTCTTACTGGTGTTTTCCTCCGTGTCCACCTGACTCGCCATCTTCAAAACAGAATATCACCAACACTGTTAAATACTTTATAAAATTCATCATTCAATCTAAGCTGATGGCACTACTAATATTGTCCGTAGCACGCTGTGTCCAAAAGTCAACAGAACTAATATCACAAAGTTAAACCTTCTCACATTTTGTTTTACATCACAAACTATACTTTCTTTTCTTTCCTATTTTTGGTTTTATTTTAAAGCATTGGACCGACGAACATAAAGCGGCCGCGCGCCGCAACGCTACCACACCGGATTGAATAGCGAAACATCGTGAGATGACCATTTATCCAATTTCACTTAAATAAACCCGTAATATCAACAAAAAGACAACAATTGTTGTTGTCAGCGAAGCATGCCAAAAGACGTACTAGATGGTATAGGTGCCACGAATGTCGCTCTAATTTCGATCGATGCAGAGTTCGATTCGTTGGCGGCATGATTTTTGTGTTAGACTCATTTTTTGTGGTCACTGTGCGAAATAACTATTTCGCTATTACAAAACGACGCATTCGGTTCTGCTGCAGATCGGATGCCGTAACCGAGCCGCCATTGCATTATGAGGTGTTCCTTGTTAATAGACTAACTTCCGTACGAATGATAATATTATCTAAAATTTATTCAATATAATTATTAAAGTAAAAAAAATGTTAATACTTAAATATGCCAATAAGATTAATTAATCATAGATAACTTGTGTATTGTATTGTTAAATAACGATTGTGATTTTGTATCTTAAGGCAAATATTATTTACATGGTTACATAAAACCTAATTGCAAACAAACATAGAATGTATTTAACTAGGAAACGGAAGCTTTTTTCTTTTCTATTAGTTTTTTTTTTTTTGTATCTGTATGTTAAATTAATATAGAAAAGGTATAAAGAAATATTATTTAGGAAACGAATTTTTTTTTGAGTGACAATTTATATTCCTAAATGACATCTTTGATTAGAAGAAACATGTAAGTAGAAGTTATAAAAATGTCCGACAATGAAACGGAAATTTGACAATATGACATATACAGTCTTGGATTTTAATTGTTTACTTTCTATTACTTCTTTTTTATATACTTATTAGTTATTACATATAGGGTTTTGCTCCCTTTTCCCATGCTTATTTGTTAATCTCTTGATCCGTTATATTTCTATCTATAATCTCTTTAAATAATGGTCTAACTGTCAAGTTTTAACGATGACGAGTGAAGATGTTTAATGATACTTTACAAATAATTTAAGAAATATTTGTAACGATATATTGATCTCTACTAATCAGGACCAATAAAAAGAGTAAACAAAACTGTGTCTATGGTCGTGCGGTGGCGTCTAATAAATAAGCCTCATAGGTTTGTAGGCGTCAGCCCGCGCCCGTAAATATTTCTAAGTGTAAACGGGGCCCATTAAAATTTAATTATCCGTTCCATTCCGATTTATTGATTTCCCTCGGGAAACATTCCTTTGAGAAATTTACCGTAGGCTTCAATTATTTATATGGGGGATATCAGGAGGTACGACGCATGATATAGTAATGATTGGAATACAATATACATTATTATAGCCTTTTTTGAAATAGTAACCCCGCCTGTGCTGTTTTAGTCTACTCAATGCTCTAATTCGCACAAAAGCATATGTACGCAAACTTTGTATGTACTCTACAATAGCAATAGTCGACAAACACCCATTGGGAATTGCATTATTTGACGGATAAATCCCTCCGCTCGACCAATTTCAAGAAATTCTTAATAAATTTGCAAAGTGGTCCATTGAATAGACATCATCCTCATAGTTTCATCTTTCATTACCGGTGCCCTTCCATTGGGCGAGTGCACTATTTTATCTTCACCTATCTTATATAAGTGACACAATGTATTATTTTATATTCAGCCAGTATATTGACATAATGCTTCAGTTTGATTGCAGTTAAGGATATTAAGATCAAATTCCGTCCTCTCTGATTTTCAAATTAATATTTATATTTTGTATATATAAAGTTATTATAACTTTCTACATGTCTATGACGACATATATGTGTCTAATTTTTAATGTTTTTTTACGATACTAGTTTTTTGCCCGCTACTCCGTACGCGTAAATTACAGAAGTAAGAAAATTAATGAAATAGACCATTTCTATATGGCATATCAACATAAAATATACACCAGTTATTAAGTTAGAGCTTTAAGAATATAACTTCATCCAATTTCGTACACTCGTTTTAGACAGACAAAAGGATTGATAGACAGACAGATAACGTTTCTAAAAGTTGTTGTTTTGGTTTAAATTGTCCTTACTAAGACCCATATAAATTTTTCTTATATATTTCCCATGTACTGATATTGTCTAGTCACAATTTTATTATATTAGTAAGAGTGGAGTAAAAATCATAGATATGCTGTCGTTAAAACACTCAAATAAAAAGTAATAACGCAAATAAATAAACTACAAATAAGTGTTATAATTTATTAACATTTCAACAACAGTTTTAAAACTAAGTTATATTTGTTTTGCAATTCAGTAACAACAGATGAAAATCGCATAGCAAATACTGGTACATGACATTCAACATTTTAAAATATTAGCCATTAAATTTAAGATTAAAATCAATTTATTAAGTTATTATTTTGAATAAATTCCCTAACTAATGAACAAACACATGTAGGTGCCAAGAAAAACTAATTTTATATTAAGCGTTTTTTAAATAATAAATCAGAATTAAAATTTATATGTTCATTGTTAATTTATTTTTTATAAAGATATATATACACTATTAGGCAATTTCAGATTCGATATTCATTATACTAGAATAAAATAAATACACAATATTTTTAATATAGAATTATATAATAAACATTCGCAATTGTTTATTAAATATCAATTTTTAACATTAAAAGAAATAGTGTTCTGATAATTAGTCTCAAGACTTGTTACAAGCATTTTATAGATCATTAAAATTACAATTAAAGCAATAATTACGCATGTTAAATTATCACATGCCTGGATCGTCATTAATATTTATTGCCCCAAACAAAAGGATAGATTAAAAACATAATGTTAAGGTGGGATTTATTAGTATACCGTAAAGCAATAAAGGCTTGATCTTATGATGTGTAATAATAATATTATAAAAGTAATTGGTTAACACAATTTATACAATTTTAGATTCTTTGGTTTGCAGGCAAAAGAAAATTATAAGTTATACTCGTAGAATAGTTACTTATTAATTATTCCATAAAATAATCACATTTTGTACAATATATTTGAGGTTATTATTGATAAACATGGGAACGAAAATTGATACCTATTATTTTCTTATAATCTGTTCGTAGATATTTCATTTGTTTTCAATTTCGAGTCATATCAACATTTAGTTTCCACTTTTTATATTTAGATATACCAAACGAATATATGGCATTTTCTTATTTCAGTCTATTTCTCGATCATCTGGACCAACTGTAAGAAACGATAACAATTATTTATGTTAGTGTTCAGGCAAATTCTAACCGCTGTAATTGCAATTGGACTAAGCAGGACAACTTAATTGGGCATATAAATAACAATATAAGAATAATAAGAAGAAATTTAAATATGTAAGATTCCGTTCTCTATACTTTAGATTGATATCTAAAGGTACGCCTCTATAAATCATGTGACAACAAATTTGTTTAAGAGGAAAAAATCAATCATCTGTTATTATCGCGCTGGGATTGTAACCAATTCCAAGTAGTAAGAATCTATTATAATATGTTGCCATACATATTATATTAAGTTATTATCTATAAAGTATTAAAAACGGCACTACTTATAATAACATAACGTCTATGAAAATACTTACATATCTATCGAAAATTAAACTTATACGATTACTTTGTTAAAAAAATATAATGATAAATAAATGACGAGCCCTGTGCTCGATATTTATTTGTAACTATATATTTTTATTTTAATGATAAATGCTTTTGATGATAAGTACTATTTTTCGGTAAACATACATATATAAATATATTCATATCGTTTGGAAAACAGTGGAATATTTATTATTTTACTAATATTTACTAATATTACTTTACAATAACAATACCAACTTTTTTACTTACCTAATGTCTATAAAGAGGGATACCATGTCGTTTCGAATGCAGTGGCAGATCGCGTGGCATTTTGGGCAAATCTAATGGGTCTAGTGGGACGTCGGGTAGAAATTCGGGGATTCCAATTCCGGGAATAGGTTGAGTATGCTGTCCCACGGGTGGCGGTGGTGGCAACTCTTCATGTAAATGCATATGGTGGAAGTGCTCGTGTTCCTCAGATGGAGAGATCGCGTGGTCAATATGCGGATCGTGATGAGTGTGATGATGATGTATCGTCTTGTAAACTGTGTGCGTATGCTTTATTTTCTTCACCTTATAAGGTACGTGTATAACTACTTTTTTTGTACGCCTGAAAAAAAAGCACTTATGAGTCACCTGTTTTCTTGTTGCTTAAATATACTTTAACATTATGTTATAAGATTAGCTAGATTAGAATTATGTATTTAGAATAATTAATTGGACATACATAATTGTAAAATTTTTACTTTAAAATGTTAGCTACTAAAAACTAACTAACATGTGCTAAGACAAAATTTGCATGCCCTTTAGATAAGGCGAAATGTGTAGCTCAATTACCATTTAAGACCATTTGTACCACATTTCGAGCAAATAAATTAATTATCATTATTATAGAAAAAGTAAAGTTAATTTTCTGTTTCGTCATTTAATTGTCATTAAATAATATTAGTATTTATGACTGCATTTTTGTAATCACGAGTATATTGCTGCCAATAAGCGCACAAAAAAAAATAAACGGTTATGCCCTGCAAAATTAGTAATATGTAATTTTCAGATAATTGATGGAAACGAAACACTTTCAAAGGGAAATTTCGTATAGAGAAACGACAGCTCTTGCTAAATGTAGTTATAACTTAAAAAAAATGTCGCAGGCAGTCGAGTTAGCAATGGTTTCAAGATTTTTTATGGCAATCTATATGAAGGCCCATGTTGAGTAATAACCTTGTGACCACAAATGGCTTTGAAAACTTTTGTGGCCGAACCATCGAGCAAAAATAATTGTTTAATAACTAATAAAATTTATGAGAGAAAAGCCAACAATTTCAAGAAATTTCCATTTATATTATTAAAATCATACTATCTATATATAAGAATTTAATTTAATTAAAAGATATAGATTTAGAAACATTTGATAGGAGAGATAGCTAAAATTTTTTTTATTAATTTACCTAATATTGTTAACAATAAGAGAGTAAAGCCATATATCGACGGATCACAATATCTATACAGTTTTTTAAATTCAAATACCGCATTTCTTCGAAAATAAAATCGTACATTATATTGAGAAATAAAATCCTTTGATATATAAATTACCAGTGTAAATGATTATCGCTATGATTACATATGTATAGTAAGAGTACGCATGCGTTTCCGTCGTAGACTGGCTATTTTGGAGGCTTCCTTGTTTGATGCGCGTGAGTGAGAACTCAGGGTTTCCTGTTGAGGTAGCATAATGTGTCACACACACTACAATGCTGCATTAAGGTAATGACTATATTTATTGTATTTAGATATCATAATATTTTATTGAATTAATGTTCATAATAACTTGCAATAGCAAACTGAAGGAAAATAATATTCGTCGCCCATAGACTAAAATGTGAAATAATTGATCTTTATTACTATGAACAGAAGATAAAAATTAATAACTAGTATTTAAATTGACTATTTTATGGTAAACTGTGTTGGCACAGCAGCATAGAGACGAGATTGAAAGAATTGAAATATTATTTTTATTATACATATTTATTATAGGGTATAATAAAGATACTTGTAGCACTGACGACATAAAACTCAATATTATTAAAGTCACAAACTTACCCATCAGCATACGCAAATATTAACATAAAGAACACAGCAATCAGGAATAACAGCTGAAAATGAAAATAAATATATTTTTTATTATCTAAGAATGTCTAATATTAGAATGTGTGTATTATAACCTGTTAACCTTCCATTTTTAGGGAGAAATCTACTAGGATTCTTTAGTTCAATGAAATACCTATAGTATACATCATGCATAAATTTAGACCTTATTCATTTATAAAAAAAAAACAGTTACAATAATTGCTTCAGTTTTATTAGAATTGATATAAAAGTAACAACATTATATTAACTACGGAGTGATTTGTTAATTAGTAACTGATTGATGATCATTTACACTGTAACAAAAACAAGCTTACCACAGCTCGACAATCCATTATCTTGTAGCTTTTGTTATTTTGCAACAATGTGGTGAAAATCACAAAGTAACATAAACACTTTGCAAGCAAAAAGTATCGAGAGCGTGCGAATATACACCGATCGAGTAAACGCTGCGCGCGCGCCGTTTTTCAACGCTACGGAAAATCGATGCACTTTAATGCAAGCAGGCAATGACTCAAAAAAGATGCGTTCGTGCCTAACGATAAACTGACAATGAAAGCTAAAGCACCAGTCAATACTTATATATGCTATACTGGAATGCATGTGCGAACATCCAGACATCATATCAAGATAAACTTGCTCTATATGTGTCTCGCTCCAGAACTTGAAAATTGCATTGCCCTTTCTCGTTTCAGCATATTCTACATAGAAAAATAGATGTTTCTAGATCTTATAAGATTATGTACACTCTTCTAAGTTCTAATAAAAACTAAAATGATTATACTAACACAAGTTGACGTTTTAATAGATACATCGATATTAATCTACGATTAAATCACCTAGAAAAATGGTTTTCAATCGAACTAAGATTAAAATTAAGAATCAACAATCGTGTTGCCCTCGCACAGAATAGACCACAGCTTTGATTCCCGTAGGTGTCGTAATAGGCGAGTAAGAAAACTTAATGGTAAAGGGTTGAGTAGCAGCGTCCCTTTTAAAACATCACTAATTAAGTGTAACTGCAATTGTCAATCCGCCTGCCCAACGTGACAACTACTAACAATACTCCACTTATGGAAAACGCTTATTTTCAGTAGTGGACTATTACGGCTAATATAATGATATGAAGATTAAAATTATTTCAAATACATAAAAAATAAATGAAAAATGAAAATCATGAGTCGATCACGGTTTTACAATTTCACACATCAAACATTGAAACGACTGTTTAAGTGTTTTATGGTATTTTGCAACCGACATTGTAATGGATCTCGTCTAATAAGATTTGTTTACGTTTTATTCAAATTATTGTCAGGGAAATAAATCGATTTTTTCTTTAGCAATTTATTGCAAAAATACGCAAGAAATTACAGTTTCACGCGGCGTAACTGATTGGGCGTATCTGACAGGATTATCAAATTATAGTGACGAAAACCATTAAGCCACTCTGTCAGTGTAAAATTTGTAAGTTACAAATCTTCTAAGTACCTGCATAAAGTTCGCTTTACCAAATTTTACGATTCAATCTTATTAAATTCTCAATGTTATTTTACCGTGTGCCTGAATGAATTTTTTATGTAATTATGTATTGAAATATTTACACTACGAGTATTAAACTTATCTTAGAAGTCTTTTAGTGCGCATGTAAAGATATATAAGAATCGTAGTTACTATCTTTAATATACGTCTCATATGGATGATGAAGCCGAAGATATAGTTCATCCAAAACAGTTTTCTATATTGCAAGAAATAAACTTCAGAAAGATAAATCGAGGCAAATATTCACAATATATATTTAAAACTTTGTAACTCTATATTTTGTAACTACAGATGAGATCTAATTTTGAAAAGAACAATAAATCGGTACTGCAATCTGCATCTCAAATTATATGTTATTATTTAATTTTAATAAATTTTAATTGTGACTTAACTCATAACATAAGCATACCCCATCGTTCCTATTTTTCTTTGTAAGTAAATTATCTTAACATACAAGTCTTGTTTCCAAACATGATGAAAGCGAAATTGATGGGAATGAAAGACTTATTGTCAGACTAATTATGTTGAACATGTGTTAATACAGATATCTGAGATATCAGATAGTACATAGCGATAAACATGAAAGTTAAGTTCTCATTGTTTTTATTCCTAGCTTATTATTTTAAATACATATCGATAATAAAAAATAGTCTTGTTGTTTATTTCACAGTATTTACAATAAAGTTTTAACAGTATGTATGTTTAGTGTTTGTTATTGATAGTACTACATGCTGATATCTGTAGCATTAGAGGTAGGTATATTGCTTAGTGTAAACGAGCTTCCGAATTCAAAATTCTGTTGGACTAATTCTAAAAGATTTTTTGGAAAAATATTTTACATCTATGTATGTACCTAAGGTTGGGCCTTTAGATGTTCATTATCTCATTTCTTATTACACCGGATATTCCAACTTGAGGACCAGATAATTAGTATACCCTTGAGGTATGTGTATATATACCTAAAGGTCTAATATCTTGGGAAGGAATTGTTAGTAATGGGGAGGTTAGTCCTCATTGCCATCAATATACCCTATGAGGTCGACCTCCACGCGATTCGCTCTGGAAAGTATCGTGACTAATTTATAGTTGAAATCGTCACACTATTTGACCTGCCTTTTCATCCTCACCAATTACCTATCCCTCGCTGGTGCCTTGCTGGTGTATACCCATAGCGCGGGCAGGGTTACCATTTAATTTTCATCCATTGAAAAAACCCTCGAGATAGGTAGATCTCTACCTAGGTATGTAGATAGAGACTGATTTTAATACATACCTACATGAATATCAATAATGATATCTCCAATTTAGTCTCCAGTTTAGTTTATTTACTTCATAGTAGGAACTTACTCTCTAAATGCGAATGGTAACAATAATACATAAAGATAAGAAAAGTATATGTGAGTGAGCACACTCACATATACTTCTTTTTTTTATAATAATATATATTAGACAATGGCAACTTGTCACCAAACAATTTGAGTTATCTATCAACATTGCATTGATAAATGTTACGAAATTTTAAAAAGATAATATGTAACTTCCTTCATTAAAAAAATAATAATATTACCTTCTGTAATTAAATATTGTAAAGTCATGTAATAAAGATATTTGTAATCATCTGCGCGTGAACCTTATAGCCCAACAATACCAATACCACAATGCACTTTCATTATTATGAGCCACTTCCTTTAAATCATCTCATAATCAAATCATAAGCGTAACCAATAATAAATTAATTGAATATACATACATCGCTCTATGTTATAAAAATGAAACTTAAAACCGAATTTACATATTCTTTTATATGTACTTTTGACATATTTTCTACGTTTAAAGTATTATAAAAGATATTTCTTATGACATAATCATACATTTTCACAGGAATTAATTCATAGTAATTTGTTCTATCACTGCCTAGTAGCTCCTGCACAATATGATGAAGTCTTATATATATATATTCCAGAAACAAATATAAATAGAAAGTGAGAATACATCGAAAAATACAAATAGAAGGTGAGAATATTCGATTTGCTAATGATATAGTATATAATCATAGCGGTGTCCCTAGAGGACTTGATTACTATTACTAAATAACCATAATAGTGCTTCTCAACAATTAGATCCTAAGATGAACATGGACAAGATTAAAATCAAGTCTAGCGTCCATGTCACAATTATACCGGTTATGATTGAGAACACTATGCATGGAGTTGTCGATGAATATGTGTACCCGGGATTTATCCGAGTAGGTAAGTCCAACTTCGACCGAGAGTAGAGAGGTCAACCGAAGAATTTAACTCGACTGGGCAGCATTCAGATAGCTACGCCACGTCTTCTCATCCAAAATAACTCAAAGTTTGAAAGTGAAGATTATTAACCAGTACGTGTTACCAGTGGTAACCTATGAAACCGAAACATGGTGCTACAAGGTTGACCATATACGAAATGAGAATATCCCCAAAAGAACCAAAGTGATCGACATTGCCCGAAGGATAAGCAAGCTGAAGTGGCAATGGGCAAGTCAAGTAGTTCGAAGAACCGGCAACCGATGGGGAAGAAAGAGTCTTGAGTGGCGACGCTGTACGAACAAACGCAGTGTAGGACATACCGAATACAAAAAAACTAATACTAAATATTGTTACTAGTACCACAGGAACTTACTTCTAGGATAGAAAGTGTCCTATGTGTTAATCCAAGATACGTTTCAATTCATCCAGCTGTTTAAACATAACAAAATTTAAGTATGATCGGTCATTTAGGTCTTTATCTTTCGAACATATTAATTACACTGTATAAAAAGCATCCAACATTTTTCCTTCTTTATACCATAGACAAATTGGCAAATTTTATCAAGTTTCATTCATTCATTCTTTATCATATAGAAACTTATTAATTAATCGGGATAAAAGGTAGTTTATATTCTTTATCGTGTTTAGGTGTAATTGCTTGTTATTTGATTAGAATTATTTAGTTTAATTCTACGTCCATAACTATGTATGCGACTGCCAACACTCGAAGATTTCATATCATCCAAGATTTTATTTCAGGCATTTCGTCTAAACTATGTTTTATGACACGTGTTTCACCTCTAAACGAGGCATCTTCAGGTAAATTAATAGATCGCTTCTCGGAACCCAGTGATAAATCGTTTGGCACCCAAACTACGAATATATAGTTCAGTAAAATATTTATAATTGCTTGCTGAACATCATGATCGATTTTGTCATTCAGACGGCAAGTTCCAAAATATCATTAATTATTCAATTATCCCAGGGGGACATATTCATTGACCTGAAAAATATGCAGCACATGTTCTTATCCATATCGAACACTATATGTGCACTAAATAGATTATGATTGAGATAGAGATAGATAGATATTGGTGGAGTCGTTAAAGTCCTAAAAGATAACAAATAAAGAAACTAATTTTTATATTTTAATATTAGTAAGGATTTATTTTGCCAATCGAGAAAGTACTCATACAGAGGTCCTCACACCAAAATAATAACAGTCTGTAACACTGGTCGACAAATGAGTGTGCTTATTATCAGAGCGTGAAAATAGAGTACTCATTTACTTACTATGATTCGATCGTTAGTGCTCGGGTGATATCGAAAACACAATGAAAGTGTTTACGTAATGTTACTTCCCAATAGTTTCCGAGTTGGGCGGGGCGACGCCCGCGCCGCCGCCGCCGACTACCACGAACGTACCGTGCAACGCGCCTCGTTGTGCTATTAAAAAAAATCATGACCAAATCAACATCAATTACAGCACCCATATACTATACAATACTAGTTACACATTGTTACCATTTCATAAGACCTCATTAATGAATAATTCGCTTACTATGCGATTTCCTTTCGGTAATTCTAACCACTCTTGAATATACTATGTAATAAAATACAACGGGTGGTGAAATGATAGAACACTAGTAGATTTTATTTTTATTTTGGTTTAATAAAATCTTAATGATCGTTAAATATTTATATAAATTGACATTTTAGATCTATTTATATTAACAATTAATCGTAATTCATTATTATTACATCATTAAAATTGCAAAATATTTATTTTTTAAATAAAAGTCTTTATAATCTAAATTACTTTATTAAAAATGAACACAGTCATTTTACCTTACTTACACTATCAGTCTTCAGTGAAGTAGTATAAATAATGAAATGTAATAAATTATACATAAAAACAGTCATTGGTGGGATTGAAAGATACATATAAAATGACATATGACACTAATCTATTGTTTTGTGGTAGCTTTATTATTGTCTGCAGCTACCGTGACTTGCTGCGGCACCGAGTACGTAGACTGAGTGTAGGTTTGGGCTAAATAGGGCCCAGGCCCGACTTGTTCTTGTAACTTCTCCGCTTCTTCGGGTGCTACGGGACACATGCATGGTACGAGCTGGACATGTTGCAATGAGACAGGTGTGAGACTGGCACCGGCCGGTACGCTTATAGGAATCGGGGCCATACTCTGCTGCATAGGTATCTCCGGTTGCGCGTACTGTGGAGGCTGCAGTTGGTACGTCTTTCGAGATTCGTATGGCGAATACATGTACTGGTACCGGTAGGGCGATATATTTGGCGACATTGGTTGAATCCACTTTTGCGCCTGTTGTTGTCTGCTAGAACAAAAACGTCTCTGTGATTTATTGGTCAATTTTATATCAGGAATCTGATATAATTCTAATGAATTTGAGCGAAACTACAACACATAATTTTCAAAACTTATCTAATCTAATAATCCATAACAATATTTAAAACATAATGTATCCTACATACTTTTATATACAAGGAAACGATAATTATTATAATTAAAATTGTAGATTGTTTCTGTGTTACAAATTTTCTGTCCGTTTTAAATAATTACATATATAACGTTCAAAGTATATTTCTGTCTGTATAATTTCAACTCTAATATTATTGAATATATTCTATTAAATTAAATATATTCACTTTCAGACCTAAAATTCGATAAATATTAAGTATCCCAAGTCTGATCTAGTATCAAGTAAGTTCTAACTTATGAAGTGAAATCGCAAACGCAGCTAAAAGAATGAGTAATAACATAACAGGTACAAAATAATAATAAGAATTTGAATAATTCCTATTTTTGTATTGTGTAGTAATAATAATAATAATAAAATATTAATTGTGAATTCGTGAGCAAAATAATACAAAAAGTAAATGAATATGTATATCAAATCGCTACAGCAATCGTAATATTTGCATAAAAATTAATTAAAAAATGCTAATTACCAAAAACTTATCCATTAAAGTTTAGAAAATACTTTTTTAATACTTACGTTGAATCTGATCCCCACTTCAAGAAGAAAGCCTCAGATGATGCCACCAGTAACAAGCTCATGAAAACGTACATCTGAAACAAAACAAAATCTGTAAATAAATGTTGGTAAATATAGGTACTTGACATAACTTTTGCTATAGAATTTAGACAATTAATCTAATATATATATATGTAAGTATATATATATATATATATATATATATATATATATATATATATATATATATATATATATAACAAATCTCTAAAACTGCATTAGCAGGTATATAAAATAAAAATAAAATTCAAACCCTTATTTAATCAAGTCACTTTCGCTCTCTCCACATTTATCAATCTATTATATACATACATTGTGCTTTCTTCTTTAGTTTTTTTTTTATAAATAATTACATTAAAGTTGAAAAAGAAAGAGTTATTTATTATTAGTGCATGTTTGCCGGTTACAAGAACATAAACTCTATTGACCTAAATACAAAACTAGGTTTTTAAACCTTACATATCTTACACCTTTAGAACCGACGGTCATAAATATTATGAAAATAAAAAGGAAAAATATATATTCTAACTTAACAACTAACGAATTACACATTCTCTACATTATTTAGTTTATTATAACAGTTACATAGGGTATACGTAATAGTGATACAAATAAAATAAAAAAAGTAATGGGCGTGATAGAGAGGTAAAAAATAAAAGCGGATACAAAGAAGGAAGTAGCTGTCGTAATGTGCGCTACATAATTATCTAATATTATGATGAGTTGGATCTAAATAATTATTTACTAATATTTAGCACATTATTATATTGTTATCTGTGATAATGTCTAAGTAATAAAAACATATTACTACATACTTTAAAATTTATTACTTATTAATTTATGTAATAATAAGAAAATAAAAAAATGACATTTCCTATAGAAAATATAACTCAAAAACCTATTATTCAAAATTTTATAATTATTTTTATCTTAAATGTTATAGACACGCAACATTCATTAATATACACATTAAGTTACTATGTATGCAAAGCATAAACTTAAAAATACACCAAAATTATCCATAAGTTATTAAATATTATGTTTTAATAAAATTCTTCCTCTGTGTTATCATTATTATTTTTATTATGAGCGCTAATACGAATTTTAAAATATTTAACTTAATAACTTGAAAAAACTTTTATTTGTTCTTGCCAGTTTTATTTAATTATTTGAACTTTAAATTATACCCAATAAAGTTTATAAATTTAATTGTAATTATTTATCACTTAGAGGTCGTAGTACATTAGAATATTCAATATATTTTGTAATATTACTGGATATTTTAATGGTAATAATAATCGGATTGACTTACGTTTGTTGAGAATGCTAGATTAGTTTCGGAATTATCGGGGGCCCTTAATCATAAGTGTCGAACACGAACGAAAGCCTAACTAGTTAAAAGACTATCAATAAAAATACATGTAAGTCCCGTTAATTTTTAATTGAAATATATTATTTGATTACAATATTTTTAATAAATTTGACGTATTTCGTAATATACCTATTATTTATTAACTTTCAGCATATACACTATGTACAGCATTTATCTTTTGTCATACTTTCAATATCAGTAAAATATAATAAATAGTGAGTAATTAGGAATCCTCTAATGACATCACTTATTATTTCAACCTGTATATAATTAAGGTTTATACACAATAATCCTAATAAATGTAATAGCGTAATATACCTTATATTAGAATCATGAATAGTTTCAATAGATGGATCTTCTTATTCATCAAGCCTAAGGTTAGGCACACATTTGCTATTTTACGATACTAATCTTTACATTTTAGTTAAATTAGCTTATGTTTATTGTAGCCATCTAGCTGAAAGACAATAGATAATATGAAACCATTTCTATGTAAAAAATACATTGCAATAAGTACGTGCATGTCTCTACTTTCATGATCGAAGATCGGTCAAACGCTGTCAAAATCTTTTGATCTCAAATATACCAAATATATTTTTATATACAAGCCAGTGGTGTAACTTTACTTGAATGAATTAGATAAAAAATATTCTGTGTGTTAATGCTAGATACAGCCAAACCGTGTATCGACTTGCATTCGAATTTCTTCAGCTATTTTGGAATGATTGAGTGATAAACATTCAAATATTGCTAGTATCTATTGAGATGCGTTAGTAAACTAATATATACATACATAATGTTACATAATATACCAAACCCTAAATATTTTTTTTAAAGGAAAATAAATTTTAATAATTATTGGAGTCATAAAAACAAATATTAGGAAACAACTAATGAAAATGAAAATTCGCAACAGCAATAAACCAGTAAGACAACATTCGCTAATGAAATATTAAGTTATGTACATATTAAGCAAATCTTCCGTTATACTAGAAACATATATTAGTTATTGTATTATATAGAATTGTAATAAATAACACTGTTACAAAAAAAAAGCTATTTCAATAAAATAAATATTAGTACGGTATCAATTCAAAAGTTTTTTTTTTTTATACCACTGAGGTGGCAAACAAGCATACAGCCCACCTGATGGTAAGCGGTTACCGTAGCCTAGTAAACCAAAACGATTAAAAAAATAACTAAAAATGAATTGAACAATTCCTCCCTTTTGAAATTGGTGTAAAATAGGAAAATTAATCGAAACTCACTGATTTATAAATGGAACTAATAGTAGATAATAGAAAAATATACAAACTAAAGCAAAATACAAAAACTCATTTAGAATAAAGTACATGCTATTACAAGACAGAAATACATTAAAGATTTAGGACAACATCATATAAAATTATTATAGGCGTTGATTATTATAATTAGTAATGCTTAGATTAGTGAATAAACGTAAAGAAATATATAATATAACATATACTAGATATTATAAAAATGTAAATAATAATTAGGTCTAAGTGACATCAATAAATAAATACCTAATTATTTAGATCAATTTTATTTATTAAATTTTGTAAATAAATACAATGTAAAAATAAAAATAAAATCCTTATAAACATTAAAACTACGAACTTAAATTTAATATTTTCGTAAATAAGTATCTATAGTATTTATATTTATTTACAAAGAACCTCCTATTTTCCTATAGGTATAGTGTATGTGTTTTAATTATAAAAAGAGGTACGTATTTTTATACTCTAGTAAAATATACCGTCAAACCAAAACATCAATTAATAATAGCTATAATGAAGTACCTATACAGACTGTTACAACAAGATTAATAAATGTCAGTGTTATTAACGAATATGTTAAGAGTTTAAAATTATGCTTTGTTTAATTACAGTATCTTAGATAAACAGAGATGTCAATCACATCCTCGTTAAAATTTCTTCTTAATAACAAGAAATGATAATGACTGTGCCATATTTAATTGTGCTGTCTGTACTACTAGTATATTTTGAATAATTTCACTGAATATTAGGTAAATAATACAATTAATTCAATATGATATTTATATTGATTCATAGATTTTATATACAAGTGAAGCTCTTTTCTTTAGTACGTTTTAATACCATCAAAATTTTATTTTGTATATAAGTCTACACCATGTTTCTATCAAATACATCGTCGGTACATATATTATACATATTGTGTCGTAAAGTTATAATTTTTATAAGAGTGACTACATTTTGATCACTTGAAGTAATGGTATACTATTCTAGCATTTTGAATATTTGATCAGTAAATAATCTGATCAACTGAAAAAATATATTGTACATTTATTATCTATCTATCTTCACATCAATAGCCTGTGGGGAAGGCAGGGAGATTATATACGTCTCTTCTTCATCCTTTCATAACTCATGCATGTATCACGCTGATTTTCAGGATTCGTCAGACCTCCCTTAGATATCTTTTCAAATATTTCCTAATTTCAAAGATTATATTAGGTATTCTCAACGGATAATATTTATTTTATCTTATATCCAAATAGACATTAAGAAATCCTTCATTAATTCGCCAGAACACATTATAAAGTGATTTGTGTCAGTCCGTAGATAATCGTTAAATGGACCACGCTTGTCCCAAACCCATAAATGTTCATTTACCTCCATCATAGCTCTACCAGGTCACTGACTTTTAACACATTTGTTTTTTTTAATTTCATCAAAAATACAAAAACATCCCCTTTTTTTAGTAATCATTAGTATCTCATTTATAAACATCATTTTCTCCGCATATAATGTACAATAAACTTATCTAAATTATACTTCTATGTAGATATATTTATACATTTATTAAATTTACCTAATATTCTTTAAAATTAAGTGAAATTATTTATGAAACATGTTTAATACTTAAATCTATTCTAATAAAAGTAAAATATGTATAAATTAAAGTAATAACTATATGTTTATAATACAAATGTACCTACTGTATTATATATTATATTAAATTAATATAAAATATTTAATTAAATTTATTTGTCACTATTTTTACCAATTCTATTTTATTTCACGCAATACTTGATATCACTAGGAACTAGCACTGTCATTTGGGATGAACGGTTAAAACCGGGCATGATTTGCACCGTTTTTCTCATCAACTCTTCATTGATGCTTCTTGAAACCACTGTTTAGATTGAAAAAATATCCAACAATAGATAAATTATGCGCGAGTAATACAATCGCTCCCGTTCATTAATTTATGTTTCGAACGTTTTTTTTATTGACGGAGTTATTGTGTAATAAATTATAATAAATATTAAATCAAACCATTATTATTAATTAAACTAATATTAAATAAATTATGTAGATTTAAATATATGTAAAAATTGGGAGATATTCTTAATAACTATTATATTAAATAATTAGGTATTTGATAATTTTGCTGTAAAGTATCAATATTTCGAAACACTTACCACACCATTATTATCCGGATACATCGCACTAAGTACAGCAAACTGAACTATAACAGTCAACGTTCACCCCTACCGAGAACTGACTCAGTACTACTGGTCGTTATGGAAAGAAGGATTAAGGGAACCTTTACACAAAAAAGACTCGGTATTTGGGAACGAAGATGCGTGCACCCACTCCGGCCGCGGAATGACCGATCCCAGGAGACCACTCGTTTTTTATACACGGTTTCAGTAACATTCCGTCCTTAAAAGCCGGTCTCCGACCCCAACACCAACACGAGGTATAATAATAATCTTATTAACTTATCTACACTTCTATCTTTACTTAGAACATACCGTTATATTAGTCCAATTTTAAAAGGGAGTTTCGTAGACACAGGCCACTTAAGATAATTTCACACTTTTTTCTCGGGGCGGCTTAAGTGTTTTGACATGGGTTTTTTAGGAAGGTGTATCGGTTTGAACGATTGGCTGGCGCTCACGGTCTGATGCACCGGTAATAGCAGGGCAAGGATGCGGCTGACACTCGTATCGAATTGCCAGGACGTGTCCATTACCGGCCGCGGCTCGAGACGATCTTCCTCCGTCGTTCATGACTTGTCATGTTTCTCGATGCGTGAAAATTTAAATAGGCGGATCAACAATATCGAAAATTAAAGCCAATGAACTTATTTTTTTAAGATAGAAGAGCCAATATGTGTTTAGACTCATAATAAATTATATTTTATAAAATAATGAAATTTGTTTAAAGTTAATTGAAAATAGGATAAAGTAATAGACCATCCATTAAAAAGTGGAAAATTTCACCTACAAATAACATCCTAAAATACATGGTTACGGGGGAGAGAGATTGTTAGTAATAGGGAGTTTAGTCCCCGTTGCTATCAATACATCCTATCAGGTCGACCTCCACGCGGCTCCCACTGGAAAATATCCTGACTAATTTATCATTGAATTTGTCACAATGGGCTAACTGACCTGCCTTTTCATCCTCATCTATCACCTCTCACTGGTACCCCGTCAGTGTATATCGATAGCGTAATCAGGGTTACCATCCCATTTTCACCCATGAAAAAATACATGGTTACCCCCGTGGTATCTGTTAACTTCCTTAAAACCTTACAAAACTTACTAACTTTACGAGAAACAACGACTAAGTACTAACAGACGTCGCGAAATAGAAAGATCGCCACCGACAAAACGCGGTCGCAGTTACGCTTCGGCGGACAATAAGGAGCGGGGAAGAAGGGTCAATCACAATTACCTTTCCAGTGCTACCTTGTATAATTCTATATTCTGTGCTACTAGCATTATGTCTTCGGAAAATAATAATCCACATTGTAAGGCTATTCTACAAGGAATTTATTTTGCTACCATACAATGTAGTATGTTACCTATGCTTTCAAAATATTTGTATCGTATGCGTTGCATTATGCTAGTGCTACTAATAATTGATATTTTAATCTTTATTGTTTATTGTAACTGTATTGAGTTAATTTTTTTTTTGGAGTCAACATAAACTTAATGTACCTACCTTTCTTTATCACGATCACGTTGAGTTCGTCAATTTCAATGTAACAATTTTTTTATGGCATTTATTTGCGACCTGTTCAGCCCCTATTTTTTTAAACTCATTTTGGATGATTTAAAAAGTATTGTCACTTATTTCAGACATTCGAGGGTACGTAAGGCTGTCTTCTTGTAAGTCACGTCACAGATTTTTGTTTATGATGAAGGCGGCCTGGAATCTCTTGAGACCATAATATTACTACTTATTCTTATAACGTATAACGTGAAAGCGTCGCCTTTACACTACTACCACAGCTTAATTACCTCTTCTAAATTTGGTTGTAGTGGCCAATCATACGTGCCATTCTATGAAGTGCACAGTACCTATTTATTGACCATAACATACACAATAATCAAAAGACAAATTCCTCTGGCATAGTTATTACGTAATCTCGGATATTCTAATTATACGCACTTGTGACAACATAAATTTCCAATAAATACCATTAGTCTTAACGGTTTACAATGACCCATCGTTTATCACCCTCACAGTTAACTCGCGGTAAACCGTTATCTTGAAATTGGTAATAATGACTGACTGTCGATAGTAGATTGTTGGATTTTGTATTAGTATTTATTGAACCAACAGACTGTAACTTTATTTAATTGGTAGACATTTTTAATAAATTTATATTATAAATTTAATTGTTTGTCATTCAGGGCTTTCATAGTATGGTTCCTCATAACACAATAATTTAATTTAAGAATCAGACATTCGTCTCAAATGCCATTAATATTTTATCTCTTATTAGGACCTTTCAATAAAAATTTTATTTTCTTTTAATACCTACTCGTAAAATATATACGGCTACTCATAGTCATTACGTAATATATTATATAACAACGCCTTGTAGCCCTAAACTAAGCAAAATTATCTATCCATATAATTGTCTACTACCTGTACGTTACTGTGTGTTGAAATGCTTTAACACTGTATTTTCAACTAACTTCAAGAAGGAAGAGGTTCCAGCTTGTATTTTTGTGTATTTATTACCTCATAACTCTATCAGTTATAATTTGAATTAGTTTTTTTTTATCCTAAAGACTATACTTACAGACTGGTCTATATAATATTATACAGATACATAGAAAACTTATTAAAATCGGTTCAGTAGTTTAGTTTTTTAATCAAAATAAGTTACATATATTACATTCGAAAGCCGGATTTTTTTTTGTGCAATACTATCCTATTTAATCTCGATTTTATTTCACAAAAGCATGCTACTTCTATCATGATAAAATTAATATACGTACTTAAACTCGATCGATTACAAAAATAGTAATGAAAATCATTTTAGAATTTAGCCAAGATATCGCCTAAAATATAGACATAAAATAAAGTCGACTTGAGAGCCTACTTATACGAGTAGTATAATATTTATTGCAACGAATACCTATTTATTTATTATAGAAAAGATATCCTTGTGTAAAAATGTATTACATTTTAATAGTGGGCCATAAAATTACCAGAGAAAATCATTTTTAATACAAAAAAGCATAAACATTTATGTGTAATGTACTAGGAGTAATACTGCATCATCATTATTGCAAATATAAAAAAAAAACACGTAAAATTAACACGTTTTTTACTGTTTCTCTAATAAAATTCATTCATCATCGAAATTGAATCTCCTCATACCATCAAACCGGAAGCCATATGCTGCGGAATTTTTTACATCAACCAGCGCCGGATTACGGTGTTTGTAAAAACTACCGTGCCCATGCGCAGGACGTGACGAACCATTTGGTATGCCATGAGCTTCTCTAGGATAAAAAGCTTCAAACTTTCCAGTAGATGGCAGCACACTTTTTATTTCATCGTCTTCAGGATCATACGGAAATGTCAAAGATGGCGCCACAACAGCAATCAAGCATAAGACACGGAGCAATATTCCCATCTGTAAACATTATAACACACTTTCAAAGTACTAATTGGACACTCTTAAGTACTAACACATAATAAACATTAATAAATTGACAATAATAAAAAAAGCATCTTACGTACTGTTACGTTTATCGAGACAAATACGGACTGAGTGTATTGATTTCGCTGCACTGATTACGCAACGTAATGTGACAAGTTGAATCACATTAATTAAATAAGCGAAACTGGTATGGAGGCAAGTTATAGGCGGCCTCCGACAGTCACCTTGACGCAGTAAGACAGCTGGTGCTAAAATCAGACAAATCTAACGGGCACTGTGTCGCGCGTGTGTTCCACAACACAATAACTTTCCCTTTATGCGTTAGACTTAACAATCAGCGTCGTTGCATTGCTTTCTTACGCAAACATTATGTCCGAGCCTTATTTATGACCCATTTGACTAACCAAAAGACCAGTTATTAGAGTATAAAAAAAATTATCACTAAAACCGCAAGTTATATATAACTCATCCTCATTAATGAACTTCTATTAGTATTATTAATAATCGTTTAAAATTTATGGAAATACAAACTTCGTTCCTTCTTGAAATTGCTGTTATCCCATTATATTAAAAAAAAAAAAACAAAATAATGAAGTCTTTGGAACCGACATACGAATGCTTGAAATGAAATATACCTACTAATAATTTCTTCTAGATAAGGAATCTACTAAATTATGACGACACAGTATACTCTAGTATGTCCATGGTACTGTTCATGACTACAAATGACGGTTACAGGTTAATTGAATAAAGGATTCGTTATTAATTAATAGGTAGGTAGGCAACCAAAATTTGTGAAACAATTATAAATATACTGTCATTTAAGTTTTCTATAAAACGATACTCTTACCAAAAAAATGGACAGAAATAACGCCGGCACATATGCAATGCATACAAAATAAGACAAAATATTAATAATGAAGAACATTTCATAAATTAGCAGCAATATTTTGGGAAATTTAAACAACGAATATTAAAATTAAGGCTTTATATATACATATAGGGATATTTATCTACCAATGTAATTTGTAAATGAAACTAATGCAGAATTTCCACATTCTCTTCATTTTATTTATTATTATTAAAGTGCAATAATACAAAAATATTTGAAAACAGTTTATATTCTATGTTCAAACAAAAAAAAAAAACAATTATTGTTTGCATGATAAGTAACTGTTTCATAATTTAATTTAGAAATTTGCTTAATTCCTTATGAGTAGGTACAGTGTTTTAACTGTCGGCATAGTAATCGGCAAACATCTTGAATTCACCGATTTCATTAATTTTAATTTGAAAGAGACCCAACAAAACCAATCAAATCTGCCAATTCTTACGTTAATACACAAAAAAAATTAAATAAAAACGTGTAAACATTTTATCAGGCATTTCTTTTTAATTTTAGTACTATTACTAAAAAAATATTAGCAACATTATTACGTATTCACATGACTATGCCAAAAAATATTTTGCACGAAAGTGTGCATGGGCATAATGCAATACTGCTTTTAACTCAAGACTCAAGAAGTTTGCCATTTACTTTATGAAAGAAAAAATACATTTAAATATCATAAAACTTTTAGGCCTGTTATTGTATCATACCATTAAATATTATGTACCTAAACATATTTAAAACAAGACAAAATCAAAAACACGAAACCCAGTAATTAATATCATTTTGCAAATAAAAAAAAACCCGTATTCATCTTAATCGCCAAACATTAATGAAGTATTCAAACACCTTACCTACATAACTAATTATAATAATCTATAACTTTAACATAAAGTACATTTATAAACATTTGAAACTCATGAGATAAGAAAATAATACAAAACTCATTATATAAACCACAATATTAAGGTTGTATGATGATTATATTACTAAATAAGCTACTAATTAATACTAAATGGGCATTTAGGCATTACAGATAAATCATGATTTTATAAAATCAATTTTATAAATTATTACCTTTTAATTTTATTTTTATATTATTTATAATTTAATTTTAAAATTGGTAATGAGAAATTAATAGATACCAAACTATCAAGTTACCACAATTTACTAACATAAAGTAATAAATTTTGTTTAGTATCTCGCAAATACTAACAGAATATTGTGACATTCTGTTAGTATTTACGAGTATATGACGACAATTTTAGATCAAAAGTTTTGTCTGCAAGATTACTACAACTGGGGCCATAAAATTGATTTCATTTTCATTCAGTACTCAAATATTTCTTTTAATAAAAAGTTCTATTAATTAAAATTCAAACTATTACTAATATTCTATTTTATTATCTGGTTTCAAATATAGAATATCGTTTCATATCCATGACAAAATATTCATTTTTGTAGTTTCCTGAACATTTGACAGACTTGGATTTACCTGTCTTTGATTTTATAGGCATCAACTACAGACATTTTATTTCTATTACACTAGGCACACCATTTTGACATGTAGAATTTATTTCGTGAAATCATCAAATTAATTAAAGTTTTTTTAATATATTGATAACGAATAATTTAAGAATTTGTTTAACAAAAACTGAACATGATCATAATTAAAAATAGAATCCCTTTTCAAATTGAACAAAATTAATTTAGAATTAATTATGATATCATGTAACTGAGACTTAAGTTGTTACTCTTTAACTGTGTTACTGTTAAGAGTTGAGACTCCTCGGAAATCTCTGAAAAAATAAAAAGCCATAAAAACCCATCTAGTTTGGTTTCGTACGCATAAAGGTATGACACTTTAGGCTTTTTAACCTTAAATAAAGTGTATATTTATCATTTAGGATACTATTTTTTAAAGTTTATAAATTTAACCATGGAACAGATTTACTGGGTGTGTAATGAAATAGATGACTACGGGTTTTTTGACTAGCCTATGAACAAAATACAAATAATAATAGTGAGAAGGCAAATAAAAACAAAAAATATAAAGTAGACATTACATTTTTTTTGTATTAATGCAATGTTTTTATTTATTAATAGGCTATTCTCAACAGTACCTATAGTCGTGATAGTGCCATGGCGGCACATAGATAATTATTATTCACTTTTATTATAATAGTTGTATTTTTTATTAAATTATATATTGACAATGGTGTAAAAAAAAGAACCCCGTGATTAGTGCCTGGTATACCTCCAACACTGTACAGTCACACGGTGTTGTGACGAGCAATGGAATGCATATATTTTATGTAAATAAAACAACAGATACTGTTACAATGTCTAAGGATCTTAATTTTCTAACTTCAACTTCATGCGAGTCCGACTGAAATACATATTCAATTTAAGACGAGTTGTACTCGTGACTTCATCCGCATAGCAGTCAATCTTAATTTATAAGAACTTAATATAATCACGTCATACAACACCATGTAGAAGGTTTTTTATTTTGTAAAACCAATCATCCCACCAACCTTTAAGTTAACTAAGAGCTATACGTTCCACACCTCATACAGTGAAGGGGTCAAGCTATATCTTATGATTTGCTTGATCGAATTTGATAAACATACACCTATTTTAAGCTGCGTACCTAGTCGATTATAATTTTTTTTTTGAAATCTGTTCAGTCGTTTTCTCATATAGAGTATTGACCGTTTTATTGTAAAGATGATAGATTCTTCAACAACTAGTTACAATTCCTCACATTTAAATCATCTGTGGCCATAATATTTTAATATGCATTATGTTCAATATTTATTTTCGTACAAGCTAGGCAAAAGATTTATGGCATTATTATTAAAAATAAATTGCTCTCTGCTGTATTTATTATACTAGTACATATAATAAATAACGAAACCAACGCGTACATTTCTTCTCTATACCATAATTACTTTTACATTTGAAAAAGTACACATTCTTTACTTAAAACTATCAAAGTAATAATAACTAAAAAATTAAAATGAAATAACGAAGAATTAAAATGTGTAGTAATAGTAACCACCACTTAATCATACAGGTTTTTCAAGACGTTACCGAGGCCAGTTCTGAAAAATGTTTTCCTATTTATTATCGTCATTGTAACAACCCGTTATCGTTCCATTTCCAAGTACGTCTACATTCCCTTGCTATAAAATGAGTACATAGCCTTTGCTTTTTATTAAAAGTAAATTATCTTGTTTATTCGCCATTTCATTCATTATCGCTTGTCTTTCCAGTCCAAAATTGTAAATGACTATTAGCGCATGCTGGCATTCGATTAAACCCGTTGATATTTCAGTAATATAGAGCATGGCGCTAATCCCATAATGAACGGAAGCGGCTGTAGACTTCGTAATAATAAATGCAACCCCATCGAGTTTGTGTCATTTGATTTTGCTATATGCCTTAGGGGTCGATAGACAGATGTGAATCAAGATGAAATAATGGAGCCTGGATGGTCATAAAAGTATAAAAGCTTAATTCGAATAGAATTATTATTGATTTATGGGTAATTTGAAAAAATAATATTACAGAACTCTCATCAAACTTCAATTATTACTACTTTTATTGAATCTACAAAAAATAAAAAAAATTTAGGTTCAAAGAGTAATAAGTATTTCTGTTTCGGCTACATTGTCTATCCATAACTTTTATAAAATTATTTAGAAGAACAAATATGACAATAAAAAATCACCATGACATACAATCACCTGCAAATTGAGACATCCATTTAGATCAAAGTGGAGGATAAAATTACTATCACGATCTTCTTAAAATCACATGAAGTGAGATCCTTACCACCGTGTCATTGGTCCTAATTTTGACCTTACATTACATACCTAGTAATAATATAATTTCATAATAATATACATAATTTAGAAAGCGACTTCATAGAAGATTAAGCTTCACATTCGTAAACACTTAAAAATATTCTATTTTAATGATTTGAACTGTCATCATACATCATTTAATCCTTATACGAATTTATAATATATCCACGTAATTGTTCGATAAACATTACCAGTGACATTTCCGATCTCTATATAGTATAAGTTTTACAAATTCTGAAAACGTGTTAGCAGTTTTCATTGTGATATACTTCATTATAAAATGTATATAAATGTCTAGAAAATCCATGGGAAGAAAAATAATTATTTGTAAATTATATTATTCATAAATACTATTCTCCGCTATGGTTATACAAATCATACTGTAAACTTAATATGAACAATATACACGATGTACAAGATTATAGTTACAAGTATCGCTACAGGACTAAATATCACTCGGAATATAGTAGTTTAGGGAGATCTACAATATTTAAATATGAAATATAAAGTGAAGCTAACAGGATTGTCACAGTATAAAATCATAGTACTACCCATACATATGTTTACTCCCTATCCCATTTCGAGTTGACCTCACCCACTCTCTGTGACTCATATCTAATCTGTTTTATAATAATACAGATAAGTGGTTATTTCTACAAACATCAACAAAGATGTTTCAAAGAAGATCTTTAATCATTAACTAATGTGACCACTTTCCACCAAGTAGGCCACAAAATAAACACCATACTAACACGATTAAACATTTTAGTAAAGGATTTTAAACTAATTTTATTTTTGTCAAAATACTCCCTTTTTAAATTACTCCATCACAGATAGATCTAAGTCCAAACACTCTGATATATCAGGCCCTAAATAATTACCATTTGTTGTAGCTATAGAAAAAAAATTATAATAATTTAAAAATACATAGGAAACAGAACAACAAATCAAGGAAGTAGCAGTAGAATTAAAAGTCATAACTTCACAATAACATTAAATCAATATAGGAGAAACGGAAATACGCGTTCCGTGATTTCGCGACCACTGTACAGTGTAAATATGTATGAGACACATGCATAATGCTATATGATGTAAATTTATGTAGACATGTCATGTAAAACTGTTATACCCTTTTAGTCACTGGAAATACTACATACTCATTATGTCATTCTTTTCTATTTCTTAGCTTATTGATAATGTTTTAGAATATATTCAATAAAAATAACAATATTTGTGATCATAATTTGTAACAATTAAAGTAGTAAATGCAAACATTTCGTTTTATAAATTTTCTATTCTTTTAATCATCCTCAGTCAAACATACATACATTACAGACTTTGATATCTACAAATATCAAATTATATACTAATAAGTTGTAACTGATATTAGAATGCATAACCGAAATTAACAAATAATATTGCTTAAACCGTGAACCATGTCACAATCACACATCATCTCACCCTGGTTAAACACTGTACAAGTAGCTCTCGACCTTTGTCTTCGGCGAAGGTTGTGTGAAAGGCGAAAACCAAAGAATGGAGAAACGTCCAAACACCGATTGTATGCTCTTCCATCGAGATTTGCGTACCCAGCGAGCCTGTTCCTTCTTCAGTTGCTCTATGCCCTATTAAAAAGAAATATTCGTGCTATTAAAATAGTCTTAAAGTGTTCAGAAATAAACTGATTATGAAATAAATTATTCACCATACCATAATGACTAATTTATTATCAATCTTTGCAATAACAATTAACTGTCCTCTACTAGGAACACGTGCCCCTATAAAATTGCTACACTAGCTAATTATTATTGTGAATTTTCTTCTCTTAGTACCTATGTATGGTGCTATGTTCCCTTAGTTGTCTTTCATAATAATTTTATTTGCTTGTTGTGATAACTAAATTAATTAATTATTAAAAATTCCAAAAAGGAAGCTAGATTTGTTCAGTAGCATATTCTAAAGATTACTTGACTGCTGGTTTTCATAATAAATATATAATGAATGAAAATGATTATTCTGCTGTGAACATCTATTATGAATTTTTCTGTCATAGAAGTTTGGAAGAAAATGTTTAGATAACAAAAAAAGAACCCGTACAGACCGTTTCATCGTTCCATATGGCTTGTAGCTGCGTTCCTAGCATCACCGCAGTAAATATGGCGAAAAGTAGAGCTTCAGCGATCAAGAAAAGCAGCAGCACCACGGTGGCAGGCGGCGAATAAGCACTACAGTCCCGCCACTCGTGACGAATACACGTTACAAACTGGTATATGGAGAGAGTCAGCGAGTGAATCGATATTGCCGCAATATAAAACTGCAAAAAAAATATAAATATTTTTTTATTTAAATTGTCATTAAAATAGAAATACCATAAACTATCACAAAACTATCTAACGCAAAACTATCACCAATATTTATTACATTTTGAAATCCTTCACATAAAATAAATTTCAAATTTGATTTCTCTTAGGGATGCAAACGATACATAATTTTTTTCAAAAATCGATATATCTTTTTTTTTGTGTACTTATTCGAACGTAAGTAGGTTATTATTAATTCAATAATATAACTATACTCTATTTCATTGTTTTAATTTACTAAATTCATTTAGTAAATTAAAAGATAAAATTTTCTTTATTTATAGTTATATATGATCTGACTCAGATTATATAGATAAAGTTTTGAGTCTTAAACATGTCATCATCTGTCACTCCAATAAAAGGAATCGCGTTGGAGATGTGGGATGATATGAAGAGATTATTTCACGGGCTCCATAGTCTAGCTATGATCTATTTGCCTATCGTGGCAACTTCGGTACCCAGTGGGTGGTTATTCTCAGAAGCTGGAGCGACAACCACCCAGGAAAGAAACCGCTTACTGGGCACCAGGTTGTCATAATTGTTATTTTTAAATTCTATTTTATTCGATAAAAATGTTAAAATAAATAGTATAAAAGTTCATAAAATAATATAATTGTTTTTATTATTATATGAAAATGCATATTTATTCGACATATATATATATATATATATATATATATATATATATATATATATATATATATATATATATATATATATATATATATATATCACATATACAAGTAATCTAATGTAATAAAATTGTAACTAGACGATTTGTTTATACGAAATATCTAAGAAATGACAAAATGATACTTTTAAAAAAATTGTTTTTTGTTTGTGGGTTTGTTACGGCATCATGCAAAAACTACAGTAGTACTAAATTTGATACGGTTTTCACATTTATGTTTCTGACGATCTAACATATAATCTAGACTATATTTTATCTTGATACTTCATTTAGATGTGGTTTATTTAATTGGTTTTCCTACTTTTGAAACATACGCGTATGAAGCATAGGACAAAAAACTGAACATAATAAATTTATCTTGATACTTCGTTTTTTGTTCAAGAAATTAAAAGATATTTAAATCTTCAGACCCAATGAAAATTTCATATCTTTTACACTTATCTGATAAACGAAAGTGACAACGAAAATCAAATATGTATTATATACATATATATAAGATAATTTCATTGTCAATTTCATATTTCCGATAGTAAATAAACTATCAGTATCTGATTATCAACATTAAATTGGGCAATAGCCCAATTTAATGTTGATAATAATAAATATGTTTGTGGATATAAGTCTTACCTAAAACGTTAATTGCAAAACTGCAATAACTATTGGAAAATAATACTCAATAACAATACTTATCCTAACACATATATATATACTATATTTTACTCGCGACGTCATCCACATGATCGGGATATGTGGATTGATCAAGATATTTTTTTTTATACAACTTAGAATAGCAAACAAGCTAACGGCCCACCTGACAGAAAGTGGTAACCATCGCCTATAAACATGAGCAGTACCATGGACATAACAGAGTATACTGTTTCGCCCATGCATTCCTGAGGACTCAGGTGATATTCCTCTGTAACCTGGAAATTCACTGCCATATTTTATCCTTCAAACCGAAACACAGCCATGCAAACACAACTGCTTTACGGTTGAAACACAAATGGGACAGAGTACCCAAACAAACGACTTTTGTACAAAGTCTGCCTCTGGTAGCCTATATCCTTCTCCATCCCTATAGTGGTATGTATGTATATTATATATGTAGTGTAAATTTTATGATAACTAGTCGACTCGTTAAGCCACCAAGAGGTAATAAACAAACTCGCTTTTATAATGTAATTGTGGGAGCATGTTTTGGAAAAAAGAACGCCAAATTTCACAATATAAAATAGCTTAAACAGCTAGCTATGGCATTTCGTCAGCTCTGTGAAAACTCAGGTACTTATTGTTAATGCCATGATTTCTTGAATGTAAATACCCCGGCTTTACGTAGTTGAATGTCTCCGTCCCCGTATAATGAAAAACGGGGTTACGGTTACAGTTACGACACTTTGGTCTCTTGTAACACCAAGGATGTAAAGCGCACGTTGCCGACTCTTAAAAAACCGCATTATTCCCCTTTTTGAGAACCCTATATACTGTTATGTTCATGGTACTGCTTATGTCTATAGGCGACGGTTACCACTTTCCATCAGGTGGGCCGTCAGCTTGTTTGCCATTCTAAGTTATATAAAAGAAAAAAGTCTCTAAAGAAAACTTCAACAGGAAGATAATTTTATAATCTGAGCGTTTGCAGGAGGAAACTCCTCTGAAGCCGTTGTACATTACGTGACTATTTCGGTTCTAGGGTGTGAAGATGGATTCCCTGCCAATGACGAATGAAAAAAGGTTGATGACAGCATCTACAGACGTAACTACAAGTAGTCAAATAAAACTTGTCACTTAATAATAAGATAATATTGTATATACATAATACTATCTTACCGTAAATAAAACGAAGTATTTTTGATTATTTTCACCGACGCAATTATTCACCCAGGGGCAATGATGATCCATCTTCCTAATGCAGCGTTGACAAACCGAGCAGTGATGCGCTCGCTCTGGCTTGATACTGCAGCATTTGGTACACTTGAATATAACTTGCCCTTCACGGAAACTCATCTGTCTTATCATTTCTTTAGTCGCATTGCCTTTTGGGACTGCACCCTGTAATATTTGTTTTCATATTTAACAAATGACATAACCGTGACATAACAAGACTAGTGTAGGTCTTATAACATTGAATTTCAGATGAGCTACACTGTGATCTAAGAATAATTTTAATCCGCTATTAAAATCATAAGTGGAATTAATTTATTTTACATACGGATTATTATCATTTCATTCTACTACTTCCATAGTAACGTGTAGATATTTTAAATAAGTAAAAATAGAATAGGAACTTAGGAAATTAAAAAGAAAAAGAAAATTAGGAAATATTGCCAATGTACCAGTGGGAGATGATAGGTTAGGATAACGTCAAATCAATAATTGGCCCATAGTGACAAGTTCACCAGAAATTAATCACGATTCTCCCGTAGAAATGGGATTACAATATACCACTTATTGATCAAATAATGAGATCGGTGGATTCTATTACTAACAATCCTCCCACTTCGCCCATTAAAATTATTGTATATAATACGAATATAAAAACTTACATTACATATAAATATATGTTTACTTTAACATTTTATTCAGGTTGGTTCAATGATAATCTATGACCGAAGACTTTAGAAATGATGAGCACATCATTCATTCACCATTCATAAGAACACAAAACTATAATAAGTCAGCGTATTCTATAATGTTCATGGTGCTACGCTGGACAGTTACCGTTTCAGTTCTGTTTAGTTACAGTTCTGATGGGCCGTCAGCTTGTTTGCCATTATAAGTTGTATAAAAATAAAACCTTAAAACAATATCAAATTTAATTTAGGTATAATAGGTAAATCAACTAAAATAACTCCATCTATCCTATATTGTTTTAGATAAAAAGAATCAAAATAAAAACAAACAAGTTTAACTTACTGGATCTGTAAACATAGTTCTAAGATGGGATGCAAAGGCGAGAAAAGCCAAACTCTGGAATATGAACATGTTGACATATCCATATAGAGGATATGTTGATAGGCCGGGCACAAGCATAACCATCATCACAACAAACTCGGCGTATAGTATCAATAACCATGTTAGGACTGCGCAAATAATGCCGCATATATCCTGCAAAAGATATATAATTTTATTAATAGGATCCCTGTAATAATATAATTTAAAAAAAGTAGACAATTAGAAAAAAGAGCCAAGTACTCGAATTCTGCACACTACGAGAGTTATGATTCATATCATCAAGTAAAATTTTTATAACAAATAAAATAGTCTTTAATTTAGTTAAGAGTATTCAATTATATATCTTCGTTTATTCCATATAAAGATAAAATTTATGATTAAATTTTCTGCCGTCAACCATCGCAAAAAGATGCGATTGCGAGTTGATAGTATAAAAAATTATCAAGTAGGCATAGAACTCACGCCCCAAGGCCACGCACTTCAGTCATGACAACATTAATACGAGATTGACAACAAAGTGATACTTAAGTCGATGTAAAAGCTAAAAATTATTGACAAAATATATTTAAAATCAGTGCATATTGCAAAAAAGGCGAAATCTTCCTTCTTTTTAAGGTCATTAAAAATACGTTAGGAATCCATAAATAAATACAATGCAGTACCGATTCATTTTATCTCCAAGATATCATAGAAGGCAAACTAGAGAAGCAGTCTAGAGAAGCACTCTATTAGTAAAAATAAAAACCCTACACAATCGTTATTAATTAATTATTGTAACGATTAAACTAGTTTCTTTCCACATCTTTTCACGAGTAAATTCTGGAAGCAGGTAACTACATTGATGACGTATTAAGATAAAAAAACACATAATATTTTATGATGCACCTTTAAAAACACAATGGCATCTAGTTTGGTGCAGTAGTTTTTGCATTGCACGCTGGAATAAATATACAAATAGATGGACAAATAAAGATGATAAAAATTATCGTTCTGGCTTCTATTGATCTTTTTTAAAACCGATTATATAATCATCACATCAACCATAAACTGTTCACATTAAACCGTTTACATTAAATAATCATCAGTCTAGACTCACCCTTATACACCAAGCTTTACCACCACAACATCGATTATGCATATCGCGGTCCGCATGTGTGAGAGCGTAACATTCTGAATCTATTTGATACTGACTTTCCATGTCATCTTCTTCTGAACTGTCATTGAATTCGCGTATCATTGATTATTATTTATATCTAGAACAATAGTTTACAATTTTATTATTATACAATGATAACAGTTAAAAAGTACATGTTATCAACAAATTTAAACCATATCTTATTGAATATATTATTCATTATGAATTACTACAAACAGATGAATTGATAAAATACAAGAAGAATGATTCATATGACAATCGCTTTATAATTTTGTTACACAAAAACTGATCGAACACAACACAAACAAACATTATATCGAAAAATAAATTAAGAAGAATTAAAATAGCACAAAGAATAATCACAATCTGTCTAAACTGGAGTTGATTTTGCTTAAAATACATTTCAGATAAATTAATTGGCTACGTTTCAGATATTGTATAAAAACTTGTATAACATCAATAGCCAAACCGATCCTTAAATAAATCCAAGTAAACATATATACTAATAATATAAATTTTAGGTAAGTATTGTAAAATGCTTTAGTTTCTTACTTTTCGCAGCAGCAAATTTGTTACACACCCAACAAAACTTACAACAAATTAAACTTGCTTCAATAAGAATTAATGCAATAAAAATACAGATGTCTATTCTATTGCAGAGATGATACAATACAAAAGTGCAAAGCGTTATTTTTTGAACCACAGCGTAAAGTAGCTGAGAACATTTGCATAGTTGCAGAATTTTATCTAAGTGGATTCTTTTCAACGGTGTCTCATAGAGCTTTATAACATTAGATTCAAGTTACAAATGAATTACCTATGTTATACGTACTTATAAACCATACTAAACCAATTTTAATGTCCAAATTAGATAAATATTTAATACTTCAAACATGTTTCTTTTAATAATTATAGTACTTGGATATTGGGATGTTATATTGATGAAATATATATTTAGTAATATACTCGTACAACCACTACCCAATCCTATAATAATAAGCAGTTGCACATTTTACATAATATATCTAAGGCTTTATACATAATCTATTAATTATTAACACAAATATTTACATTGATACATGAAAGTGAGTTTGTTTGTTCGTTTGTTACCTTATAGCTCTTTAACGGCTTAACCAACCGCTTTAAAATTTAGTACACACATATATAAAATGAAAAAGGTTATAGATTACTTTTTATCATAGTTAGTAAATATATCCCGGTCATGCAGACGAAGTCACGGGTAAAAGCTAGTTATAAATGTAAAAGTGAATGCGTTTGTTTGTTACCTTTTGAGCTCTTAACAGCTCAACCAATCAGTATGAAGTTTGATATATGAATACTTCATGAGATCGGGAAGGACTTAGATGACTTTTTATTTTTAATAAACATATCACGGTCACACGCAGTCGCGGATAAAATTAATAATGTTAAGTATAAAAGTAAAAGTGAGTTTGTTTGTCAACTCTCAGCTTCTTAACGAGTTGATCAATCATTATAAAATGTGTATTAATGTACTATATGGGATGGCGAAAAACAAGCCACTTTTCCCGGTCAATAAACATATCCCGATAACGCGGTCAAAGTCATGCTAAGAGCTAGTATTAAAAATGTGAAAATTAATTTGTTTGGTTGTTACTTCTTTGCATCATAACAGGTTAACCAATAGCTGTGCAAAAAGTAATAAAATTTGCGGTAAGCTATTAATAACAGTTTATATTAATATTTTGCTTTAGCCACATTAAATTTTATATAGATGTAGTAATATATAACAACAAAAAGTAAATCGCAAAACCACCTGATTGATATATATTTCCTTTTGCTATTATTCTTAAGAAATCAGTATCCAGAGGTGTATCACATGCTATCTGGGTGGTCATAAATTGAGTGAATATAATATCATGTTTCATAACTACACCATGATATCACACACTTCACGTGACAAAATTAAAATAAGATTTTTTTTTTTTTATGTACATTAATAATTAATCAGCATATCCCACAGATGAACAGCATTACACAATCTTTTGATTTTTTTTTATTTTCCTATTTTCTATGATTTCTTGTTCATTATTGATACTAAAAATCTTTTGTTTATGATTTTTTTTTTCATTAAATACTACTGTTTACCGTTACTTCGTGCCTGTGAATTATGCAAAAAGTAGATCAATAAAATAGACTACTTTCAAATGGCATATCAAGAAAAACATATACCAGAACTTACGTTGGATTTTCAAGAACTCTTCAACTGTGAAAACCGCATCCAATTTGGTACAGTAGTTTTTGAATGGAACAAACATACAAACAGAGAGACAAAGGTTCTAAAAATTTATTTTGACTTGTTTTGCTCTTATTAAGATCCCTTTTATCAATGTTTCTTAAATGTCTCTCATGTACATATATCGTCTAGTTACTATTCTATTAGTAAAATTCACATTTTACTTAATAATATGTTATTGTTATACTAGCCATAACTAAAATATATTTATTTAGCGCAACATTGCTAGGCATACAAAAATCATATATTATGCACAACACATTAAATCACAAGCTTATAACATCATTGTCAGTATATAATACATAAGAAAAAATAATAATAAGTACACAAGATATACTTAATACAAGTTCGCTCTGCAAAGTACTTAATACTAGATAAATCAAAAGTAGATAAATCAAAGTTAATAATTGTAAAATCTTATTCCACATTTGTTAAAAAGTTAATTTTAACAAATATGGAATAAGATAGATATCAATGAACATAATATTGATATCCCGAAGAAAAGAAGTTGCATCAATAGCTCTGTTTCTCTCCTCTACCTATATTATGACTGTGATGCAGCTGTGCTTGTACAGTTGTTTCAGTTTAAAGTTTAGCAGTGAAATTACAGGATATGAAGATATTACACCACATTCCTCAAGAATCGCAAAGCATGATGATGCATCTATAGTGCTATTCATGTTTATTAGTAACGTTATGGCATTCAATCAGGTGTGTTACCAGCTTATTTATCATTCTAAATTTCTAAAAGAGAAAAAAAAATTTTTTTGTTTATAGATATATTTGATATCCCGATCAAAAATCACTTAATTAGTAATACTTTTTCTGATAATCTTATTATCACTGTCTGTATGTGTCCACTGCTGAACATAGCTCTCTCCCTATTGGGCAATTTTGCCAGTAGTTGCCATGCTTGGCAGGCAGATTAGCAACCACAGTTAGGCTTTGATGATGTTTAAAGAGAGTTGGCAGATACCCGACCCTCAAACATTAAGTACCCTTAGTTGTCTCCAATTAATCTTTTTGTTATATGTAAATAGAAGTATACTTCTATTTAGATTAAATTAAATTATAACACCTTGGTTATTAGGAGGTTCATAGTCAATAAACAAACAATGGAAAATAATGACTATGCAGAAATTGTAATAAAAAAAATATCAATATATAACAATTATTTTCTAGGAAATATTTTTAAATTCAGCTATAACATAACAATGTGTCTATCTATCCATATTTTTATGCCTGTTCTATTAAAGGATAAACAGAGATTACATGGTGATACCACATATAAATCTTTTCACTTTGTTATGGCTTCAGTTAACACAGTGTGTTTACTGATGACAAAGCATAAAATTATTTTAACTACTGAGCATCATAACAAGAATATTATTATTGTTAATAAGTTCACTATAGACTGCATCAACTTCTTCAAATCTATTTGGATATCTATGAAAAAATAGTAAGTAGCTAATCAGCATTATAATTCGCTATGGAGATTTTATTAAAATATTCATTCACTTATGATCGAAAATTAAGCAATTTATTATTATAATAATTACCCAAGCGATTAAATAATAAGTGTATTAATATAATGAAAAATCATTAGACTTAGTAATTTATCATAAATGAAAGTACAGCTTATTTAATAAAGTATTTATAATACTGTAACTAAGGCTGATAAACTTACAAATTTGTAGTTCACAAATAAACAACGTCCATATATAAAAAAAAAACATTGCCGCAATTTCCAAATAATTTCTTTCCAAGGCACCAAGTTACAATTTCCGGGTGGCTATTTTATAGACAAACAAAATTTAAATGTATATAAAATATAATATCATCCAATGATACTGACCTTTCTAAACAAACAATAAAAGTGTGGTATTAGTTCATGTAAGTAGGTAATCAATTTAGAAAATACAGTACCTACTTATTTTCAGTGTCAAGGTTTAGCAAAAAATATGTTTTTTGAGAATCTCATAGTTCAAAGTAAACACATAGTGTTAAATCGATATACTGTTGATAAATATCGAAATATTTAATGCATGTTTCCACCTGACTTTATTCAATTTTCCGCATTTATCACTTTTCCAAATCAATAAACGAAAACCTACGATACATCAATCTTTCACTTCAGTCAGTCACAGAGTAAGTGAGTGTCACTTGGTGTCATTTGCATTGTCATTCACCCCGCAGCCTTTACTGAAACACAAAAAAAAAAGATATTATTCTTTTTCTATGTAATTTGAACAGAAGTAGTTGAAGACGCATTGCGAGGACCTCAATCGCGAAAGAGGGCCTCATCTATGTAATCCCTTGTTCTTAGGGTTTTAAGAGCCTGGTTCATACGGTCTATAAAACTAAGTTGAATATATTTCGATGAATTTGACTTCTTCAGACCATTCAAAAAGCAGACGCGTTTTATGTATCTATTCCTCTGTAACATATTGTCAATATCATAAATACAACAAGCAACACACTATATACATTTTGCGTTACATCTATTTAATTCTGAACTAAGAACAAAAAATTACATAGAAGGGATGATAAAATAAAAACTGTAAAGTATATGGTTATTCCCTTTCTTCTTATGCAAATATAATTAGTAAAAAGAGGGCGAAAAATACACCATCAGTTGTCATTATTCTTAATTGATATAAAATGTTCTACGGCCGTATAACCCTACCAAATTCAGATACGACCTGCTTGCATACTTTCTACATAAACTGTGTCAAATATATGATCTAGTAAGGTTAAATTTGTCATTAACAAATAATTGGCATATCAAACATTTTCTATACACTAGCCTGCTATGAATTGACAATTTTATCATTCCTTCTATGTAATTTCTTGCTCTTAGATTCCGAAATTTTGGTTAAAAATCGAAAAAAAATGTAGCTGATAATACATCTTTCATCTTCTTTTTGCTAATTACATTAGTATATGAAGGAAAAAGCCAAGCATATGATTTACATTTTTATTTTATCATCCCTTCTATGTTATTCCTAGTTCTTGGCTTTTTCGTCTCGATTGTTTTTTTTTTTACAACACAGGGGCAAGCGAGCATGCGGCTCACCTGATGGTAAGTGACTACCGCCGTCCATGATCACCCACAACACCAGCGGCATTGCAAGTGTGCTGCCAGCCTTTTAAAAAGGAATATACTCTTATGTTGAAGGTTATGTTGTCGTATCGGTTCAGAAATACTGCTGCTGGAAGTTAATTTCAAAGAATGGTTGTGCGTGGAAGAAAGTGCATTGAAAAACGCACGGTGGAAGACCGCCACTCGTCCAGATGATTGGGATGAAACTTTAGTTTGTGGCGGGTTATACGGTGGTGAAAATCAGCAGCAGGTATCAGTCCGAACAATTCTTCAGATCACTCCCCATGATAAATTCGGTAGAAGATGCATAGAGATGCAACATCTCTGCGCTGTTTCAGTGGATCAAGTCGGACAGTAAGGCGTTGACTATCGATAATTCGAGCCGCCCGACTTTGAATGCGGTCTAACGGAAGGAGTTGGTACTGTGGCGCTCCTGCCCACAGGTGAGAACAGTATTCCATATGCGGCCTGACTTGAGCTTTATATAATTTCAGGCGGTGTTCTGGCATGAAATATCGTCTCACCCTATTGAGCACTCCTAACTTTTTGGAAGCTATCTTAGTCTTTTCCTCCAGATGACCGCAAAACTGGACGTCGCAAGATATATCAACGCCCAGAATTCCTAGTCTCGACTTTTTATCAAGGGAAGTGCCCTGAAAGTGAGGAGATACGACAAACGGCGTCTTTTTTGCGGTAAATTCTATTTCCAGTCTGTTAGTACTTATGTACGTTATATTAAATCTATGAGGTATTTCGTAATTAAATTTGCTTAGTGCTTAAAATTCCTAACCGTAATTGCAAAACATGGTTGGCGCTATTCAAAGATATTGGATGCGATGTTGGAGATTTTCATTGAAACGTCATTGGTTTTGACGTCAATAACTGTTTTTTTAAATAATATGTTTTACGGCATTGGATACTTCTTTCTTAGGGATGCCAACATAGTTTCTCCAGTATTTGAGGTAAAATGTATGCAAACGGTAAAATGAATATAAACGTTTCCATAGTTTCCTTCTACAAAAATAAAATATAAAGATATGTTGAGTTTTGATTGACATTTTGAATTCAAATTTAAGTATTCCTGAATATTCTCGTCTTAGCATACAAGTGTAGTCAATAAGTCTCTACTTGGTCTATCTTATTGTATTACAGTTATAGTGTGACGTCTAAACATTATCATAAAATAATTTTTTTGGGGTAATGTTTATATGTATATATTTTTTAATAAATTCTATTCTATTGATTGAATTCTATTGTTTTTTTTTTTCATTAAAAACAATAATACATTTGTAGGCTAAAATAAGTTAGGAGTTGGCAATTTGATCTGGTGCTCCCTCACTCCCACGACTACAGAGAAATGCTAATGCATCACTTTTTCACTACAGAATTTTTATTATCAAAGGTAATGATTATCCAATCTATAATTTTATTCCACATTGAAGTACAGTTTTCCTATGCAAATATATATTTTTAATAAAACTTATCATGTTTTAACAATGTAGTGAATTAGAACATATTTTGGTTTCAATCTGCTGAGTTTTCAAAAAGTTTAGCTTATCTAATGACAATGGTAAAACATTTTGTCAATTCAGCATTTCAACTAATTCTGCAATAGAGTTTTATTTATATGTATTTTACATATTTTTTTAGGTCATTCATCTTAAAATACCTTGCCGCTAGATACACATGCTGAGGCTGCTATGCTTCGAAACTTTCCTTAATTGAAACTTAAAAACGTATCACTGATAAAATCACTAAAGAATAAGAGCTCCAATTATGGCACCTGTAAGTTTTTAATTTAAATATTTAAAGTTCTTTGAAATTCATTATATGAAACATTAAAATATTGTAATAGATACTGAGTAAGTATTTAATTTGTCCTTAGTAAAGGTTGAACCGTTGATGGTGAATACATAGTTTATCTTCAGTTTGTTGATGATGTAGTAGATTATTATTATAGTAATCATAGTTGAATCTCTGGAGAACTTCAATACTATGCTCAATGACCTCAATAGACCTTCTCAACAGGTAGATCTTAAGATGAACATGAATAAGACTAAAATCATGTTTAATGTCCATATCACACCTATATTGGTTATGATTGAGAACACTACATTCAAAGTTGTCAACGAGTGTATTTACCTGGAACAACTAGTCCAACTAGATAAATTGGACTTAGACAGAGAGGTCAATTAATGAATCCAACCACGGCTGGGCAATGTTTGGGAAACTAGACCACATCTTCATAGGTTGGATGCCTAAAATACCTCAAAGTTTGAAGGTCTTTAGCTAGTGTATGTTATCAGTGATGACCTATGGAACTAGAATATAGTCTTACATTGTTGGCTATGTGTAGAAGTTTTAAATTTCTCAGCAAGCTATGGAGAGAACTAAGCTCTGAGTTTTTTAATGTGACAAAATCTGAAATGAGGATATTCATAAAAAATCAAAGTAACTGACATAGCCCTAAGAATAAGCAAGCTGATGTGGCAATTGGCTGATCACATAACTTGAAAAACCGACCACCAATGGGGAGGGAAGTTTCTTGAGTTGCTACCCCATACGACAATGAGTGACAACCTTCCAGAACCAAAGTAATCGACATGGCCTGAAGGATAATCAAGTTAAATTAGCAATGGGCTAGTCACATAACTTAAAGAACTGAAAACTGATGATGAAAGGTTTTTGAGTGGCGACTCCATACAGGCAAACTCATTTTAGGGCGACCCCCCCAATAGATGAACAACAACCTCAAATCCATTACAGGAGGGAGACAGTAGATGTAAATGGCTTAGAACTGTTTCTTATGGCAGTCTATGGGCGAGGTCTATGTTCACCTGTGGGTACTTAATAGCTGATATGATAGTGATCATGATTTCTGAGTACTTATGAACTTGGTAGTTAGCTGCAACCCATTCAATTTTTTCCACAAGATATCAAACTTGAACATGAGAACACCTTTAACATTAACTTTATTTATAATTAACATTATTTTATTTATAGTTATTATAGTTATAAGATATTAATAATATTTTCTAATAATATTACTTTATTAATATTTCTAGCCAACAAAAGGGAAACCACCAACAAAAGGTGCAAAACGAATACTTGTGGAAAATGTGGCTACAGTCAACTTCTATCGCAACATGGCATTAGCTGCATGCATTTTGTATTGTGTACTTACTCCAATATTTTATTATGATAACTTAGGACCTACAATAATTGTAAGTATCTTTACAATAATTTATTTCTTTTAGATACTGCTTTGCTTTTATTTAATTATTTCTAATTACCACACTATATTTCCTTTGAATCAATTCATTAATCTTTGTCTTTATATACTACCTTATATAGATCTACTCATAATTTAGTTGCTACATAAGGATATATCCAAGTTAGATGTCAATAATACTGGCTCATTATCCATACAATCTGTTTTCTTATCCAATAATTTACCCTGGGGGTATATTTTTATAATACACCTTGTCATTTTCAACAAGCACTTCCCCAATCCAACTTTGATGAATCTTTTCAACTGAACATCAACTTTATTCTCCACAAAAACAAATCTCGCCGAACTATAAAAGAAAGCACTTTATAAAATGGTTTCTAAGGAGATAAACTTTCCTGAAAATTCAAAATAAAAAAAGTTTACTGATTTAGACAGAAATTGCAACCATCAAGAATAACCCAATTCTGTTTTAAACTATCCTGTTATTATGTATTTATGTATATAGATAGTGTATAATAACATTTTAGGGGGTTGTATAATTTATTCTTATTGATTTTGTTCTATTCTACAATGAAATTAAACTAATTTGATTTCTAATAATGTAAAAATTTTAATAAACTACTGAAGCGGTCAAGGATTATGAGAGCCGCTAATCTTAAGGTACACTAGGCCAATACTAACATTATACAAATGTTATATCTTTGCTATTAATTCAATTATATAACTGAAAAACTTTTTATTTTTAATGCATTTTTTTTTAGTTCTTAAATATTCTGGTGATAAGTGGATACATTGGATGTTATCAAATGTTAAAATATATAAGTCGACCACATTACACAGCTGAAAATCAATTAATTGATCCTGGTTTGGATTTAAACATGGAAGGAGGTATGGGAGAGTAAGTATCTATTATTTTTGTATGTAGTAAATTTTTTATCATATATCAGCAATCATTTAATCCTAACTATTTTTTAATTTGTTTTCCTACTTTAAAATTGAAACATAAAAATGTTCTAAAATTTGTGCTATAGAACAGTATTCATATTAGTGTCCAACCGATCTTTCGGTTTCGGTTTCGGCCAGAAATTCTACTTTCAGCCTTAAGTTTCGATTTCGGTCAAAAATTGGCCGAACTTTTGGCCGCGCCGAAACTGTGTGTGTGTCTAACTGAAAGTTGTGTTTTTTTTTTAAGTTTACTTCCAAGAGTAAGTCGTAATTTTAACATATAAATATATATGACATATTTGTTACATACTTCAATTAGTGTTTATTATTACCCTTTAATTATCTGTGTGTTTGTGTAAAAAATACACTAGATTTCAGTATAGAAGAGAAATTTTAAATGTTTTAATAAGTTTCGGTTTCAGTTTCGGTCGAAATTGAGACCAAGGCCGACAGTTCGGATTCGGTTTCGGCTGTAAAACCTGTTTCGATCGGACATTAATTCATATCCCAATAAATGAGTTGTTACCATTTCAATAGTATAGAGGATATAGTATACATTATTTCTATGTAATATTTATATCAATGTTTTATTTACTTTTCAGGCATGTGAAGGATATTGTTATATTACTGTCAATAACTCATGTTTTAGCAATCATATCCAATTATTTTTGGTTTCTACTTCTGCTCTTTCCATTAAGAGCATGTTGGTTACTGTGGACCAATATTCTAGGACCATGGTTTTTCCAGCCAGCTCCAGAAGAGACAGAGCAAGACGAAAAGAAAAGAAAGAAGAAGATGAAAAGGGTAATTATTTGACAACCATCACTAATATAAATAGTAGAATCATTTACATTTTTTACATTCACACAAGCAAATGCCTATAGCCTCTTTTTAGCATACCCATATCTTAAATCTTAGTATATAAAAATTTTATGTCACGATGTTCGCTCACAGTGTCCTATAAAACTGCTCAATCGATTTTAGGGAATTTTATAATTGTGTATTATTTACTTCAACTTGAGGATTAAGACTTTATCTTGGCAAAAAATACCTGTTCGGTGACGTTACAAGACAAAATGTTTGCCGTCTTAAAAAGCAAATTAATGAATATTGGTGAGAATAGTTCCCAAAACAATGTTTACAGATAGACACATCATCATCATATCAGCCTTTAACTATCCACTGCTGAACATAAGCTTCCCCCTTGGGAGGTTTTACTAGTAGTTTCCACGTTTAGCAGATGGGTTTTCTTTAATGGGTGATGATGGGATAGTACCCCCTCTTCGCTATCGGTATACTCTGGCGGGGCACCAGTTAGTGATGATAAGTGAGAATGAAAAGACAGGTCAGTTAGTCCATCGTGTTGAGTACACTTGGTAACTTACGTTCAGCACGATGGTTTCCAGGGGGGGACCACATAGAGGTTGACCTGTTTGGGTATATTGCTAACAATGGGGTCCTTAGTCTCCATTATTAACAATCCCTTGCCTTCCCTTAGTCGCCTCTTACGACACCCACGGGAAAGGTAGGGGCATATTCTGGAAATCTTATATTTTCACGTTTTTTGATGTCTTTAGCTCCTTATACATAATTATTGTAGTATAGCAAATTAGTATATACATTTTTTCTTTTGTAGATGTAGGAAAAAAGTTGTGGATACTAAATACATGAATTCTGATCGAACAATTAAGTACATATATGAAATATCCCATGGACAAATATTTTAGCAAGTTATGCCAATCACAACGTTATTATACCTACAACTATTGCAATATTGCTCTTATAATGCATGTAATATAGTTATCAATACCGATAACTAGGTATGTTTATACATACCTATATGTGTAAGTATTCGTATTAAAATACAACTTTGTTTACAGTTTATTGTAATATTGTTATTTTAATGTAATATAAATTATAATATAAATATATTTTTATTATTTATTTCAATGTCTATTTTTGTTCTTAAACTTGTGCTGTCTTTAAATGAAATTACATCAGATTTTTATGTTATAGAAAGTTTAAAAGTTTTAGAATTTGCCCATATGTTAAACCATGACCAACATACAGGGTGGAAACAATAAATGCTTCCATATAAGAATAGAATAATGAATTAATTATGGACATACAAATTCTTTATGTCTAGTTAGCGATTCACTTTTAATAAAAAATATAAAAGTTTTATATATAATATTTTTTACCTATATAATTAAGGCATAATCGAGTGATCACTGTTTCCACTGACTGTTTCCATTCTGTATACTAATATTGAACACTAGTATTTTATAAGCATAAAAATATGGAATTATGAATGTTTTTTAATTAAATTTATTTGAAATTTTATACTCGAGTTTCAGTTTTGCCATTTATATCCCCTAGACATAAATATCTCTTGTTTTGTGGAAAAAACAACACAATAATATATAACTAGTTCCATTGAATAGTCTCATGGTGATGAGAATAATGATTTTATTTTATCCACCAGGAATGAAGTTAAGTCTGTAGTTTCATCACCACCCGTTGACTTGAGATGAGCCGTAAATTACGCAATGGATTTTGATACCAAATCAAGTAATATTTCCGTAAAATTCAAAGCTGCTGAGACTAATATGCCCGTATTTATAAGAAAAGTGTATAAAAATACTGATAGATGTCAGATTGGTGTAAATCAATTGGTCTCATTTTGAACACCTCTAAATCTCGATCCATAATAATCGGTAGCTCTCGCTATATTGCTAAATTAAATTGGAATACTCTTCCACGAATAGTTTTGAGCGCAGTTGGCATTGAGTTTAATGAAGCGATAAAAGTCTAGACATCTACTTCGATAGGACACTCTTGGTCATTTCACATCGGTAAAGTCAGTCGTAAGATTTTTTCTGTGCTAGCTCGCTGAGAAGACTGGGTAACTTTTTACCGGTAGGTACCAATATTACGCTTGCCCACACTATTACTTCTCGTACTTGATTATGCTGACATCTGCACGAACCGAAAATTACCGAAGGGTAACCAAATAAACTTGAGCGATTCCAAAATATCTGTAACAAGTTTATATTTGGACTAGCGGCCCGTCCCGGCTTCGCAGGGGTGGACATTTTTACATTTTTATCTGATCTTACCTAATTAAACTGACTAATTTATAAATATATATATATATATATATATATATATATATATATATATATATATATATATATATATATATATATATATATATATATTTTAGTGCCATTTTTAGTGTTACAAGTATCCAAAAAAATTCCCCACAATTTAATTAATATTTCCGAAATGAGGTGGATTTATTCAATAAGAATTGAATTATTTTCAAATATTCTTTGTATTTTGTGTTATTTTTTACATAATAAATATTTATGTAGGTATGTTCATAGAGATATTTTTGTAACCATTATGCAGAATTTATGAATTTATTATTTGGCCGATTGCTTTCGAAATTCAAATCTAAAAATTTGTGTATACTTAAAATTGGATCCGGTGTCAGAATAAAAATGACCGCTATTTTTATTTTCTTTGTTATTAAACGATTGCTTTCAAAATCGATATCGGATGATCTCTATACACTTCAAATATGAATCTGGTGTTAGAATTAATCAAAATGGGCGCCATTTTTTTGTTATTGACCAATTGCATTAAAAATCGATATTTGAGGATCCCTATATATTTCAAAAATAATTCCGGTATCAGAATATGAGTGGGTATAATAATGGGTGCCATTTTTGTTTAAAATGATGAAAGTATTTATTTGGATGAGGATTAACAAAATAACATTAAGAATTTAATCTTAAGATAAAATTCAATATTTTTATATTGAATTATTATATTTTATTTTAGTCAACTTAATTAAAAGTATTTAACTCAAATTTTTCGTTCTCATATGTAGATATTTACATTATAATGGCTTTCACTTCAATTAATTCTAAGACCAATATTATAATATATATTAAATCTTCAAAGATTTTGAAATATTCGTATTTAAAGAAATCAGTTAAGTAAAAATAAATTCAAAATGTTAAGCATTTTTTGTGACATTATCTGTCCAAATATACATGAGATCACAAAGAGCGATTTTCAACCTTCACTGCAAAATTGTACTAATTTTTAAAGCAATATGAAACAATTGTGAAATGATTGAATTGTGTCTGAATAAATAAATAATATTATTTAATATATAAATAAAGTTAAATAATGTAAATGATTATTTAATCCTAATAATATTTTAACTTACGATTTTTGCCTATTTACCTTAATCTAAAGTAATAATTTCTAATTTGGTAACCCAGTCACGTACACGATTATATGAAAAAATTGACCCGCTTTTTTTTAATATATATATATATATATATGTGTGTGTGTGTGTGTGTGTGTGTGTGTGTGTGTGTGTGTGTGTGTGTGTGTTTGTATACATATTATTATTTTTAAGGGGTGCAATAAAGAATAAATAAATAAAATAAATATACAGAAAAGTTTGATCTGTTTGTACCAAAATATATAATTGTTTTCTTTTTTTAATGATGACTTATAATTAGCTTGGATTACTTTTAGACGTTTTAGATATTTTACATGGTGTACAGGCAGACCTCGGCTCAAAGAAGTTAGCCGTACTTATGACGGAAGTTAACACTTACAGCTTTGCTACATATAATTGTAAGAATGTAAAGTGTTCGGTTGTATGCAACAATGTGCCGTTCGTTGGATATTATTACATTACAAGAAACATGGCTGCTTAACATGGCTGAGTTCGGAAGCATAGAAACGTCGGCGGTAGATATTGGTGCCGGCTTGCTTCGTGGAAGACCGCATGGAGGAGTAGGCCGTGTGCTGGTGAGCGTTTATATGCTGCCGGTTAAATTTATAAATCTACCGGACTCTTTTCACTGTTTGGGAACAGTGGTGCAATTCATTACCATATCAGCCGTTAATTGTCCAGCTACTGAACATAGGCCTATCCCATAAGGGGGGTTTAAAAATAATGGCCACGCTTAGCAGGCGGATTGATAACCTCATTTAAGCTTTGGTAATGTTTTAAAAAGGACGCTATTGCCCATCTCTCGACCATTAAATCCCCTTAGTTGTCTCTTACACCATCGTCAATGGTAAAAAAAAGTTTGACAGCCCCATTGCTAGCAATATACCTTATTAGGTCGACCTCCACGTGGTTCCCCCTGGAAACCATCGTGAACAATTCTTGTTGAATTCGTCACAATAGGCTAACTGATCTACTTCATCTTCACCTATCATCCTTCACTGGTGCCCCGCCGGTGTATACCGATAGCACGGGTGGGGTTACTATTCCATTATCATCCATTAAAAAAAAGTGGTAAAAAAAGTTGTAGCTTATCTATTCTGGAAACCACACGGTAAATGAATGCAATTACTCATATTAATAACGAACCTGTTATATCTTATGAAGGAACTTGGTGATTTTAATTAAATGTTTTTCAATGAACTAACAAATTTTTGTAATGAAAGTAGCCTCGCTTATGTGGATGCGGATAAATTATGTTTATCTTCGGATAATCATATATTTATTACTGAAGAGCATGGATGGAGGCGTTGGATAGACCACTGTATGGAGGGGATGGGATTGTTAGTAATGGGGTCTGTCTGACCCATTGCCGGCAATACACTCTACCAGGTCGACCTTCACGTGGTTCCCCCTGGAAACCATCGTAGTTAATTCTAATGAAATTCGTTACGATGGGCTAATTGACCTGCTTTCATCGTCACCTATCATCCCTCAGTGGTACCCCGCCAGCATATACCGACCGTACAGGAGGGGCTACTATTCCATTATAACCCATCAAAAAAATAAAAAAACCACTGTATTGAAAGTTAATCGATTTTAATGTCTATAGTGGATGTTTGTATAAAATATCCAAGTGTTGTTGGGGCTGCTTCGATTTTGCAGTGCGTACATGTTTGCACAAATGTATGTGGACTGTTTCTATGCCAATATTTAAAAGCGATCTGCGTCCCTACTCTGCTGAGTGCGGGTCAGCCCCAACCGTATCCTGGCCATAATAGTAAGTAGGCTAGATCCTTTCTATATGAACAATTGTGTTGCGTTGCATGTCGAAGAACTCAGCCAAAAATAATTAGTATAAAAATGGTGTTGGTTCTTGTAACCTAAATAAATAATTAATTATTTTACAAATATTATAATTGGCATATATTTATAATGATAGGTATAGACCAGTTTAACTTTGTTGTGGAAGGTGGGTTGCCGTCGATTTTTTCGTCATTTAGCAAGACGACGTATCGTCTCCATATGCATACTATATACTTAGTTAAAGAAGTACTGGTCGATCCGTGGCAGCGACATTAGAAGTTTGCACGCCGTCCAGCGCACAGCGCATTGTCCTCCCGCGTCCGAGTTTTGCGCATAATTGTAAGTACGTATAATACATTTATATTTTTCATAAATTATGTTCATCCCGATTTTTATCAAATACTAGTAGATATATTATGTTATTTTAAAAATTTTTTAAAACACTTAATTTTTATATTAAAAAAAAATAGTCTTAGTTTTTTTTTTATATCTAATGGGCTTAATAGATTGATACCCAATCTTTATTACAGAATTACCTGTAAATAAAGTTTTTATGTTTATAAAGCAATACTAACACTCCAAAAACTTTGTATACAATTAATACACTTCAATATTTTTTTATGTGATAGGCGAGCAACGTTAGAGCAATTTTTTTAATTACCCCTATATATTAGTCTATCTTTTTAAATCTTGTTTAGAAATTATTTCCGTAAAGCCGATTAGTTTCAGGATAAATGGTTATATTGTAATAAATTCTAAGGGCGCATTAATGTCTCCTTTTATTTAAAATTTTATTTTTATTAAGTAATTTATATTTAGTAGTAGTAACATTATACTGGATTTTCTTGAGGTTATTTAACTATTTATAATTTCTATAATATGCTATATTATATATAATAACTGATACTGACTGCCTCGTTGGTAAATATTTCTACCTATAACACACATAGTGACACACACAATGCACTCATTGCCTAACAGTATTTACTCTTATATAAAAATCTACTTTTGTTCTATTTCTTTTATTTACTTTTATATACATTAAAATACCAAATAAGGATGTTCCTATATACCAACTATACCAATATATTAATATAACAACACAAACGTAACTTTCTATATGTAGACTGTTTCTCATATGTAGATATGGGTTAAATAAAAAAAAAATTAATGATCTAGTCAGAGGCGCACATACATGTAATAAATAAATAAACATGGTACTCGACCTGCCCACATTGCGTTGAGCATAATATAAACTAAGGTGGCAGGGAGCAAGCTCATCATTATTACTGTTTGGTTGGTTAACGGTTTTCCGTGACGGAAGAATTAAATAGTCAGGAATTTAAATCCAGAATTTTCCATTTGTAAATTTAAATTGAAGTACAGGGTTTTAGGTGTCAACCATGTTTCAATTTATACCCTTTAGGTTTTATATATGGGCAGATTAGTAAACGGTTGCAGTTAATTTGAAAAAATCAATCTAAATGTAAGTATGAGTACTTACTAAATATTTAAGTTAAGAAACGTGCTTGACAATATGATCACTATAATAATGTACTTATACATTATAAAGGTGTCGTTGCACAATTACGTAGTAGATACATAATAGGTATACCAAACTGCATATTACTTACATGTAATTACATTCTTGCAAAAAAAGTATTTATGTTGTAATATGGTGGATAATAATTACGTAAACGGTCACAATTATTTTGTTTTATAATTCGTACAAGGCACTAAAAATATTTTTAATTTAATCTATGGGTAAATAAGTAACTCTACCAAGGACAATGAGAGCGATATGTCGCTCCTGTATTTGGTAATTAATGACTTAATATATAGTGTACTAAAATGATAGTAATATTGATTTTATGTTTAAAGAAGTGTTCTATCAGGGAATCTGAATTATTCTGCCTAAGGAACATGTCGATAGAGAACAAAAATTTTGATCATTCAATAACACGACATGTTTAGTTGTTTCATTAATATAGAAGACTCATAATTTTTAGTTGTTTTTGACTTTTTGTTTTACGTAATTTCCGCTCTAATATATTTTAGGTATAGTACGTCTAATAATATCGATTTTACCCTAAATAAATTTGCCACGTGGTTCCGGTCCCGGCATAGAGTGGGTCATTCTTTCCTTTCCTGTAGTGACGAAGAGGCGATTAAGGAAACTGTCGGAGGATAGGCAGCAGTCTCCCTCTTAAAACATCACCAAAGGCTAATTGGGGAGGAATATATATATCTCCCATATTATGCCATTATTATGCCTATATTCAGCAGTGGTCTAAAACTAAAAAAGTCAACTTAACTAGATAAAAGTATTAGTGTGTGAGGTTCTTTAAAAAATGGTTAATAATATTTTTTCACAATTGGCAATAGTCACGCAGTGAGTCCAATATTCGTATACAGGCACATAAAAATAGAATTTAGAAAAACAAACATTTGTCATATTTTATAGATTTTTGTTGTAAATTTATATTAAAATCGTGCACAGAGCTATTAAATCATATACTACTAAATTTATATTTTTCTTTAGTAGAGTGTAAATTGAATAGTTATAATATAGGCACTTCCTTTTCAACAACCGTCTCGCCCTCCCTTCTTGCGTGAGGTCTGTAGATATCTTCCTATATTTATTATTTTCATAACTGATAACCTCTATATTCCACTAGGAAAATCTTAATGCCATTGTAGTCCCTAATATAAAAAATGCATTCTGCTGTTGCCAAAATATTTGTTTCGTTTCTCTATTATATGTTATATGATTATCAAAGACCGTCATTTCTTCGAGGCCATTTTATGGTAGATATACATATCTACCTCCCATAATAGCTTTTATTGAGCGTATTTGAAATGAGTTATGTCCTGTCAAAATTTCTAAAAACTATTCATTTTATGCTATTACAATTTAAAGACATTGACGTAAACATACATATATTAAGGGTCATGGTAGGTTAAAAATGGTTGTGTTATGCTCACAGACAGTATAATGGAATTATAAACTCTTTTATACACATAAAAGAGTTTATAATTCCATTTAGTCGCAATATAATAATTTACTAATAATATTGTAATAAAATATTAGTCTTTTTAATACGTTTGCCCACTAGTAGAAAACAGATGGATTCAATTATAAATGTATTCGATCGACTTAGCCCATTTCTCATATATATATATATATATATATATATATATATATATATATATATATATATATATATATATATATATATATATAATAAAATATATATAATAAATAATAAAAAATATTTTTATAAGAAACCGAAATCTAGTGTACTGGTATATTCGGTTATTAAGTACATAATGGGGTCGATGCTGTGGATATCATTTTTCCAAACATGATGTCACAGAATCGACATAATCATCATAACTCTTAATCCAATATTTTAATTTCTTAGTTTCGTAAAATCAGTTTTTTGTGGACTATCATCAACTAAATTTATAGTAATTTTCACTTAAATCTGTTAGAAATTTAATGCATGTTGATGCCTTAGGTTTCGCTGTAAAATCAATTTAAGTTTTTTATACTAGAGATTTTTTTATGTCAGAGAAATAGCACCTCAGAATGAATCCCAATATTTACTTGAACAATGTAGATGTGCAAATTACATTAGAAATATTTATACCATAATATAATAAATTAAAATCCCTCTTTTTTTGTACAACTAACCTAACTAAACTTGAATGGCAAACAAGCCTATAGACATGAGCAGTACCATGGACATAACAGAGTATAATGTTTCGCCCATGATATCCCCCATGCGTTGTGTGTCATTCCTGCGGACTCAGGTGTTATTCTTCTGTACTTGTGTTTTTCTCTAGTAAACATGGAGGATATTAGTAGAGACCATTAACCATTATTATGCTAGTGAAGCAATTTGGTTTAAGGTATTAACAATGAGTTTCGTTATTTATCCCTGGGAAATGAATTTTTTTTTTGTTTTAAATTGAGTTTGTACAGAAAGGGACTAAATCAACTAGTACTAATTTTATGAATTGTAGTATTGTTTAAAAACATAGTTAGCAAGAAAATCTCATTTTTATAAAGGTATTTTACTACCTAGTAACCTAATTGATCTAGAACCGGTGAACGCTTGGCCTTCAGACTAGGAATAGTCATCTGTGTTATAGAATACATACTATCTGTATATATTTATTACTATGTCCTTACACGGCAGAGCTTGCAAACCTTGGAACTTGAACGTCTGCGTCACACACCGTATGGACATTCGACTAAGGATTCCGTACCAAAATTATTCTATATTTATTTGAATTAATAAACTAAATATAAATAATAGTACAAAATGTACTCTATATAATGATAATAGTTATTCTAAGGCTATTCCTTTAATATTACGAGTAGGTTGTAAATGTAGTATTTAGGTATGTGACATGCATAGTTAAAAATATCTCAACTGAAGAAAATATTCAAATTCAATTGCGAAGAAAATTTCCCATTTTGTGTATTTTATTTTGTAAATACCGAAGTATATTTTATTAGATGTTTTAAATCGCGTTGACAAACATTTTGGGTTAAGCGACGACTTCTACTGTTGGGCAATTACACTAATTACTACTAAGACGTTTGTGTCATAAGTACTTAAGTGTAACCCACCTGCTTAAATTACCTACCTATTAGGTAGTCATATCCTGGAGGCTGTGTTTATTTAAAAAATATATTTGTCAGCTACAAAAACTACAAACTGACTTGTTTGATTGTAACAATAATATCAATAAAATATATAATTAATTAATATCTATTCCGATTACTACCTCTTTACTTATATGGATTTGCTACTTCTGTTTCGTGTTTACATTTACGTAGAACTGGATATGAATCGTAGCGCCTCCCTACTTAATATGCAAACTATATTATGTATCTGCGTTTGTTTATACTGAGACTTCCTCCTATAATTTCCTGATTGTAACTGTTTAAAGATAACTTACTGGTATATTATGCAAATAGGTTCGAATAAAATACGTAAATACGAAATTGTGGCAAATATATCCAAGTTCTTTCTGTATCGGAATAGCAATGACAGCACAATATTGATACCTGTCCTTCTTCTAATAACTTTACATTATAATATATTAAGTGCTATATGTATAAATTTTAGTAAGTATATACAGTTTTAGTCTGTTTTTAAATTGAATTTCTTCAAGTTTAACATTTTGCAAGACATTGCGATAAACAGTTACTTATTTGGAATAACATGGAATCTTGTCTTTAATTTTAAAAAAGAAATTTGTATGTTTAATGTTTAAGATTTTTTATAATCTCGTCCTATTAAGATAGATACCAATGAGTTTGAAAAATAAATATACCGGATCCAATAAATTCTTTAAATAAATAAATAAATAGCTATGTGGGTGTTTGTGATTCATACAACTAGAGTTCACTTATTACTTATAATAAATACAACAGTGACCATGTAATAAATAGGTACCAAGACGTATTTTCCACGTAATTGTAGATATTTGATTGAATATATAAAACTGCCATGATACTGTGTATGGATTGTACTTATACAGATGTGGAAGATGCCTATGCAATTTTTACGTAAGAATTTTTTATAAGAATGAGGGATATCATTATTGTTCAAGTCTATATAGGTGACAATTACTACGAGTGCGCCGTCTATTCGTCTTTACAGTTTAGTATGAAAAAAGTCGTGCCCTCCTTTCTTGTATATCAAGGCCTCTTTGGAAATACATAATTGGATACACTAATATTGCAGTAAATATCATTTGAAACTAGAAAAGTAATGTCAGATTATAGAATAAATATTATCGAATTAGAAAAAAATAAAGGGCATTTGTTTTATGTTACCTAGAAGACAACTTCTACTACCAAAATAGCACCCTATTTGTTGTTCGTCTATTAGAAATTGGTGGACATATTATAAAGCCTGAAACTCAGCAATAAAAAAGCAGCTATGTAAGTACTATTTATTTGCAATTTTCATCGCGTTAAGTCCCGATAGTGTACTTAAAACCTAGTCTCTTCAGCAATATTACTATATATTTTTATATAGCAATTTTTAGTAAATAGGGTGTTCTTTCAGGCCCAACGTTTCAGGCTACTGGTTCTTTGTAAAACATAGTATCTAAGTAGGTTAATTAATAAATAATTTAATATACACTTTAAACAAAACCTCGTAATGAATCAATTATATTATCATTTATAGGAAAACTCCAAATTAAAGGTATACAAGCTTGTTATAAAATGACAGCTTGTATGAACTAAAATTAATACAAAGAGGCAAAAGGTCTTATCTTAGATCCGTGATGTACAAAATTCCGTACTTGTGTTTGTATTGACTTAGGGCTATTTAGTGTAATGTGTTATGAGGTGTCATGTTAATATATTGACGAAAACGAACTACTAGTAAGTACTTATGTGATAAAGTACCAACGCAATTCTTTACGTTTACTGAACACAATCAAACAAAATTTCAAGAACCTATTTGTCGTAGGGGCCTGCTTCTCACTTCAAATATCGTGCATATATACGAGTATTACGTAAACTATGGTAAACAGATTATACTCTATTGCAATGCCAAAGTGATACCTAATATCAATATACGTACGTAACACATTAGGTGAATCCTATCATTAGTTATGGTACTTGTGTATTCCGTTTACTTTATTTTTTGTTCTACATATTTGGTTTGTAGGTTTTATTAGTCATAACAAATGTTAATTTATATCCTATTATTTATAAATCAACTAAATGGATGACAGAGAGAACAGCTGTTCGAATTTGAGTAATCGAATCTTAACAATGAAACTATGTTATGCTATTACCTATGCCCAATGCTTAATTTTACGCGACATCTTTAAATTCTGCTGAGTAGAATACAAGATTACTCGTGTTAAAATTTGTGTAAAGAGCTAGTTTAACCCCACAGACTCGTCTTCAACATTAGCAGAATAAAAGTTAAAACAGTTGATAAGGCAGTGTAAACGCAATCTTATAGAAGAAATGCAAATGTATAGATTTTCTTAGCAACAGGAATGTCTAACTTTCATTCCACCTTGTGAAAATTGTAACTACAATGTCGGTTCTAGGCATAAATAGCATCATGAATATCATAGATTTCACCGTGACGCCCAAGGACGGTAAAAGAATTATATCTTTGTACTCTGCAACTTAACTACTATATCTCTTTTAAACCAAAACACACTCTTTGAAGCCTATATTACTTTTACTTAGGGGTAGAAAGAAGAGTGTTTAGTGAAAATAATAATTTTTAATTGTAATTTTTTCCATCATTCATAAAACATCCTGTCCTTACAATTAGTCACTATAATAATATTAATTATGATATATATGTATATACAAGTTATCAGTTTAATGCTTAGATTATGAAAAATACGTTATACTGTATAATACTATCAATTTAAAGCTTCCATACCATACGTTCCACAATATAGCTTTACAACCATGGACAATGTCTATAAGAAAAAAAGATAATCAATTAAATGCCTAATTAAGCCATTCAGTGAGAACTAATTTAATAAAGTAGGAAGTCGAGTAAGTACGCAACATACTTACGTATATCCGCTTGTACTATTATAGTCACTAAAATCTTTTGCAAGTTTTAAAAATGCATTGTATAGTCATTGTTTTGCAACTGCAACTCATTGAATTTTAAATATCGGTTATTATAGGTAGATACTTGTTAGTAGAAAAAAATATAAATACCTAGTATGGTAGTAAGTAGTTACAATAGATGATCAGTAATTTTTTATTGCGGACCTAATGTTATAGATATTTGGAATGTATTAACTGAAATAGTGACGCACGTATTTCGTATCATGTACCTGTTTAAGAAATTTCTATTTACAACCTACTACTGTATTCAAAAGCAATCTTTATTTAAAAGGGCAACGATGAATTGGATACCACAACTTAATTACATCGTAAATTCAATATGATGTAGGTAGCTACGTTAGATTTCTTTATAGTAGCAACTGTACTTGAATCTAACCATTCTATTAGTGAAGCCTCTACTATTGACATGTGGAAGGGCTAATAGAAAAATAACAAAATGAAGTTTATTGCATTTATATTTCTAATAAAAATAACAGTTTCACAAAGTCTTACTTGCAATAATATTTTGGAATTGCCTGCTGAAACTAAATTAACAATTAGAGAATTACAAACGATTCAACCGAAAGATATGGTTCAGTGCTTGGCCTACTTGGGAAAGGAGCAATTGCCGAAATCGGAAGCCGAGTTCATATGGCAATCGATCGTTGCATTTTACAGCGGTATCGCAAATGTTCCTGATAACGTATTGATACTTTTACATTGGGTTACTACAGCTCTAACTCCGGAAGATTACGCAAACATAACCTTTAGTAACATTGACGTTATACAAAATTTCGGATTAAATTACAACTTGGATATGCAACAACTTATGGCAATAGCCGATAGGGTCCGCGAAGACTTTGCTGGGAAGGAGCCCGAAGACTACACTTATTATGACTTGACAGCCTTAAGGCAAATTTTATGTGCCTATAACAGAAGTGAGATTGAGAGAATACATCCATCAGCTTTTAGAGAAGCGGCTCTAATCCTCGGAAAGCTAGAGAATTGTAGTGCTGAGGTGATGACAGGATTTGCCTCTTTAGCGATTCAAAAGAGCGCTTTTGGTCCTCCATCAACGTGGTCGGATTCAACAAAGAAAGCGCTAGGAAAAATTATTGAATTCTTGCCACCAGAAATTATAGAAAAATATAAACTCTAACAAATGGCCCAAAGCATGATTTAATATGTGTATCTACAATTTATTTTTGAGTTATACTCCTAGTAAGATTTTATTTATAGCATTATTATCTTACACCGTAACATCTCATTGCCTAATACGAGTTCTACCTCATTGAAAGAAAATATGTCTATGATGTTTAACAGCGCTGTTAGACAGAAGGGATTTTACTAGTAGTACTACTATCATATAAATTCTCTTTCAACACATTAGTACCAAATTGTATATTTACACATAATCATCCTTGTAAATTAATAAATAAATATAATATATAGATTTTTTTTTATTATTAACTAATGACAAGTGCTTTATCTACTTTTAGTTCTATGCTAAATACCATATGAAAGGAAAGGAAGATTGGAATAAATTTATCTCACTTTTAAATACTAAAGCCTATTTAAATATTTACCTGTAGCATTATCTCTAGTTAGTAGTTTTAAATTTACAGTTGGTAACAATACTTGCTGTCTAATGTCAGTTACTGCTTTTGCAATAAGTATCCAATGAATCAAATACAATACAAAGATGAGAAGTCTTCGAGGTAACATTGGCATACAAAATAAATAGAGGTCGTTGTAAATGGAGCCATAGAAGAACAATATTGTATATTAGTGGGTTTATTTACGTCTTTTATGTTTTTTGACCTTGCGTCATAATGAACGAAACAGTTTATATTTAGGACAAGTAAAAATGATGATTTATGGTTAGGTGTAAACCAGATTATTACGTAGAATTTACCTGTCAGAGTAGAATTTTCATACGGAATTAAAATATTTTTGTGAGTGAAGGTCATCATGTAGGTACTGAAATGTAATGATAATAATTAGACATTACACTGCATTTGTATGCATTTAAATATTTACACATGAGACTCAATCATAAAATAATTATAATTGAATTTAGAACACATTAATGGACGTATCTATGCTATATACTATTATATGTTATAAATTAATTATTACATATTAATATATAACTATAAACAAAAACTATTAGTATCATTTTTATCTAGCGGAATATACAGAGCCTCATCATCAAAACCCGACGAAAACTCCAGTTTTTCACTTCCTCGTCGTAATGCTGAGATCACAGATTCTCTTCGATTGTGATCCCAATGCGGCTGGTTTACAAATAGACTCCTTTTGATCTCTGCCAAGATAGTGACAAATCCATAGCTAGGTACTATTCTGATGCAGCTACATTGATTAATTAAAATAAAGCAATCGTTAATCGCAATGAAAAAATCGCATCCCTTGCTCATTGCCAAATTAAGCCTTCCTCGTCGATCTATCCAGAAAAACAAATAATAATATACTAGCATGGAGGTTTCGCGATCTCAAGCAGATAGTAACCTAGAAATTTTATTAATATCTAAATATTTTACTTACTACTAAATATAAGCATTATATAATATAAGTATTATTTCATATTTCCTATATATTGAATAGAATGCACCACCTACTTATTTCTCGGTATACCCAAGGATTGAATGGTAGAGAACACCGTTCGGTGTTAGCTCCTCCAAATGTACATAGAATTTTACTGTGCATTAAAGTTTAAATAAATAAATATTTAAAATATTTAGGTATTATAAATTTTCAAATTATTTTGGTAATAGATAATTTGTACCGGATTACCTACATTTTTCATAAACATTTAAACCCATTCGACGAATGGGTGTAGTGATTTGAAATCTATGTCATAGATATTATGAAAAGTTTCATTGGAATACGGATTAAAAATCTAATTGTAATCTGCTTTACTGTCACACCATCAAACAACACTTAATGGTATCTACTAATATTTTACTAGATCTGTACTTCATGTAGATTATTAAAGTTAGTTCTTATGTAGATCTAATGAACAAAATATATTACCAACAAATAACAATAATTCTAAGTTCATGATCATTATCATATCGGCCTTTAACTGTCCACTGTTGAACATAAGCTTCCCTCTTGGGAGATTTTGCCAGTAGTTGCCACGCTTGGCAGGCGGATTGGCAACCGCAGTCAGACTATAGAGATCTAGAGATGTTTTAAGAGGGACGCTGCTGCTCATCCCTCGCCTTCCCTAATCAAGAATATATATATATATATATATATATATATATATATATATATATATATATATATATATATATATATATATATATATATATATATATATATTCTTGATTAGGTATCGATAATTGAGTTTGAGCATGTCATAATATAACACATCCTAGATTATCAAATCGGATACCAACTTTACAAAAGGAAAGGTACAAGGCTAACACACATCCTGCTGTTATTATGTCAACTTATCGATGTCCGGACTTGATATAAGATAACACTCATAACACTGGTACCGGAAATGGATTATTTTCTTTGTTTCCTGTCTATCACTTAAGTGAACACAGTTACGTGTAATAATATTTTTGCAGTGAAACTTCTGTAAGGTTATCTAAAAAAGTATAAGAATAAATCTATACTAATATTATAAACAGTTAAAGTTTGTGAGTTTTGATGCTTGGGGCAATCTCCGAAACTACTGATCTGATTTCATAAATTCTGTCATTGTTAGAAAGATATATTATTTTAGACTGCTATAAGTTACTTTTTATTTTGGTAAATATATATTTTCAATAATTAATCACATTAAATGTAATTGAAGTCAGGAAAAATTCTATAATATGGCGGGCGCTGCCTGATCAATTTGAAATAAAGAAATAAAATCTATAGCAAAACATTCACTACTTTTATCTTTACAGAAAAGTCTGTTACGCCATATTATCTAAATTTAATTTGTCAGCAAACAAGAACCATATTTCTTGTGTTAAAAATAAAATAATTTTTACAAGCCGTTCTTTTTAAAATCTTTGATAATATTAATGCATTACTTCCACACGCGCCAAAATACTAGCTTTACTAAAATGTGTTACACAGTTTACAAATATTGCTCTTGTGTGAAGCCGGGGCGGGTCGTTAGTATTTCATATGGGAGTGAATTAATTTTATTTCGTATCGGACATGCAACGGAGCATGAAATTAATAGATACGAGTATGTATATATTTATAAAGTGTAACGGTATCATAAATGTATTTGTAACAGAAATAAAGATTACGATATTTTAAGGAAATTGTTATTAACTGTTAAATTAACAAGCATTGCAACCTCCTTGATCAAAAGAAATCCGAAAGACTAATTGCACATAATGCCTGATCAGAATGATTATCTAAGTAATTATGTAATTTGCAATGGATTATTTATTGCATTATTCCGGTGAAAATATTATTTTTTTTTCAGGCCAACCAAAATGACTACAGCCAGCGTACTGTTAACTGTAGCGACTACTTGGAACGTGGCCAGCGATAAAGTGGACAAATCGCGGATAGCGCGCACAACGCAGAGCCTTGCTGCCGAAGCAGCGAAAGAGCTTAGAGAAACAACCGCTACTAGAGAGCAAGCACTGCGTATAATGAGAGATTGGATACAGAAAAATAATGACATCAAAAATGTACGACAAGGTATAAAAAAAGATTTAATTATTGCGATTTACATCTACAATACCAGAATAACAATAGATTTTTTACTATGTACAGGTATTACCATATTGGTAGAACTATTACTCTCACTATATGTTTATAGGATTCGATTAAAAATTGTTTAGGTACATTGATACTTGTAAAATATATATAATAGATAATTTTTCTACTGATATAGACCAGAAAACATTGAATAGGTAATTTTGTTAATTTATGCGTCTATTTACTTCTATAGAAAAAATACGGTATGCTTCTGCATTGATAGACATTTAGATCTTCGATCAATAATATGTAACTATTGATAAGAGAGATATGTTAACTAGACTAACCGTAATTTTGGTACTTAACAATATTACGTATTTTCAGATGATGCTTTCTTGTTACGTTTTCTACGTCACAAAAAGTACAGCGTACCTATGGCCCAACAAACACTATTGAAATATTTGAACTTGAGAAAATACTATCCAGAAATCTTTTTGAATGTAGATTGCGAAGATCAGAATTTACAAGAAATAATCAATAATGGGTAAGTTTATAACAATATATGAAGGTCAAATCTGAAAATATACCTTATGTAAAAAATATATAAGGTATATTTATATATCTATTATATATGCATATATTATTTTTATTGTAATGTCATCAAAAATTAGGAGATTGTAAAATTATCTTTTTCTAATTACCTAAAATATAAATTTTCTTAAGTTAGTGTCATTAATTTTGAGTAGAAAAACATCATCAATGAATTTCTGGTAAAGAATTTGACAATAAATATTACGAAATTAACCCACTGGCATAGTTAAAGGTTAAGTAACTGCATACGGGTTCAACACCACGTGCGATAACACGTATCACGAACTACCTGAGTATTCGCATTAGAAAGTTCCCACGCGTTACAGTTCAAGCCTTGAACTCACGTAGTTATAGCAGCAATGCGAATTATCTTTCATGACATAACTTGGTAATATAATTTCAGTTTCAAAGCATTTCATAATGTCTAATTTCTTAACTTTAAGGTACTTGGCGGTATCACCAGTTCGGGACAGCAAAGGTCGGCGGGTCATCGTTTACAACATGAGTAATATCTCTTTGTTCTGCTAATTTTCTATTCATTACAAAATTTTTAATGTGAACTTCAGTTTTTGGTTTTTATATAAGTGACCTGCTGTAATGCGAATTGTGTGAATGGCTGCAATATGTAAATTACGTTATCCTAATAGCTATACATATATAATGCAATGCGAAAGTATAAGTTAACATTCAGTTTTATTCATGATCTTTGGAGTCTTATGTCTACTATTAGAGATTATGCGGCCTTATTCTCTAACAGTAAAATTACTATTTTACTATCACAGACCAATAATAGATTGTGTCACACAATGTCACGTGAACTACAATTTTAGGAGCTAATTAATGGAATTTAGAAATAAAGGTTTCCAATATTTCTTTTTACTGTTCAAATAACCAATCGCTTCGTTATTAACGAATGTAATTGTTTGGAATCAATAGATACTTTTAACCCCACATACATTAATATGTATAATAGTTTAAATTTGCGCTTTAGTACTCATAATAATTAATTTTCACTCAAATTTATTTTTTTATGTAGGTAAATTCAATGCAAATAAGCTGACATGTTGGGACATGTGCCGTGTGCATACCCTGATTTACGAGAGTCTGCTGGAAGACCCCATCGATCAAATCTGTGGGTTCACGCATGTGGGGGACGGCAGCGGGGTTACCGGAGCGCACATTACTGCTTGGAATCCTACTGATTTTGCAAGACTTATGAAATGGGGAGAGGTAAGGAATGTAATTAGTCGTTTACGTGCCATTCTAAGTACCAAATAATAACATCAGTCGTCTGATCCACCCTACAACCTGTAAATAGCCTAGACAACTTAACAACCTAAAACTTAAACGAATAAATTTTTTATACTTTTGTAATGGATAAAGTAAAAAATTACTAAGCCGATTTTAAAAATTCATTCACCGACTGAAAATTACATCAACATCAAGTTACGTAGGTTTTATTTTATATTAAAAACCGTGTGAAGCTGAGGTGGGTCGTTAGTGTGAATTATAATGAAGGCGGATTCATGGACGACATCCCTGTTAGATAGAAATTAATATAGATTATCTGTAGAATATTGATGATTTTTATTTATGTACTATTATACAAACATTACGAAGTCACTGGTTTTACATGCTCTTCATTTTTGGGTCACATCTACATACTCACAAGTCCATTTTATATTTATATTATTAATATAAATAAGTAAGTAGGTACATTAGCAAATATACATAAGTTAAGGTAATATTTAATTTAAAAGACTTTAGCAAACAAAATTCGATGAAATTGATGAAATAAGAGTATGTAATGGTTAAATCACATTGAAATATGCCTACTATCTTAAATTTGATCTTTGTATAGGTGTACATAACTAATGGAACCGAATCTTGAAAATATATATAAAAAAGTAGAATAAAAATAATAAGAAGAGTTTCCAACATAATATAATATCAACGTGAAAGTAAAAAGAACTATCAAAATCGACTCAATAATGGCAAAGACAATGCTAAGATTGTAACATGTCTATGTTACATAGACATACCTAAAAATATTATAGACGAATTGAAATAAGTACATCCTTCTTAAAGCTTAATGCCAAGAATAAATTTTCATTCATATATGAACAAATTCATAAGAAATTATTTTTTAAACGACAATAGGGATAATTATGTACATTTATAATTATGATTATTCTTTTATTTTTTATTTGTGATCATGCAAACCATATTATTTAATTTGTGATACAAACTGTAATTAGGATTGGCTTTCATTATATTCTCTTGAACATTCCTAATTCACATGGCAAAGCCACAATTTACGGATAGTATTGTATGAAATACTATACAGAAGCTAAGACTCATACATGATAATCTATAGTTATAAGTAACTCGGAGAATTCGAATGAATTTATTTCTTTTTCGACTAAGAACGAAAACAGGGACTTTATATGCAAATAATAATAATTTGTTTTACCATTCTTTCAGCAATCGATGCCAATGAGACATAAAGAATTTCACTTAATAAATATACCTACTGCTATTAAGTATATCATAGACTTTGCAAAAAGCAAAGTTACAGCAAAAATGGCAGCAAGACTTCAGGTAAGATTAAAATATTTGTACTCGTATAATATTTTTTATATATTATTATAATATTTTTTTTCTATATCTTCTTATATTCTTTGTATCTATATTATTATATAATATAATAATATAGATACAAAGTAGACAGGCAGACTTATTTCTTGGGAAGTAGTATTTCAGTCAACCTTAATAAACAGAAACCGAATTCACGTTCTTACAGATATCGTCTTTCACTGATTTCAGATTCATTCGTCTTTAAAACAGCTACACAAAAACGTCGACGTGGCATGTCTCCCTACAATATACGGCGGTGAAATACCACTCCAAGATATGATAACATTCACTAAACAACTGATAAGCGACCAAAGAAAAACAGTGCTTAACCTCGACGACATGCAAATACTAAGTACCAGGGGTATAATTTCGTCAAGATCTAAAAACAATATTCAAAACGACTCTGTTTCAGTAGAAGGTAGTTTCAGGAAATTAGAAATAGACTAAAATAATATTGTATAATTTTTTATTGACAAGTTACATGGTCTTGATATAGTAACTTTTTTGAAAATTGTGAAATGAATTTGACGTAACATTGTTATGTGATGAAACATAATGATGTTTCGTTGCCAATTGCCGCTAAATATACAGGGTCCTATTACTGCAGGTTATATTCGACTGTTGACTTTGATTATAAATATATATTAATTTAGGTAATGTTCTGCTCTCTGAAGAAAAAATACGAAAACGATTTATTTTTGAGATAAATTAAAAACATTCCCTGATTAAATTTCATTGCCAAAAAGTTGAATAAAACATGCACTTACATTTGCAGAAATCGTTATTGTGTGGAAAATATTGCAGACATATCTCATAATCAGATTTTTCTTACATCCGAGTACAGAGATTAGATGTAGAGTAATTAATTGGATTCTATAAAATATGCTTTTCTATTTGGTTAATCAGTATTCTACATTGTAAATATTATTTTGAATGTATTAAATTTTGTGTATAAAGAACTCTTCAAAATTAAAATGGAATAAAGTCAAAGTAAAATAGTGGAAATATATTTAGAAAATTGCATATGGTTTTATTTAGGGATAGAGTAACCGAGTGTATTTATAAATGGTGACTGTATTTATTAGGTCGATTATTAATGTGTTTCATTTTTGACATTTGTTGGACTTATTGATTGTAAAGGGGGTTAACACAGCATTTATTGGCGCATACTAATTGTACTATATTTAAAGTTATAAAAAGTGACAAGTGCCAAATACATGTGTGCTGCCTGTTTAAACACTACTACGTTATTTTACTTTATTTTCCATGTTTTATTATTTTAATACAATAATTATATCTACAATAAAGAAAAGAGGTATAGTGGGTGTAGAGTATTATTTATTAGCTATAATATTTTCTGTAGTTTTTATACATATACATTTTTTTAATAAATATGACAGTAAATTTACTTAACATTGTTTTATTAACCCTATTATAATTTGAAATATTTCTGATATTACGGAACGAAACTTCCCCTGTATAACAAGGTAAAGATCACCTAATTATTACCCTCGGATGGAATAATCGTACCCTATTTATTTTTTTTATGCGTAAACAAGCGACATCATTTTAAATGTGTTTTAAATGAAAATTTAAGTGTCCATCAATTTTAATAATCAACAAAATTTTATTAAGTACAATTCTATTTTCTAGAATACAGATTCATAAATCGTAGGTACATATCGTTTTCTCCAATGTAGATACGACATTAATTTATTATCATAGTTCAACCTAGAAACAATAAATCTGTGTAGAATTTGTCATCCACTAATTGGTATATAATTAATAAACGACAAATAGTTTTTACGAATGAACAAGGTTATAAATTGAACAAATAAAAATCTTATAATATATTATGAAATTTAGATATAATTATTACAGAATTCACATTAACACATTTACGGACATCAAATCAAAGTTTTCTTTGCGTGTCTAGTTATGGTCCCAGATTAAGACGAATAGAGTCTAAATCCAAATAAATTTTAACTGTCCTACATTAAATCTATGAGAAAAAGTTTTAGAGAATTGACAAATATATCATTACATATGATATTATCAAAAGAGTTTTGTGTAACATAGGCTTGCTAACAAGTTTAGTTTACATTTTAAAATTGTTATTCTTGCAGCATCTATTTCCATCTTAGAATTGAGAATCCGTGAACATGCTGAAACAATTGTTAAATAAACTATTCTTAAAAATCTAGTTCTTTTTTTACTTCTGCTTAATTTTAGCACAACTTATTATTATACAAATTATTATGACACATACTCATTAAACTATACTTTTAAATAAAATTATACAAAACTACATCGTTATTCGTTAATGTTATATCACAGACAAACATTTAACTGTGTAATTGAGCTCATATAGTAGTAGAATTATTGCATGACTTCTTTGAACTGTTAGATCTCGAATCCACTGCCCAAACAAAATTTTACGTTTAGTAAGTATCAAATAGCAAATCTAGTGTTGTCTTAAGAGTTAATATAAATTCTATTAATGGTTTTAATCAGCTCACAAATTATTCGAGGGTAAGTCGTCCCAAATAGTACATACAAAAAGTTCCAAATAGTATATCCAAAAAAATGAACCTATTCCCACATTTTAATACAGATTCATAGATTAGAAAACTACGTCCACAAGTGTCAGAAATGTTAATACAAAGATTGTTTTTATTACTGACGTCGCTTTTACAAATTGTTATAAAAGAATGAGATTTTAAAAAGGGATTGGTGGGAAACAAATAATTAAACAAAAAAAAAACTTAAAATCTAAGAAAAAACAAGATATCTTAAATAGTTCGTTTGAAAAACCAACTTAAAGTTATTACAAAAAAGAAATATATTTTATTACGTTGTGATGACTATAATTACAAGTATCTAATTTTAATGCAATAGATACTGTAATGAAAAATTAAAGGAAATGTGAGGATAAGGGGATGATATGCGATAATAATCTATAGTGGTTATTATTATTATGTATATAGAGCACATTTTATCTTGGTTATGTCATCAGCAATTTTACAGTAAGAAATTTTCGTAATGTGTGTAGAAATAGTCAGATGCATAAATTATGGTATATTAGCTTTTCCATTTCATCCATAATACAAAAAAGTCCAATGTACTTACAAATCTGCCCTTGATTATAATTTAACGATTATGTTAAAAATTCATTTTAAGCTCCTACATAGCTCTGAAGTCCTCTGAATGATTTTGTTTCCATGAATTTACATTGTCTATTAGATCCACAAGAAACATTATTTTACATAAATTCTTAAAAAAGCATTGCAGAGAAAATATAACATTAATTTGACAATATATACTATACTCTAATATAGAAAAACCAAATGCAAAATCATTTAATAGAGTTATTTATAGACAAAATAACCATAAATGATAAAAAAGTATGTATAGATTTTTTTTGGGAGAAAGTTAAAGAGATTATAACCTTTATGGGGAATAACAAGAATATCAAAGCTTACAATTATTTAATACAGCAATTAACTTATCACATGAATTTTTGGTTTTAATTAGCATTGAGTATATACACAACGACAAGTTGTATCTATATACATAAAAGAGCTTTCCAGTTTGTCTATGTGTCATTATATAGTCAAAAGGCAAGACAATATAAATGCAGGGCTACACTTAAAAATAAATGATATGAGGGTTTATTTTTATTATTCTAATTGTGTATTCTATCAGTGAGTACAATTAAATTTTGAGCGAAGATGGCAAATAAATTATAGTGAAGATTATTTAATGTTATTATAATAAATCGACTACAGAGAGATCTAAATAGGTGTGACTAGTGCACATACTTTTGCATATTAATTATTAACCAAATAACGCCCTAATATAATTATGTTCACGATTGCAATTTCAGATATGCACACATTTTATCGCGCTCGATTGATTCCAACATCATAAAATGCGAGTCCACCACCGTCACCTCACAGATTAGCACAAGTTTTTGGCATAAGCCACTTAACTCACAGGTCTAATGAACTGGTGTAGTAAGTTATGGAATTTATAAAAGGAAACCACAAAATCAGTGGAATTAGAGTACTCTTTGATTGATAATGAGATTTTTTCCACCGAAAACCAAATACGTTTTAGACCTATCGAATCGTAGTTTCATAAGTTAATTATCTTAATTTTATATATAAAAAAGCAATCGCTTCATACTTTTTATCTTTGTGCAATAAAATTGATAACAGACATTCGCTTCTGACGATATGTATGAGTAAATGACATTAAGTTCCAATGTACTATTAATATCATTCTTATTCTCCGTGTTATTAGGTTAATTTAGTTTAAAGATATATTTTTTGCTAAAATTAATCTAATGTTATGTTCACGTGTCTGACAGAACACTACTCCATCGTGGAAGCGTTTCTAAACTAAGAATCAGGTACTTTGGAATTTCTTTGGTTTTTTTCCCGAACATTTCAAAAGAAGGATCCAAGTGCTGCCCACTTAGGGATGCTGCAATAAAGTTCTTGGTCTGCTCTATTTGAACACTGTTTGGCGTAACTTCTGTAAAATTTCCTGAAAAAGATTTTTTTTTAATTAATATAGGCAATTCATTGAAAGAGAGGTACACAGGAATAACACCTGAGTCCTCAAGAATGGCAACGCTTGGGGAGGGCGGGGTATCATGGGCGAAAATGTATAGGTACTCTGTTATGTCCATGGTACCGTTTTTGTATAGGCGACGATTACTAATTTCCGTCAGCTTGTTTGCAATTCTAAGTTGCATAAAAAAATCTATATTATGATAGAAAAAAGAAACAACAATTAAATCTACAAAAGAGTTTTCCCCAACTCTGGAACTCAACAGAAAACACAGTAAAGAGAGCCCTCATAAGAGTACTACCGCACCAAGCTGACTTGTTGGTATGAACTATAATATTAACAACTTAGTAAGTTTCTATTTAGACTTCTTCTCTTATGACATCCTGTGGATTAAAAGGAACAGTGACATATTCTTATTTCATCCCCATAAAAAGAAACAGAGAGGGACATTTTATTTTAATATTGTAAATATTAATGTTAGTAATACGAACTACCAGTCCCACAACAATATACCCTGTCAGGTCGACCTTCACAACGTTCCCCTGAAAACCATCGTGCTGAATTCCTGGTGTATTCATCATGATGGTTTAACTAGCACCCCGCCAGCGTATATCGTTAGCGCAGGTGGCGTCAACATTCCATTGTCATCCATTAAAAAAATATGTAAACGACAATTACTATTTTCTCACAGGTAGACAGTCAGCATATATGCTATTCCCTATAGTATGGGGCATACCCTATACTCCTATGATAAAAATCCAACATATTAAAGATGATGACGATATCAGCTGTTAACTATCCACCCATGGGGATTTTCCCAGTAGTTGCCACAGGCACACACTTGGCAAGCTGGTTGGAAACTGTTCCTTTAGTCGCCTCTTACGACACTCACAGGAAAGGAAGGGGTGGCCTATTCTTGCTGGGACTATACAGATTATACGAACTTACCTATAAATGCTAGAACTAGAGCTGTGCTATTGTATTCAGGAAACAGTGGCGATGGCGAGTGCCAACCAAGAGCCTCATATATTTCACCATTTGACGACAACAGGAAGTTATAAGGCAATGATCTTTCGCCTCTAGTCGCCTGAAACGAATCATACATGAAATCTATATTATGAAAAAAAATGAATTTGCTTACAGCTTACAATAACATGAATAATTTCGTTCGATATAATTTAAGTTAATCTGCTTGATTTTTATAATAATAGCGCAATATTATAAATTGTATATTTTAGTTAGTTACATTATTAAATTTTACTTCGGTAAAACCACCAAAAATAAAACGAAAGTAACATAACGAGTTTACGTTAATTAATTAACGTTTTTTTGGAGCATAATTAAAAGTTTGCCAGATATTTTCAGAGATCAAACACTCACCCATTATTCTTGACAATATATTTAGCTTTATTACGAAAGAAATATGTATATTTACTTATCATAATATTATATTACTAATTAAATATTACATGACTTGGGTATATTTTACCAGAGTGTGACCGCATTGCTAAGGTTAGTGGTGAAATATGATCTGGCCAGCTAGTGTCGCTGTGATTAGATTGAGATTAACACTTTCATTATATAATAATGATGTCATTTTACAAACAAACTGTAATTTGATTGCTGATTAGAATCCTACTCATACTGACCAATTGGCGATGGTATCTAACCAGATATTCAATTATTGAACCAGATTCAGGGAGAACTCTCAACTGTATTGTCATACTATTCTATCACCACAACAACAACTGATAAAATAGTAATTTGAAAAAGGAACTTTCCGAATAATTCGAGCTATTGGAAGCCAGGCCAGGAACAGTGTATTTCCAGTTACACCGGTTTTTTATCTCCTTTTCAAACGACATTGTGTATTCATTTACCACTTATTACAGAAGATATTATAATGGGTGATAAATTCACCCATTATAATATCTAGAGAACTAAGTTAATTCTAAAAACCATATACTGAAGACGCATCTTGGAAGATAGTAATCATAAAATATACAAAATTATACTAAAACATTAGAGCCTTCTAATTCTTTCATGATTAAGATGAAAAATTCTTACTCATCTATGACTGCGTTTTTATTTATTATAATTGTTATATTAGTAACATTTTAAATAAGAATAAAAATATATAATATAATGTAATTACCTGCATATTACGTAATAACATAATACAGGAATCGACAATGTAACACTGGTCCGAATCGGTTTGTACAACTATCAGCTCCTTTGCGCGAAATTGTTGAGACGACAGAGACAATTCCTCGCCACGGTCCCATTGCAAACGGTTCACAATTTGAAGTGGAGTATCAACTGGTGGCAGTATATTTTCTAAAAAAGATCGCCATTATTATTTACAAGCCAGGGTTAGGTACTTTTTGTTTCTGCCAGCTTTCAATACGGTTCTAATATTTATTTATGTACCTACTTTCAAGAAAACTTTCGGTTAAAATTTAATACTTATCGTGTAGTCAACAATTTTTAATGTTACATATAATGGTTACCGCCCCGTTACAAAGTAATTAACAGTATCGATAAAAAGCCTTTTTAAATATATTTGAAATAAAATAAAGTAACAAAATTACATAAATAAAGATCTAATAGAGTTTCATAAAGAGAATTTAAAAAAAATATTGTATAATACTTACCAGAGTTATTTTGTAATATCAGTAAGTAAATGCCAATTATAACACCAGCTATTAATATTATAAGAAGCAAGCTGACAATGGCTGTGGTAACTGGATTCCTATCTAGGTTAGTTATTTGTGGGAATCTTTGGAGTAGAGGTGTATCCTCTGATGCTCTTTCCCTCTCCTCATTATCAATTCTGTGTAAATTGTGTCGTGACTCGTGGTCTGAAAAAAACAATACAAATGAATCTAAAATATTTACAAACTTTAAACATGTTATCGATGTTGGTATCACCTAAATGAATCGTTAAGAAGCCAGACATATTTTATCCCGTGTACATCATTCTTATAAAAGTAACTAAAACAAATTATTTCTAGTTAAACATTTCGATATCCATGCACACTCCGTTGTTACTTAGTATGATAATTTCGGTACAAAAATACTAAGTAATACCTACTTTATCATCTATATTATAATTATAGCTATAATTATGTTGGTTGTCTGATTATTACTATGCGCTAAAATTGACTATGTATACAGCAATAAACAAAATTTATTTAACATATACCAGTAAAAAGAACTAACTGCAATACAAATCATCGAGTTCTAATTCCACCATGGCCACTAACTTCAGAGTAACATTTTATAAATGTGAACAAATAATATCCTGTTGTAAACAAAGTCTGCAACACTGGCAATCAGTGTGTGTACAAGCTACGGTGATCAGTAAATTGATACTGACACCGGCCTGTGTTTCCTGATAAGTGAATTATGGAATAGTATCATTAAAGTACTGTAGGGGTGCGCATACAAATATTATAAAACTGTATACTCTTTATAGCGTTTATTATTTCAAAACATCGAGATCAGGTTGTAATATTAGAAATTATATCTAAAGTGGCACTGCAGAATGAGCAGGATGGTCACTTTTAGGGGCACACGCAGTCTAGACTCTGACCCGAACTAAATTAGAAAAACTCGATTCCTAAATTTGGTAGATTGAGAATGGAACCCGAGACAAAAGTGTGCTAACTTTGTGTCAGAGGTCATTAAATTGTAAAGATTCTATACATAGCCTCGTGGAGTCTACTTATGAAAGACCATAACGTTTCTCTTCAATACTAGAACTGCATATGGATTAGAAACTACCGTTCCAGTGACGGTAAACATCGTAAACAAAATTAATTACAGAGGTAGCAATAGACCCACATTTTGTTTCTACTATGATACTATTTTTACTTCCTGGGGCCTCTAAATAGATACTTTGAATATGAAATATTCAGGGAGGCCATTTTATATCTCCTGGTCATAGTGCAGCCAATTAAAGATAACATATTATGCTCTTAAATTAATATTTGAAACATGCATGATAACTTTACGTGTACTCTAACAGGATGCATTACAATATTTTTTTTTTGTCTCAACAAAGATACAACATCAAATAATAAAAAACTGTATAATGCATATATTAAAGTTTTATTGAGCCAGATATCTGCACAAAAAAAAAATATACTAAGACAACCATGCCCCTTACATATTACCATCTAATCATGCGACTTGGAGGCAGGGGATTATTAATGGGGACTAAAAATTCTATTGTAAGCAATATACTCTGTTAAATCAAACTCCACGGAGTTCTCCCTGTATACCATCATAGGAAGTCCTGGTAAATTTATCACAACAGCTAAACTGACTTGCTCTTATTCTTATCTATTACCCCTGCCCTACGGTATTCCCCCATTGTAAACCAACAGAGCAGAGAATGTTACCATTCAATTATTATTTACTGAAAAAAAAAATGTTTTAGAGTAACATCACTTATCTGTTAGTTACAACCCTAAAATCACATAGATTTATCAGTAAACATATGTATTTCTATGAGTGATAAATTTTAATGAAAAGAATGAAATTTTACAAGAGGCTTCAATAAATTTTTTTACTAGACAACTAGAGTTGAATACCTGAGGAAGTTAATAAATAAAAATTTGTGACATTAATTTCTAGTAAAAAAACCTCAAATTATAAAATGCCATAATGTGTAAATAACTAGCACACTGGCACCGACAAACTAAAATGAATCTATAGACAAGAGTTAAAGATTACAGACAAATAGATTATAAAATGTTTATTATTGTATATAGATTATAATTTACATTTATATTATTTTGTTCTCAAAATTAATTAATAACAATATAACTATGATTCACAAATTAATTAACCCTAATATTAGTCTTTTTAAACAATATAAGTAATTACTTGATCCACTTAATATTTATATTTCACTATTTATAATTAATAAATCATACAGTTTATTTGAATGACACGAACTGATTTTAAATAAGTTATGATATTAAAAAATATAACAGCCTTTATATGTGAACAATGAATGGTTCTAGACATAAATTTACCTTATAACCTAGCAGACAAAACAAATGGGAATTCCAAAATGTAAATGGTCTCAGACAGAGTGACTAATTTGTTGATGTTTCATTTTACAAAATAGCTAAAAGATAATGGCAAATCAACTGTATTGACTGGTTTATTCCAGTGAACTTCGATTTGGAATGTTTCAACAGGAATTTAATACCATGAATAAATTTATGAATTTATGATGATAATATTGCTGTATTTAAGATTATTTTAAATAAATAAGGCATATATGTACTACATAGACATCTCTTTGCTAAGCCCCACCCACATACTGGGGTTATAATAAGCCTCTATGCCTCCTAAAAGATCTAGTTATCTTAAAAAATGGTCCGATGTGTACTAAATTTTATTATTTCAATCATCAGAGTATGATAAATAAACAATAATTACAATACAAACGGTGGCCGTATCAATAAAATCAATCTTTTTCAGACAACCTGGCATAAATAGTGGATAAGTACAGAGAGAAAGTTGGTGGTGCAAGGCAAAGACAATAAATACAAAAAAGTAATGAAATAAGACTAAATTACACAAACTTATGTATGTAATATAAATAATAGTACATAAACAGATATATCAAATAGATCAAGGTAAACAATACATAGTAAATATCAAGCCAAATTAGAGACATAGGTAAAGAGATTTTACTTGACTCTTAAACAAGGCAAAAGTTTGTATATATCCAATGGAAAAAAGTGTTTCAGAGACAGATAGCTTGGATAGTGCAAGAATAGGAATAGAGTTTGTATAGAATGAGTAGAAATTAATAAACAAAGGGAACTCACACTGCAATGTAAGACTATATGAGTATTATACAAATGTTTAATAATTATAGCTAAAGAAATAGAATAAGAGAAAAATATCACATGTTGAACAAAAATGAATTATGATGGTATCCAGTCGGGACTTAGTGGAGGACAATTTGGTAGGGAATAGAGAGTATATAGATTCTACTTCTGAGAAACCTCTTCCCCAATTCTATAAATATAATAATATATTCTGATACAATCTTCTAGGGGGAAAGGGATTGCTAGTAATGAGGTCTAACTGGCCCATTGCCAGCAATACACCTTTCAGGTTGACCTCCACATGGTTCCCCATGGAAACCATTGTGGTTAATTCTAGTGGAATTCATTCACAATGGGCTAACTGACCTGCTTTCATCATCACCTATCATCCCTCACTGGTGCGCCGCCAGTGTATACCAATAGTGCAGTTACCATTCCTACCAGTAACATTGCTAGCAAAATACCCTGTCAGGTCGACCTCCACATATTGTGAATATCACAATAAAGTAACTGACCTGCCTTTTCATTCCTACCTATCTTATGTCTAACTTGTGCCCCACCAATGTATCACGTTAGCACAGGTGGGGTTACAACTCCATTATTGTTCATAAAAAAATCTACTATTGTAGTCATAGTTTATGAACTGATACAAATTATGATTACAATAGTAGATTGTTAAGCAAAAAGTTAAAACAAGTAGTGAATTCTGTAGAGGCAATGCTAAAGCAAGTAAAAAACAAGTGGTATAAAACACAAATTTATGAACCGTAGTTACTTTCCCCTTAGTGCAATATATTGATCTATATATTCTATGACAAAAATTAAGGGTTAAATCAAAAGAAAATTATTTTTTAGCAAATTTTGTATTCAGATCTATTGGAATGGCTTTTTAATATGATTTGGATTTATATTAATCTATACTTATAATAAATCTGTAGAGAGGTACATTCTGTACATAAAATATATTTCCAAAATAACTATCAGGGGGTGATTAGTGATCAATACTGATGCTAAAAATGCAATCAGTAAAATTTTTGTCTGTCTGTATGTTTGTTATGGAAACCAAAACTACTTGACGGATTTTAACGAAACTTGATACATATATTCTTCATACTCCTGGGCAAGTTATAGTATACTTTTCATCACGCTACGATCAATAGGAGCAGAGCACTGAAGAGAAATGTTGGGAAAACGGGAGAAGTTACTCCATTTTTAAGCTTCCGTCGCGTGTGCAGCCTTAATGGCCACTTTTTAAAATGTCCACCCGTGCGACGCCAGGACGGGCCGCTAGTCTTAAATAAGAGGGGGGAAAGGGATTGTTAGTAATAAAAACTGAGAATCCCATTGCTAGCTATGTACCCAACCAGAATGACCTCCTCACGGTTCTCCCTGGAAACTATCATGGTTAATTCTTGATGAATTCATCACGATGGGCTAACTGTCTTGTTTTCATTTTCATCTATCACCCTTCACTGGTGCTCCGCCAGTGTATTCCGTTAGCGCAGGCGGGGTTACCATACCATTTTCACCTATCAAAAAAGTCTTAAATAAAAATATAAGGAGCTTTGTAACGTACTAAAATGTCAGGAAAAATTTAGTACTTATGATAATGGTTGTAGAATTACAAAACAAGAGAACACATATCCACGTGAATTTACTGGGTACAGAGAAATAACGTCTGAGTCGTCAGGAATGGCAACGCATGGGGTATCATGGGCAAAACAGTATACTCTGTTATGTCCATGGTACTGCTCATGTCTATAGGCGACGGTTACTACTTTCCATCAAGTAGGCCGTCAGCTTCTTTGCCATTCTAAGTTGTATAAAAAAAACTTAATCACTTACCAATCGGAGAAATAATTGGTTGCATGGTAAAGTTATTAAAAAACAATAACTTTACACAAAACCCATAAACATATGTAACAAATATTAATAAAATAACACGGTTTTATTTTTAAAAACAATAGTAGCATGAGATTTATAAGTTTATGTAGATGTTCACTGTCACGTAAAGGATAATCACGCTTTTTGAATGATGATAAGATTAATTTCTTTGTTTACTCGGATATAAATAAAAAAATATTATAAAGACGACTAAGAATCCTAAACATCGTAAATAATGACAGAACAGCAGCGATTGACAAATTAAAGATAATTGTCATTACTGTCACAGTGACAGTAACTAACAATGTCAATAAATGTCATATTGACAATGTCATTTTTTTATTAATTTATTCCTTATTGACTACATTACAAAAAAATTTCAGGTATAAAAGGCGGATTTAATACTACATAGCATTCTCTTCCAGTCAACCTTTGGCAAAACAGAAATTTAATTATGCGATGAAAAAATTGAAATTTGTTGCAAATAAATATTTACACGTACGTATCGATATATTTACAAATCACAACACACACAATGGAGAACTGCTGCACATTATGATTATATAAACATACATACATGAATACATTCAACAAATATTACATAAATATACAAATATATTTCATAAATATATACATACAAATATAAATATATACTTATAAATTATATACGATATCATTCTGTTTGTTTGACATACTGATGTCGGTCATTACATCATAGATCCATAGATCAAACATATTTAATAACTGTCATAAAGACAATCATTGATAATGTCAATAATCATCATTGTGACAGTGTCATACTATTGGTAATTTTAACAATCAACCGCATTGCTAGCAATATGTCCTGTCAGATCAACCTCTAAGCGAAACCCTCGTGCTGAATTCCAAGTGTATTTATCACGGTGGGCTAACTGACCTGTCTTTTTATTCTCACCTATCATTCCTTAGTGGTGCTCTGCCAGCGTATACCGTTATCGCAGACGGGGTGACCATTCCATTATCATCCATTAAAAAAAAAGTTCCTGGAGAATCCTCCCTCGAGCAACCACGCTCGGCCTGCCCTGCTCAAAGCTCATCAATAAAAATAAATACAATGATACATACACGTCTATTAGGCAATACCTTTGTCTCACAGAATCCTAGTGGTCCTCAGAGGGAAAAGATTTGTTAGTAATGAGATCTAAGAGACCCATTACTAGCAATGTACTGTAACAGATCAAAATTCACGCGGTTTCTCCTAAAAACCATAGTGGTTTTTTTTTTTTATGAATTCATCACGAGGAGCCAACTGACCTAATTCATCCTCATTTATCATCTCTCACTAATGCCCCGCTAGTGTAAACCGATAGAGCAATTTCATTACCATCCATTAAACCTAGTGGTCCAGGAGGGGAAGGGATTGTTAGTAATGGAGATTAAGAACCAACCCCATTGTTAGCAATATACCCATCCAAGTCGACCTCTCCACGGTTTCCCTGGAAACTATCATGATTAATTCCTGATGAATTCATCATGATGAGCTAACTGGCCTGTTTTCATTCTCATCGATCACCGTTCACTAGTGCTTCGCCAGCGTATCCCGTTAGTGCAGGTGGGATTACCATTTTCAATCCAAAATGGTCTACAAGCACAATGGAAGACAGAGTGTATAGAAGACCAGAGAAAAGATTCAAGCAAGCATGCATAGAAAAAAAAGTAGCCCACGGTAGTGGGTCTGTACTTGTGTGGGCCGGAATTTCATCTGAGAATCATACAAAAGTGGTGTTCATAGAAAACGGCTCGTTAACTAGCGTAAGATATGTAGAAGAAATTTTTGTGAACGCGTTGTGCCATTTATGGTCCTATTGGGTAAAGATGCTATTTTTATGCAAGACAATGTCCGACCTCATACAGGTTTCATTGTGAATGACTACTTACAAGAGATGAACATTACTCGTATGGATTGGCCAGCATGAGTGGGACGAGCTAGGGAGGATGCGCTAGGAGGGAACTAGGGGAGATGCATGAGAGTAAAATAACGAAACCCTCCCCCAATCACGCTTCGTGAGCTCAGAATTGTTCTCACAGAGGAATGGAAAAATATTTGCTAAAATCGTATAAAAAAACTTGGTGTACAACATGCCAAACCGCGTAAACGCAGTGATGGAAGTACGAGGGGACAATACAAAGAATTAAAATTAATGAAAATCATATTGTTGTACAAAAATGACATATTTCCTATTTTTGTTTTAAGGCAAGGTCAGCAGTTTTTTTTTCTTTATGTAATTTTTAATAAATAAAATGTAGTGACTTATAAATTTTGTTACTTTCATTTAAGGGGTATTATATTGTCTATTAAACACCGTTTATTTTATTAAGCTAACATTCTTAGTTTCCAAGATTTATAGGTTTATTTAGGGACCCGCATTCGATTCAATTGTTTACCAATTTTCATAAATCCTTTGTATAATATAATAATATCGTAATTATAATATTTTATTTACAAATTCATACAGGCAATGCTGTAGAATATGCCATAAATACCTACGTACTATAAAGTATTGCAAATCATGAATTCCGCGTCATCAAATCAATACTTGTATTGAGAAATTTATTTTTCCACGAGTATATCTACTTACAACTTTTAATAAAAATATATCGAAATATCGAAATACCTGGTTTATCTCTTTAAATAGATTATAGAAATCAGAATATATAATTAAAATGTAAGTTTTAGGAGTAATAGTATCTAATAAGTATTTAAGAAGTCCGTATTAACAAAAATATATAAACTTTCTAATTTCACCATTTTTTTTGATTATATGTATTTTCACTCACTATTTTCCCAGAGTCATTACTGGCATATCTACTATAAACACAAAATTTGTCAATTATACATTATTATTATATGACAAGAATTTGATTAGAGGATAGTTTATGATGATGATGGAAACTACAATATAAAATTTTAGAATTATTATTAAGAATTTGATAAAAACGTACTTTTTTTTAATGGATGACAGTGGAATGTTATCCACGCCCACGCTAAAAGTATGTAGCTAAAAGTTTATAGTAGATATGCCAGTAATGACTCTGGGAAAATAGTGAGTGAAAATACATATAATAAAAAAAAAATGGTGAAATTAGAAAGTTTATATATTTTTGTTAATACGGACTTCTTAAATACTTATTAGATACTATTACTCCTAAAACTTACTGGCATATCTACTATAAACACAAAATTTGTCAATTATACATTATTATTATATGACAAGAATTTGATTAGAGGATAGTTTATGATGATGATGGAAACTACAATATAAAATTTTAGAATTATTAATAAGAATTTGATAAAAACGTACTTTTTTTTAATGGATGACAGTGGAATGTTATCCACGCCCACGCTAAAAGTATACACCGACGGGGCGCCAGTTAGAAATGATAGATGATGATGGAAAAGCAGGTCAGTTAGCCTACCGTGATGAATGGGCCTGGAATTTAGCACGATAGTTTCTAGGTGCAATCACGTGAAAATCGACTTGGTTGGTTATATTGCTAGCAATGAGACCCTTAGCTTCCATTATTAACAATCCTTCACCCCATTTTGTATATTGTTCCGCCATTACGCAATAATTAATCATATATATATATATATATATATATATATATATATATATATATATATATATATATATATATATATATATATATAGCAATAACTATATCAAATTAGATGCAATTTTTTATTTGCAACATAAAATCTGATCTAAAAAATCTTATCATCAAAGTGATGGACCGGTTTTCGTACTACCAAAATCCACGCATACGAAACAGCGGGCTAAAGCTAGTATAATATACAAAGTTACAATAATGATTACCATAACTAGCTACCTGTCATACGTAATTTTACGTGTTGTATTAATCTATCAAAGAGACCGCTTTCTTTATTACGTAAATAAAAACGTGCTATACAAATTGTTCCGATTCCAATATGTTTATTACATATAGATAGACCAAACCCTCGGATACAATGCTTTACAACAATCACTGATTGATATGGACAGCGGTGCCATATCGAGCCTGCAATGCATCCTAACACTTAGAAAAAAATATTCCAGTGCTTGTGTGCTACTAGGTCGCATCAAAATTAATGTAACCAGTTATATTTTTTTACATAAACTATTTATGTAATCTTATACAATATTTCAATGAAATAATATGAGATGGTAAGTACGTAAGTACTTAATAAAACGTACAACTAATAAAGTAACAATAGTACTCTTAGATAGATAATAAAAACACATTATCAACTTCTGCCATCATCATAATGACAAAACAAAAATAATAGAGAAAGTATAAGAATAAATAGTTCTGGAAAAACTGTCATCGTTGTAGATTTATTAAAAAATAATAATAATAACCGGCACTTCTACCTTGCAACCTTCAAAACAAAAATTGATAATATAGCAAAAAAATAGATAATTGAAAATTTATTTCAATCTGTAGTAATATTTAATTTCTTTTTTAGAATAAAATACCAAATCTTTTATATTTAGTGAGTTTTGATATGATGTCTCAATAGATATTATTAAGTAAATATTCACTTATTTACATATTATTGAAACTGAGTGATTATTGAATAGCATACTTAAGTCTATTCAATAGGCATCGTCTATAATATGTATATTGGAACGCAAATATAAGGTTATTAAACGTAAGTATATCTAATACTTGCTACTGTTACAAAACAATAAAAAATATTAGGTATACTGAGAAATAGAAGATATTCATGTTTATGTTGCGTGGTATCAAATATGTAGGTAATACCAGCGTATATAATTGAGCAGCCCTGGCCAGGTTGCAAATCGGATGTCCCTATAAAAGGCTTAATGGTCAAATGTATCATCAGTATCAATCCGATATAGACACATTAAGTACAAATATACTTACAGCCCATTACATATCAACATGCCCCGTTTTTTGGTTTGTTATTTTTCCAAACTTTTAATATTCTATACGAATACTTGCATATTTGTTTAGTAGTTTTGATGTTACTTTTTTTTGCAGATGCTAGGTCTAATTATAACGATCTATCTGACAACAGCTTCTACTGACGAAGAAGTAACGAGTGTAGCGAACAAAGTAGACGTAACTACAGTTCCTTCCCAAATCATGTAAGTTTAAGTAATACGGTTATCTAGATCCGTAATAAGCTATTAAATAGGTTATGTACTTGTTTTCCACCCCTTCCTTTCCTGTGGGTGTCGTAAGAGGCAACTAAGTGAGTGCGAGAAATGGGCAGCAACATTCCTCTTAAAACATCTCCAAAGGCTAACTGCGGTTGCCAATCCGTCTGCCAAGCGTGACAACTACAGGCAAAACAATATTTTGTTTGTATAAATAAAACAATATCTTTATAATTGAAAAGGTGTTATACAGTAAGAATACTGTAGCGACAATATAAATATGTATATTTTTGGTTGCAGAGAGCGATCATCCCATCATCACAAAGTGGGACCAAGTTTTCATGGTTTCTGGAAGAAAAAATTAGTTTGGCGGCCGCGTTGGGTAAAGACGTGGCAGGAAAAAAAGATTTTTGTAGCAGTGTGGAAGAAGATGTGGAGCCCAGCAGTGCTGAATGAATGGGTTCCCATACCTAAGCCACCACCAGGTTGGATTAAATATGATGTAGGCGGTTACGCAGTTAAAAATGTACCTTATTGATTCTACAGAAATGAATCTACTGAATCAGCAATAATATAGGTATGTGGCAACAACGAAACTTTCTATTACCTAAAATTGATGATGTCAATAACGCCTTCATGACTATCTAAATATGGTTTACTATTTTTTGCAAACCATTACTGTCGTCATACTTACGTCATAATAATCTACTTTAGAATTTTATTTATTTAAACTATAGTACCTGTAGGTATTAAAAGTATTCGCTCTAACATATAGATGATCTTTCTTGTAATAATTAATGTGTTTTCGGGAACACGTAATAAAATATTCATATGCCTAGTCATATGAATTTCGAGACTCTTGTAAACCAGTTCGGAAATTAGTTTTAATTAAAAAGAATATCAAGAAAAGAAATTCGACGTTTGCTCTTTCGAAGCAAAAGTGAAATTCCCATTTTTCGATTTTGTGAGTAAATACTAATATACAATTCAAGAATAGATATACAAAATTAGACGAACACAGATCAGTCATAGTTGAGTAAAGAATACAAATATAGCTCCCGTATTAAAAAATATCTTATTGTAAAATTTAATGCCATTTGAGGCTCTGGGCACTTTAAACAATTTAATTTTAAATCGATTTTGAGGCATCTTTTTATCGAACATAGTCCACTCCCGTGTTGACTCTATATTAATTATGTCAAGATTGAACGTCCGTAAGACTTTTTTTTAAATGTATGCAGATATACCAAATATAATTCTATGGTTGTGAATTTCTAAGATTTTACCTGTTTCTTAGCTTTAATTTTAGAATTAGTATTGTGATTCAACTGGGATAGGCAATGACTGTAAAAGCTTGCTTTTTTATCCCTTCAAGGTCTCCGAAATACCGTTATACCTCTTATATTTTTATTGAAAATTACAAGCATATTCTAATTTAGATTGTTTCATATCAGCAGAAGGAGGATATTAAAAAATAAAATTACATCTCCAATTGTATTTTAAAAAATCCTTTCAACAACATATAAGGTCACATATTTAAAAGTAACCAAAGTAAAATATGTTTTCATTTGAACACAAAATTATTTAAAATAAAGTAGGTAAAATGTAAGTAGATAGGTATTAAATCTTTTTGTACCATTTTTAAATTTGTAATTACAAACAAACTGTATGAAAATTATCTGTAAAATAATCAAATTACTAACATACACAAAATCCTATCTACATCAAAAGTGATCGATATGTAGTTGGTATCTTGAATAATTTAAGATTAACGCGCACACAATAACAAACTATAATGGGTTAGAAATGTGGAACAAAGCTGGTTTTCATCAATACTTTAAGCATTACAAGTGTGATGTAAAGCGGTTACAGGAGTTTATACGTCTACGTATACAAGTATCTACCTAAACAAATTTAGCTATGAAGCAAATTATCGTAGATATAATTTGACAAGAATATGCAAAGCGAATTTATAATAAACTCGAACTTACCTATAGGAAAACAATAATGTGCAGCATAATAATTCAAGCGAATATATAACTATTTAGATTAAGTATTTGTTGCTTAAAATGTTATTGTTATTTATTATATTGTTAAGTTGTTAATTTATTTACTGAATATTTAACTAAGTAATTTATGTAGTTAATTATTTTATTGTAAAATAAATGCAGTAAAACTGTTCTATGCCTTGTGTTTTGTTTTGTACTACCTGCTTCTTAGTCTAATATATGTAACCATAATCCAACCATAATAAATATAAATACATATATGCCCGGATATTGATTTCCAGGATTTTGACATTTATTTCATACATACTTTTCCTTACAGGTACCTTTCAGATTTAGGTAGGATTTCAGGATTTTTGGGTACTATTTATTTACTGTATTTATCATTAATTGAATTTATTTAAGGACAACCAACAAAGCATACACTTATCTACTTAAAATATATGTTAATATGGATACATTATAAAATGCTGCCTTAATTAAAGGCATTAGACGCAAGAATTGACATTCAATAAAAAAATCTATGTAAACGTATATATTCAAATTATATCTTAGTGGCGGAAAACTAGCTAAATTGGTGGTCAAAGACTGGTGGCCGAGAACGGGCTAAATCACCATATTCAGAATTTTTATTTTCCATAATTTCAATATAACAATGACAAAAAATATGCAAATATTTAAAAACTACATTATATCGTGAGCTCTTTTTGACGGGTGAAAATAGAGTGGAACCCCGCCTGTGCTAACGGGATACGCTTGCGAAGCATCAGTGAAGGGTGATAGATGAGAATGAAAACAGGCCAGTTAGCCCATCATGATGAATTCATCAGGAAGTAACCATGATAGTTTCCAGGAGGAACCATGAGGAGGTCAACCTGGTTGGGTATATTGCTAACAATGGGATTTTTAGTCTCCAATACTAACAATCCCTTTCCCCCCTATATTGTGAGTTATAAAATATCTTTCAGCCATCTAATACTAAATAAATAGAAAGTGTTTTTAACAAAAGTTTTTCTAAAAATATTCCACAGAAATGTAATTACGTAAATAAGAAGACATTATAATTTGTATCTGATTTATTTCTTTTTGATAAGTCTTTCTGTAATATAAATTATAATCGATTAAATTTTATTATTATCATCCAATTTTCGGCTTTCAACCAGACGAGAATTAAATAACAGTCCAAAATCCACTCTAGTTTGTCGACAATTTAATTTAAATATGTAATATTAAATTTATTTTCTGTTTCAATCAATATAATACATATTAATTTTATCTTCATTACACAATAATATCATTTAAACTGAAACAAAATAAATAATAATAAAAATAATACGTCAGAAAGCTTTAAATCTTACCTTGCAAAATACTCGTGCGCATTGTTGTTATTGTTATTTTAGACACACGAGAGCACATTTAAAATTTGCGAAGATGTACGTATTCATTTAAAAATTAAGTAGGCTTTGAATTTTAAATAGGTAAACTAAAGTTTTCTCGTTATTAAACCACAAATTGGTAAAAAGACTAGTGGTGGCCGGCAAATTGACTAAATTATCCTATATTCTATCATAAACACAGTGCTGTTAATATCAACGATAATAGTGACGATACCACTTTCCATCAATTACAACGTCTGTTTGTTCGCCGTTTCATTGATATAAATATAAAAAATATACAGGCAAATCCGCGTGTAAAACAAAATAAGTACGTTGGTACTCGTCAGCGTCAGTTTACAATCACATCACGAATTGATCTTTTACATAACAAGTTTAATAGTAACTACTTACCGAATCCTATTTAAATAATTTACTTTCACTCCAAAATACGTTACGTCTATCCAGTTTTGTATATGGTAACTGGTTGATTAATTCGTTATCTGGCTGTTATAATTGAGTATATTTTATGCATATATTTCCGTCTTTGAATCAGGGCTGTCACTGATAACTAGAGTAGAATAGTAAAGTATTATCTAATTATAATGAATAAATATAGTTTCTATAATTATAGATTGATGTGCTATTAATTATTCCAATAATAAATTTTAAAAATCTACTAATAATATAGCAATTTTCAGGCGTGTAATGACCATTTCGTAATAAAGTACATAATAAATAATAATAATAAATAGATTTATTTTCTCTTCACAATTCATCACAGTGATAATATAATAATATCAGCCGTCTCTACTTAATAGAATTTTATAGTACTTAGATATTAATGGTACTATCTGATTAGTACCTACTAATACACATGTATTTACTCAAATTTGTTGATTGATACTTTTGTAACTTATCGTAATACACTCGTAGTATTTTATCGTGGCAAAAAAGCATCTCCATACAGTTGCTTATATTATGCTCTCATATCGTAACGACAATGTAATGATATTATATCGTACTAAGGCAATTTATTTGGTGGTATATGTGACAAAAGTACATTGAATAAATGTTCTATAATTAGTCTCTTAGAGTAAGTACTAAATACCAACCGTCTTACCTATTAGTTCAGCTGCGAATCAGGAATTATGTGCATTATTGTTTGATATAAATCCTAAGAAAAATACCTAATGAAACATATTCTATAAGAAGCACGATGCATTCATAATATAAATTTTTTCATCTAGTCACCTTCTTGCTACTTCTTAAGATATTTATTCAATCACAATTCATCTAAATATACTATTAGATTATTTGGTATTTATACAAATAATGTATATTATTTTTCTAAGTATTTATAGCTACCAATACGTGGGCTAGTGCATGTTATACGTTCCCTACACAAAAACTGTCACCTTCTATTTATTGCAGTTATGAAAAATCTATAATAGAAACAGACATTATATATGTGATAGTGAACTTGTTATATATCGACGGCTTAACTACTCATTCAATTACTGTCAAGTTAAATATGTACCTAGTATTTGGGATAGGAAAAGACATAAGTCACTTTTTATTCCAGTCAGTAAATTTTTTTATGTAACTTAAATTGACAAACATGCTGATATTCCACCTGATGGAAAGTGGTAACCTTCGCCTATAGACATGAATACCATGAACATAATAGAGTATGCTGTGTCGCCCATGATATCTATTATGCATTGCCAATCCTAAGGATTAAGGTATTAAGCCTTAAAGTAACCAATTTTGTCGAAGTATATAAAAGAAAAAAGATGGATATATTACAAGCCGCAGCATATAACAAGTAGCTCTATAACATTTGTATACACTTCCGCGCAAATAACAAATACTAGCAGGTGGCTAGTATTTATTTTTAATCTTTTTGTTTCAATTACTCTATCTCTTTTAAATTATTTAATAATGTGGCACACTACATTATTAAACAATTTCATATATATGTAAATAATTTGAATAAATACCTGTGTGCTGCCAGTTTGTTAATATTTTAATTCTGTTGTTTCTTAATTTAAAAAATCATTGTGCTTATATCCCAGTCACGAGAATGAAGTCGCGGTTAAAAACCAGTTTTTAATAAATAAAAATATTGAATGCGTTATCCCATTATAATACTTTGTGACGTGACTTAGGTATATCCGATATCTAAAACCAGATCACAACAGAATTGGTCATTTATTTTTAGTGCTTTATTATAAATTTATTATATATTTCTCAAGTTAAAAGAATATTGTACACATTTTATCTATTTGGACATATAAATGAAACAAAATGACACCAGTAACTTATTAAAATAACATATTTTATTTCATTGGTTCCGCATCGACTATCACTAATAACTTAAAAACTAATTAAAACTTAACAATATACAAGTATCAACAAAACACTTAGCATCAGTGGGTATGGACAGAGATTATACTCGTGCTGGTACGAGCATATACCTATATATACAAGCACACACATCTTCAGCCTTATTGTCAGTCCGGTAATTAAATAATTGCATCCATATCGTTAGATTTTATAAGGACTTTAAAGCTTTCTTCAATTATATTAATTAAATAGACGTAATTAAATCACTAGTCAACAGAAAAATAAGTCGCATCGCTGGTTTAAAATTTTCGCATCGCATGAGTAATTAATTACATGGATAGATAAAAGAGATTTAATTACCTAAGCATGTAACCACGATGTGATGTTTCCTTCTCGTGTCATTGATCGTATATGTAATTTCTCGGCTTGACTAAATTCATATTCCCAACAACAGTCAACAATAGTGATTATAATTAGTCAATTGTCTGGCTCATATTTACATATAACAATTCTGCCTTATTTTATAACAATATTAAAGTTTTATTTGTTTATTTGGGGAACTGCCATGTTGCTTGTTTTTGCTGTTTTGGCGTTGGTTGTTCTGGCGCCTGCTTTACCGCGACTGACTTTTGGCTAGCTGCTGTATTGTTATCACTTCTATCCCAACCGTGAGATTCATGTACATGCTCGTGATGATCAGGAGAAGGGAACCACTCTGAGATCCATACAGGTTTCCAAATCTTTTTCACACCAGGTACCCAAATTTGCTTCCAATCTGGTATCCAAATTTGTTTCCATGCCTCTTTCCACTCAAGTTTTTTGTCAGGAATCCAAACTAATTTCTTGGAAGGCTTCCATATCTGCTTCCATGCTTCTTTCCATACAAGTTTCTTGTCATCTATCCAGATTTGTTTCTTTTCTGTTCTCCATATTTGCTTCCATTCATCTTTCCATGTCAACTTTTTATCTGGAATCCATATTTGTTTTTTGCTTGGTTTCCAATATTTCTTCCACACGGGTTTCCATACAAGTTTTTTCTTCCAAAGATCATGAGATGTGTATTCCCAGCCCTCGTGATCTTTTCCTAAGTACTTTTCTCCAGGAATACCTACTTTTACCCACTCGGGTACCCAAATTTTCTTCCATGCTGGAACCTGAATGTCTTTCCACCCTGGAACCACTATATCTTTATATACTGGGACCGTGATTTTTTTCCAATCTGGTACCTTTACCTCTTTCCATGCCGGAACTTTAATCGGTTTCCATACTGGTTTGTATATTTTTTTCCAATCTGGTACCTTTATTTCTTTCCAAACAGGTACTTTCGTTGGCACCCAAATTGGTTTCCAAATCTTTTTCCACGATGGCTTCCATATTTGTTTTTTGGCCGGTTTCCAGATTTTTTTCCATCCCGGTTTCCAGATTAACTTCTTTTTCCAATACCCAGGATCGTGATGATCATGATGATCATGGTGGTCATCATGATGTTCTTCTATATGATGTTCATCATGTATATCGTGATGATCATGATGTTCGTAATGGTCGTGATGATCATCATGATGGTCGTGGTCAATCACTTCATGGTGGTCCCCATGAGCATGAAGGTCGTCATGATCTTGAAATGGATTCACAAGGTCATGGGGCGGTGCAGGGTAATCGTATCCAATTCGCTTTTGAGGTGTATTAGTACTTTGGGAACCCTGTTCCAACTGTTGCTGCGTTTGTTGATTTTGTTGTATAGCCTTGCCCAATACTAGAGCGATTTGTAAAATTACCGCTAGGGTAATCTGAAACAATGGACAAATAGTTGATTTTAAATATAATTTATAGTGCATTACGCATAGTCGTTTGAACACAATATTAATACTTGCAACTATTTAACAAATAAAAATATATAAATCAGTGCGTGTTTAACTGATTTACAATCATCAACCGCTATTTCCCATTTAATGCGATCTTGATTTTATGTATATGCAGTTATGTTTACATGACTGTTTCGATTTAGCAATGAAATTACAGAGGAATAACACCTTAGTCCTCAGAAATGATAACGAATGAAGGATATCATTGGCGACCCAGTATACTCTGCTATGTCCATAAGCAACGGTTACTATTTTCCATTAGGAGAGCCGTTAACTTGTTTGCAAATCTATGTTGTATAAAAAAATATGCATTAAGTTTAGAAATGCATCCATTATTTACAAAGGAAAACGTATCCTAATTATGATTGGCATATATATATGCTCCTGAGGCAGTTCATGTTCACTTGATGACTCTATCGCAAAGCAGAATATTGATTCTACGCTTTAAGTCTCATGAACTTGAAAAATACTTAACTTTACTCGTATATTAGTTATGAATGCCCAACATTAATATTAATATAAAAATTTGTTACGTTCTACTTATGATACCCAAGCTAACAGCAAAATATGTAGTTACCACAATACTCATCGCTCTTAAACAATTTCACTATGTTGTAAGAATTATATAAATTAAAACTACCGTATCATAGATCATTACGTAAGCTTATTTAGATGAAACACAAAAAGAAAGTAGAGTTAACAAACAAGTTGTAATCTTACTGGCATTTACGAACAGATGACCCAGGTCTGTAAAGTAACAATCTAACAAACTGCGGAATGGATCTGATAAATGGAAGCCCCTTCTAGAAATCTCGTCGAAAAGGAAACATTCGAGAAAGTGTCATAACAATGGAACAACAAGTGCTTCATTACCATAAACAAAGGAATATTAATAAATCAAACTCCCCATATTTTATTGGTGTTTTCAATTTCGTTATTATTGGAAACCTGTTTTCGATAACCGCGTTCAAATTCAGACGCGCCGATCACGTTAGTGAAGTCCTGTTACAACATCGTTACTATTTCTTTGTTATCGGAGCACATTTATAAGATGCCCAAAAGGATTTCTTGAACTCGTCACGAGTTACATACTTATATAAAGTAACAGTGAAAATTCTCCGAGAAAGTGCATCTGGTTCATTAGCGTAGTTCACACATGGGGCTAATAATACGATACAGCATACGGTCGATATTATGCAATGTTTATGTAAGCGGACGTGGCAGGACAGCGACAATGGCGACTGACACCCACACATACCTTATATGACTTTATTACGACCATTATTTTAATAAGAATTCATTGTGATGTTTTCGTAACAAGTACGTACTAATTGGAATTGATTACATTTATCTTATTTAATTTCCGGAAATATACTTTACCATTAAGAGGAAATGCTAATATAGAAACATGCTTTATGCGACAAAAACATTAAAATATTCTTAATTGTAGACAATTAGGACTTAATTAAAGTAAAATAATTTATTATCGCTATCTTATAGTTCGTAACAATATTTAAGTAAAAGTGCCGTATGCGCTTTTAACGGAAGAACGGCGAAGTTTACAGATATATTTCCGGTATATTAATGTTATGCAACGAAAATGCAATTTAAGAAATTCCTGTCCTAAAATAAGACCGAAATTCAAATACAATATATACGACCTAATAAAAGCGAGTAATATTAATAAAAAAGTTATGTAGAGTTCTGACTTGATTATCATTATTTTTTTTTTATTTTATTTTTATATACATACATTATGTATTTTTTAAATTCGCAGGTTTTATAATATAATACTTAAATTGTGTCTGTAATTATATTATAATGTACTACAGTAGTCTCTAAAATTTATTATTATGTGTATCATTGTTATTCCGCAAAAAAAACTTTGACCTTTACCACTTTATTATATGACTAATATAAGAATAAGCATCATATTGATAAGCATATGGCAAAAAAGACGAGTAATATTTTTATTAAGTATAAAAATAGTAAAATTTACAACCTCATGTGTTATATTAAGCACATTTTATGGTGCAATCTTAGCAATTAAATATGTGTAATGATCCTTTTAAGATTGAACATCAGCGAAATAATACATTTGATTGTATCCCTATACCAAATCTCAGCCTTATCATGTGTGCTATGCAAACTAATTAATACATAATTATATATATTGACCGTGAACTTTGCTAAAATAACAAAACTTCGATTCATGAATTAGTAGTACCACTACTTTTAAATAGCATGTGGCTGTACTCTTTAGGGTTCCGTATCAAAAATGTACAAAGGAACATATTATAGCGTTATATTTCGTCAACTACAAATGCTGTCGATTTGAAATTTGAAATTATTTTACATATTGTATGTGTTGTATTTTGTTTTTTTTATAACTTTTTTTTTTATAAACAGAAATAAAAAAAAAAAACATTTGCTAAGTTGTCCAAAAAGGATAGTCAATATTTCAAATTACAATTCCTAGTTCATGTGAAGTATCATATGCACCACCTGAACATATTATTACGTCGTTATTAGATGACACTAGCTTTGTAAAAATAGTTAAGTAAAATTACAAATAAGTAGTGCGAATGCTTCGCTGTTCTATAATATGATTTACTAATTAATTTATTAATTGAATTTAAATTCTTAGACCATCTGCTAATATTACTACAACTTTGCATAGCCTATAATGGCATTAATTATAATATCTAAATGTAGTTTATTCACATATTAATTTATATTAGATTTTGTAATAATGCAATAAATATACTGAATATTGAATATTTCTTATGATTTATCAAAAGAAAATACAGTACAAAAACTATATGAAGTACTGTTAATTTATCTATTTCATATGAAGAGCTGCTAATAAATAGTTTAATAATGTAAATGCAATTAAAGTTGTAATATTTCGTAAGTTGTTAATTAGGCGACAATATAGAGGTCAACTCTTATTGATTTCCAAAGAAAATCTAAATTTTCAAGAACCACGTTGAATTCACAAAATAACACTGAAATCGGTAATTCCTTCTTACCACCGCCCGTAACCACACAAGCCCGAAATTGCAATGGATGTCCAATGGACGTAAATGTTATGGAACACTGACCACTTGGCTCCAGAACCCTCGCATGATGGGGCGGGGGACGGCCGTACCACTGGCTAAGTCGCCGGAACTGTTTTCACTCTATTACTTTACCTTGGGTTTGAGTTTATATATATATGAACGGGCCTACCCCATGACGCGGACGGTGGGGCGCGCTCGGCATTCACTTTCGCTATAGGCACCCCGCCGCCGGAGGCTTGCAAGCCTCGGGCTCAGGAAGCGTGGGACGTTGGGAGCACCAAGGAAGGATATATTTTACTCATCCTATTAACAAATCAACCAAATGATTATTTTACATCCGATTACATAACATATACTACACACCCTGACCTGAATTTGATAACGGTATTTTTAGACTGATTTCATTATCATAACAAAATAACATATTATGTTAATTATCATTAATCATTATAATAAATAAAAATCAAATTGATTATAAACAGAGTTCTAATACATTTTCATATAACAATGTAGCTAAACACTACCTATATTTTTTATTTATATTAATCTTCATTTATTATTCGTTTTTTACTTAATTTAAAATTACGTAGTGAATCATAAAGCGTAATGTAAATACTATTAAAAAGACATGTATCGTTTTAGTGGAAAATTAGATTAGGAAATTGTTAGTGGAAGTAAAAGACTTAAACGCGTTTTACTCGCATGTAATTTTTTATTCCATTTCCAAAAGGATGTGGTTCCGAACTCGCCGGCCTCTTTTCATTGAATACATATGTTAGACTCTACTTTTATCCATTCTAATCATATTTAGATTTTTTTTACGAGTATAATAAGTACGTCGTGCACGTATGCCTATAATGCGGGAATATAAATAAGGTACATTATACTCTCATATTAGTTCCATATTAATTTTGTCACTACAGAAATAGGATTTTACAAAGAAAAATCTTAAATGACAATATACGTATCTTTGTAGTTCAAATACTATACATGCATTCAGTTTACTAAAATATTCTATATTCTAAATAAACAATAAAAAGTATATAGAAATACAATTTTTTATAGTAAACAAACAATAGCTGATATATTCATGGATTTGGTACGATCGTTATTATCCTATTATATTATATTTTACTTTTATTATTATATTATATTAAATACTATTTTATATTTGATAAATTGGATATTTTAAAGAGTTTTAGAGGAAATATAATCGTTTAAAAAGATATATTCTCGATAATTAAAATCACAATGCTTTATTTATATAATATAATGACGACTTAAAATCCTTTCCATCGAAAATTCGTTGAATCGTCTTTGCATTGAAGATGTTATTTTGTATATGATATTATTCATATATACACATAAGAGACGCCAAGTAAATTTACCAAAAGTGTATTTATTTCGGATCTCTTCCTTAACTACTTATAAACCTATTCATAATCGTACCCGCCGCTTCCGGCGACTCCTTATTTCTCCCACAGATAGTATACGATTTAAGGAACCGTTATAGGTTAGTCTAGGCTTCTTTCGTACCTAGAGGCTTTGAGTTTCGCCAAGCTTGACCTTTGTGTTTTGCCATTAACCCTAAGAACTATATAACTCGTATATCCGAGATTGCACTGGTAACATTCTGATGGAACATGTTTTTTTCCACACAGATTCTAGTTAATAAAATGTCTCTTGAAATAAGTTAGATATTTTGAACGTAGACAAACTTTATTAAGATTTATATGAGTTATATGCCTAAACAGTACCGTCTTATTTATAAAAAAAAATTAATTAATGAAATACTAAACATGTTAAACTGTAATTTGACATATTTATTTCTATAAGGTCGAAATAAGGGCAAAAGACCTATGCATTTCTTTACAATATAGGTTCTAGTACAGTTTTATGTTATTTGTGGTGTAGTCAATTACATGAAGCAATAATAGGATAAAATATATACCTGTATAAAACACATATAGGCGTACGCCAGGACCGGTTCAGTTCATAGATCTAATACTTTGGCTATATCATTCGTCGGGTTACGTGTGCACTTCCTATGCCCAAGAGGTAACATTGCATTTCTCGTGATAGCGTGCTCTTTTAACTTCTAAGTAACCCTGAGATTTGCTTTCTGTCGGAAGCTTTTAGGGGATAGGTGCTCAATTGGACATAACATTATAAAACGTACCGGAAATTCAAATTCCGTACAAATACCTAATTTACATTTTTTTATATAAGCATTAATCTAATACAAGTTTGGTAATAAAATCAACTATCTTTTGGAAGTGAATTTTAAACGTCCATTTATTTTTGTCCATCAACCTCGTTGAATTTCAATGTACGAAAAAAGCTATAGGTATGCTAGCTATACTGTTAAAAAGTAGAGATTATGCAAAAGCAACTGGGGGTTTCTCCAATCAGCAACATACCTACATACAAACCCACAAAGGTGCAAATCAATGCAAACTGTCACACGTCACTGTAATATTTTATTACATAATAAGTATACTATGAAGTAAGCACATAGGCAATGAACAACTTTTTTCAAATAATGATAACTATTACCCAAATATATTAAATCACAGAACAAATACATAAATATATAATAATGTAGTATAGATATAATTATATTATTATTTATAAAAAATAAATATTCTTTACCAGATAATATTAGGGTGGTTAAAGATAAGTTATTTAAATAATATAATAACTTTTACCCACAACAGAATCCGCGTGATTGGGATATAGTTACTGATCGGGATAAAAAGTAGCCTATATCCGTTCCATCATCCTATATAGTACGTATATACCAAATTACATAGTAATCGGTTGAGATAAATTGGGTCAAATAAAAGAAAATTATAACGAACAACTCAATGTAAATAAATCTTAAACAAAATACCAGTAGCTGTCGCGGATATTTCTTCAAATTATACCTCTGTCTAATAACTACTTTAGTAATAACGCTAATCAAATTACTAAATAAATATAATAAAGTAGCAGAGACTGAGATTATATTTTCTTTTCTTTCCCTGTAAATTTCAATCAATCTATATAGTCAAATTGGTGTAGATGCCAGTAATTTTTTTTTCATATATTTGGTGTCATTAGTAGGTACTATCAGGTAACATATAGTTATAAATTATATAGTAATATGAGCGTATAGAACTAACTGCTACTAACTACGAGTATATTGTAGCAAACAACGCTTCTGATAATTAAATGTCACAAAAAATTGCACCTCCCTATATTAGTAGCATAACATAGCTGTGAATGCTGTTATGGATTTTCCTACCTAGTTATATGTACAAATGTGACAATTTCTAGAAACAAGCGTACCAGGAAGTGTTTGTTGTTCAGGAAACGGCGTTTTGACTTGTCAGTCGGGTGTCGGGTGGTCGGTGGCACTATAAGCTTGAAGAGAGGCTCTGGCAATGCCCACAGGTATCATAATATTAAGGACAGTTCGAACAATAATATAAGAATACTAAACATTTTTATTTATGATATTCCTGGCATTTAGTAATTTACTGGATTATTGCAATTTGATATAGAAATATGATTAAAATATGAAAATCATATTCCAACTCAATGGCAGCTGAATTCAAATCCAATCCGCTTTGAAAGTTTTCAAGTACTCAACACTTCTTAGAATATGATATTCATATTTTAATAATATTTCTATAAGAACACTATCTATAATATATATTTAAATAAAACAAAAATACTCCAACAAAAATATTTGTAAACACCTGTATGAAACCTTCTGGAAGTTTCGTGATTACTCATTTACTATTTCGCAGCAATTAAGCTCAATAAATATTACGTTCGAGAAGAAAATAAAATTATATTGCCATCACGTAAGTATTTGTGACAAAGTTCATACGAAATGAATCGGTGACGATGTCCTCCAATCTGTGAGATGCGGCGTACTGCAGTCCGCTTACGGAAGAGGTTCCTCTTTAGAACGGGTCCACTGACTTTCTCAGAGATCGCGTCCTACGCCCAACTTATCCGTGTGCAGTTTAGCGAACTGTTGCACAACACCGGATAATGTAAACAAAAGCGGTGCGTTGTTCTCGTATTTTCATTGTCTTTTGTATTCGAATAGCAGCTTGTAGTTTACTGCACTTGTTTTCGTCTTTATAAGTATTACTTCGTATCTAATTATTATCTTGAAATGATATAATCTGCGAGCAAATGATACTTATTTATTACCCGATTGCATATCTGTATGTATGAATTTTCTGTGGCACATGAAGCCTAAATGATTTGATTTTTTTTTTATTTATGTAACTTAAAATGACAAACATACTGACGGCCCACCTGGTGGAAAAAGGTAACTGCTGCCTAGACATGAGCAGTACCATGGACATAACAAAGTATACTGTTTCGTTCGTGATACTCCCCATGCGTTGCCATTCCTGAGGACTCGGGTGTTATTCCTCTGTACCCTGTAAATTCACTGTTATAATTCACTGTTATAATATCCCAGCCTTCAAACCGAAACAGCCATTCAAATACAACTGCTTCATGGTAGAAACTCGAATGGGACAGAGGTGTCCAAACAAATGGCTTTTGTACAAAGTCTCCCTCTGCTAAATAAATACTTACCCTATCAAAATAAATTTATTTTAATATGAGTCACCGTTCCATTTCATTCTCAAAAAGAAGTAAAAGGCGACTAGAGAAACAAAGCACACTACATCCCCTAACCAGCCTGGTTGTAGTAAGCTAATATTGGGAGAAAAGGGATTCTATATATAACTATATATTCAGTAATAGGGTATGTCAGCTGCATTGCTAGTAATAATATATATCACTTTCACGAGGAATCCTTTTGATTAGTTCTTGTGGAATTTGTCACTGTGGTCAGTTGACTTGCCCTAATCCTCACCTATAATTTCTCACTGATACCTCGCCAGCTTAAAACCACCATGCCATTTGCACCTATTAAAAAAGCAGGCTAATATTTTATTTTTATGGGGAGAGCACTGTCCTTATCAGTTGAACGTTAATAAATTGTTGAATAAGTAGCTTCTGAGAAGCCTACTTTAACAGATTAAATACTTCCAAAGTTCAAGGCATTGCACAGAACAATAAACCTAATCTCATTTCGAAT